TTTAACTGTATAATTATATGTAAATGTCTTGTAATTGATTTTGTGAGGAAACCAAGTGTTTGGTTTGAAACACAATAAAATCTTGAATCTTGAATCTAGTATTTTCTATTTCTGTGAAAAGTGCGCGTCTCAAATAGAAAATACTATATTACTTAAACTATATGCAGCAATCATGTATTTTTCAGTATATGCAAACACAAGTGCTGAATAAACATCAAACTACGACAAACAGGCATTATATGACGCAACACTGTATATTTTGAACATGAAAGCTCCTTGGGAACCTTATATTGAGATAACTAGGTTTACACGAGTGGTACTTGTAAAGTAAGCTAGTCTCCATGTAATTGTAATGTCTGATAAACAAAACCAACCTTGTATTTCCAGTACTTTTCATCCTTATGGGAGTCGTGTCCTTCCCGTCTGCCATTTTAAAATATGCGCCCGGGTTGTCAGGGTTTCCAACTGCGTGCATAGTATGCACGCAGTTTTTATGCTGCACCGTGATATACAAAAAATATTTTAAAGCTCTATATGAATTTTCCTTTTTATAATTTCATGAGATGTGTGCCTGCGTTACTACATGTATATTTGTGTCATAGAAAATTGGGGAAAATAAATGTACAATTAGTGTTGATTTTTCGATTTTGGCGTTTCTGTTATCTTACCTTTCACAATAAACAATAACAGTCGGATAACGTGCCGTGATAAAGAACAGTGTGTACATTATCAGATAAATACTGATTGTGTTTGTTAAAGCATCTATTCATAGTTATAAAATTATGATTGATATTATCTATCTATTTGCAAATGTGTGTTTATAAAAGTGAAGCCAGGGAATTTCATTTAATTTTCATGTTTTTTTCTTATTCGTCTAGTATGGTCTTTAAAATTGTATAACAAAAATATGCAATTTAATAAATATAAACTAAATATTTATAATCTCCATCTTTAACCTTTTCCATTGGAATGGTGTGGTATATCTGTTCATAATTTGTTTTAAATTCTCGCGAGGGTATTTATGTCGGTTAAACAGTCATTCGTGAAACAAGAAAATAAATAAATATTACAAAGTCAGTTTATAGAACAGAGTAATACATAATGGTATTGTATAGATACAAATGAACATATTAAATAATACAAGTCATATGTATCCGATGCGACCAAATAGCTTGATAGAGACGGTAATATAATGATGATTTTCTTACATTTCATCTTGTCACTCTGTACGTTTGAAATCAAAGTAGGTAAGTTGGCCTTATCATACTAAACAGGACTTCATATTCTATAGTTCTCACCCACATTCATTTATATTTTATAGTTTATATTGTCAATGAGCCTGAATTAAAATGTGTAATTGTATTTCCATTAATTTTAAAACATCATACAGATACGATTTAAACTTCGTCTCGTGCCAAAACAGAATTTCTCGAGCACAATTATATCCTGTATTGCACTTCAAATCATTCAACAACTTAAATTATGTGGCGCATTGATTTGAAATGTTATACATTTGCGAAAGTCTATTATAAATCGCATGAATACTTCAGTTGAGTACCTCTATCTAATGCTTCAATAGGCTATGCACCCAACACTGAGACTACTGTTTCATAGTTCTAGGGGATACTGTAAACAAAGAATACGATGTAAGATTAGCTGGTGGGGATGAAAGTGAAGGACGTGTGGAGATTTACTTGAACGGTACATGGGGACGAATTTGCAAAGATGGTTGGGATCTGAACGATATTAGAGTTGTGTGTAGACAACTTGGATTCAGCGAGAACAACCCCATCTCTATGTTTGGTTTTAGCTGGTGTAAGATAACTAACTATTATGTTCGCGTTTTAAAGCGTCTGCATCTGATTGTGAAATATCGAAATATCTCCCAATAAACACTCAAATGGTAACAATTACAGTAGGGTCGGAATGTTCATCATATTTGAGAAATTTGTCAGATCGCAAAATATAAACTGGGTTCAGAAGTCACATTTCCACTAGCAGTTCAGTTCAGTTCAGTACGATCATGATTACAATACAAAATGGCTACCGAGAAACGCCTGTAAGATATTCTTGATGCTTTAGATGGTCGAAGTGAACATCCATACTCCCTAACAAATGTAGACTGCAAAGGAACTGAAGATTCTTTGAAAGACTGCAAATATGCTCCTGTAAAGAAATGTAAATTGGAGAAAGAGGTAGATATGCACATATGATTTCGTCTTTGCCTACGTTGAAATTAAATCTACCTAAGGTGGCCTAAAATGCTGCTTATTTTTTCGTGAAGCCACTCAGTAAATGAAGCCACTCACTATGAGTGATGGGGATAAGTACATACATGGATACAGTGCTTAAGGCAAGGGCTATTTCCATACTTTTGGTGATGAACTTTGCAGTTAGATGAAGAATTTGGTTATTAGATTTTGAGTCATAGTTTTTATGACCGTAAAGTAAGAACTCTATCTTACCTTGTTGGTTAAGCTTTAGTAGGTTTTCAATAAACTGCAAATGTGAAAGCTGAGCAATCAAATCTCCTTTCATTTTCATTTCAAGACTCCTACATGTATCTAAATTAAGGGTTTGGCTATTGGTGCTGAGCTTCGGTCTTGTTTCATAAAGCTTTTTAACGTGTGTTCTGAAGATTGAGATTGTGTTCATATTCCGCACATTAATTCTGTTCCAGATGTCAATAAAACTAAAAGTACAGGATAATCTTAATTTAGAGCAAATATTTTCAGGGATATGAAAATCTGGGGCATTTCTAAGTTGCATGGGAATTTGTTGACCAGTATAATTTTGGAAAATATCATTAACACACGCTGCCATGAGACTTTTAAGGCATGAGATGTTTTGTTAACTGCATAATTTATTTGTATTAGCAACAATATTATTCGTTTCAATTAAAATCACGTGATGTTTTATTTATTTTCGTCCTTTGCGAAGAGAAAAATTGCAATAATAAATTAAAATTGAAATTGTTGTCTAAAAAATGATACATTGATTAAGGAATAAATAATGATAGGCCATTCAATATGGTGAAATTCAGCACGAGTTGGACAGAATGTTGTACAAAGCACGAACCGAAGGTGAGTGCATTTGTACTAACATTCTGTCCAACGAGTGCTGAATTTCACCATATTGAATGGCCTATCATTATTTATTCCGATTCAAACATAAAAATTAGTAAAAGCCGTGTCTGTGGAACGGGCATGAAGGAAGAATACGCATGCTATCAAGATTCTGAAGTCGGCCGGAAAATTTTTAGAATTTGTTTGGGCTGTTCTATTTTACTCCCCGTTTTAGATTTTATACGGTGTATGAAACATGGGGTGTTGATAAAATAGTTGCAGTAGTTACGGAGGGAGTAAAAAAGAACAGCTATCCCTGGACAGAGCCCCAGATGTGCAGCTGAGATGACGTCACTCAAAACAATGCAAATTGCAGATTGAATAGAGCATGGTCGTGCATCTATGGAGAATTAGAGAACGTTCTATATTGGCTATGCTGCATTCTGATTGGTTGAGAAATTCAAATAGAGCACGGTCATGTTTGAATATTTTGTATTGTACGCAGTTCCCCCCTTCAGTGCACGATTCCGGTGAAGTTGCGTACGCTATAGCTGTATGCAAGCCGCGCGTGAGGCTAACTGAAGGCCCTGTAAACTCATCGGGAAGATTGGAGATATTCTATGAAGAATTCTGGCGACCTGTTTGCTCTGATAGCCTATGGACTTCAAGAACTATTCATTGGAGAATCGAACGCGACCTTGACAGCATTTGTAAAATGGTGGGAGTTACCCCGGAAAATCCGTATAAAGTAGGTGTAAACGCATTCGGACATCTCCCATCAAATAATACAACACGTTGGTCCTTTGAGTCCAGACTTTATGGGAAAAGATCGAGATTCGTTGGTCGTGCTGGGTGCTCTAATGGAGAATACGAAAGCATAATTTGTCGCCGAAATCAAACAGGTAACAAAAAGCCATTAATGAGCAGATACAGAGAGGAATAAAAAGTTGTAACTATAAATAAATACTACAAGTAAACCTAAGCTAAACTTATAAATATTTTTCCTTATTTCACAACACGTTTTTTTAGAAATAGCAACAGAAGTTCGCATTATTGGCACAAGTGGTCATACTGGCAAAGTTGAAATCAAGAACTATGGATATTGGGGAGGAGTGAGTCGAATAACAGCTGAAAATCTTCACGAGGTTGTGTGCAGACAACTGGGCTTTGATCCCAAGAATGCTTTTAGAATGATCACTCCAGAAGAATACAAAAGAAAACTCCCGTATTTCCAACAATATTTACTTGCACTGGTAAATAATTCAATCAATAATCATCATTATGATTAATTTGATACAGTATATAGGAATCGCGTATTTTACCAAAATGCAGGCAATGCTTTTTTCATAGCACAGCCAAGTGAGGGCTGACCCTCAACTCCGTCATTGAATACCATTGGAATTGAAATCAGTATTTTCTTCTTTCTAAAGAAACTGCAAGAAAACTATTTCAACTTTTGACCATAATTTCATTTGACCCCGTCCCTTTTCTCGATAAGGATTCATAATCAATTCATTTTGAAATAATATTTTTATGACCGATTGGCCTATAATCCATGTGCTTTTAGGCAAAGAAGAGAAAATTGAAGATTGCTGGCAAAGCTCTTTACAGACGATTTCCTATTATAAAGGTGTTACGAGGGTTTACGATGGATATGACTTACACGTCACTTGTGACTTTCAATTACGATTGGTTGAAAGTGAGCCCGGCTCAAAGGTTGGTCGAGTAGAAGTCCTACATAATGGAAGATGGCATTCCATTTGCCGTAGATTTGATCGACGAGTCGCAGTTGCAGTTTGTAAGAAGCTGGGGTTGAATTGGAAATTTGCTCAACCGTTAGACAACATACCAAATTTACCAAATATCACTCGCTCACGTGCCCTGAATTTCATGAGTTGCAATCCCAACGTTGAGCAAGGTGAATGTTTACATTCATTTGGAAGGTGTTCTGGAACCGAAAAACATTTGGAAGCTGGAGTCTCATGTGGGAGTAAATTATTCAGTGGTAAGCATTTTGATTTTGGCAGTAGACACCCCCTCCAATAATTGGCAACCTGAAGTTCCCTCCCATACCCCGTGTTTCTGTTCATATTATATTATTAAACTATATGTGTCATAAATTCTCGACACATTATATTTTGGGGTAAAATTTATGACGGAAACATAAACTACCTTAAGCATGTTATCCAGTTGGGACTTCCCATTACCAAACTTATTGAATGGGAGTGTATCGCTATTTAGTACTGACCAAAATTTAATTTTAAGTTATTGCTATGATAAGAATCATGAGAAACAGAATGGGTTCAATGACTGATCCCTGGGGAACAACACATCACAATGTTATTGATTTGTTTTTGAAATCATGTCATAACACTCCATTTTTTTACTTCGGTTCGAGAGAAGTAGTGACCTATTTTATGCGTATTTCGATACTCTTGTCGAAGAGAATATAACTCAAAATGTATTTCAAACCATGCAGTGTCGAAAGCTTTTGGCGGATTAATAAATATAGCAATCTTTGATTTAAAAATATATACAGGGCGTATCAAAAAAAACGCAACAAGTAGTTATCTCGAAAAATCACAAAACTAGTGATGACTACATCAATTTCATTTAATGTACCATAAAGCCATGTCTCTCTTCTTTGCAATGATATGTCATTCATTCACATGTGGTAATGGTTGGGTGAGAAATCCTTCCATTTGCACAGTGGGTCAAAATCGGCTCTGCGCCAAGTTTTAGATATTGAAAAATCAGTGCAAGGGCTAAGTGCCTATGGAAGTTCCCCTGACTTGAATTGTTGTGACTTTTTCGTTTGGAGCTATCTTAGGAGCATCTGTGCTCACAATTCCTCCACCAGATATTGCAAAACCTAGAGAAAGATTTGCCCATGGGCTGCTTTTCTTTACTTTAACCCACACATGATTCAGGGCTGAACCATGCATGACGTGGACAGATGAGCGCATCTTTATGTGCAAGTTAAGGAAGTGGTGGCAATTTGGAGGGGTATAGGATGTATTCTTGCAAGAGTATGAGTATGAACACTTTACTGTCTATGCCATACCTGTCACAACTTCTTCCGATAGCCCCTATGCCCCTTGTGCTGACTTTTGCAATGTTTTAAACTTGGGTCCGAGCTGAATATTGCCCCACTTTGCAAAATTAATGATTATTCGACCAGAGATGACTCCCTGTGAATGAATGATATTCCATTGCAAAGAGGAGTAATTTGGCTTTTTGGTACATTGAATTAAAAGGATGCAGTCAGCCTTGGTTTTATGTTTTCGTCCAATATTGCATTGGGCTCCGTACACTGACTTTTGCAATGTTTATAACTTGGCCCGAAGCTAATTTTGGACCACTTTGCAAATGGAATGATTACTCACCAAACCATGACCAAATATCAATGAATGATATATCATTGTAAAGAGGAGACACATGGCTTTATTGTGCATTGAATGAAATCAATGCTGTTATCACTGGTTTTGTGCTTTTCCAAGATAACAATCTGTTGCGTTTTTTTTATACGCACTGTATATTCGAGCAAAACCATGATTTCAGATCCGAAGCCGGATAATCAGATTCGTTTGAAATATCAAACGTATGGCCAGCTCCAGGTACAAGGTAGTCTTGGTGAGTGGTTCCCTGTTTGTGGCACCAACTGGACGACAGAAGCTTCGCAGGTTGTTTGCAAACAATTGGGATTTAAAGCTCATTATGGCTTCACTCTTAAACCATATGAAATATATGGGGACTACCGAATTATAACTAATTTGAATTGCAATGGAAGAGAGAAAACGCTTGGGGATTGTTATTATACTAAGTGGACAGCACTTTACGGCCGTGCGAGTCCTTGGCATAAAACGCAAGCACTTGAATGTGGCTCAATTGGGATACAAATATCTTGTGTTGATACAGCAACGAGACCCCGCTTAGTTGGGGGCCAGAGTAACACCGCTGGTCAACTTGAAATATGGTATGAGAACAAATGGAGGAAGGTTTGCCTTTTTAAAGAAGGAACAATTCATGCATCATATAATAAGATAGTAGCCGAATCTGCGTGTATTAGTCTGGGATATAAATATGGTAGAGTCGGAACATATGGTGTATTTAACAAAAAGAAACGAACAGGCAAACGCACAAAAGGCATTTGGATTAGGTGTTCAGAATATGATGCGGTTCAGACGTGTAAAATTGAAAATAAATATTGTAGTAATTTCCTTCTCGTTTCCTGCTTCGACAAAGAACCGGGTAAGAGCATTATTTAGAATTATTCCCGAGATTCGTTTTGTTTCCTCTGTTGATGTTATGCATGACTAAAAAACATCATTGATATTCACTCACTATACCAGTTTACTCCCTATGTATGTGACATGTACTTTAGAACCATTCAGTTGCAAGCTACCATAAATTCGAAACACTTAGCAATAACATGTATGTGTCGTGTAAAATTGAACTTTACCTTTCAATGAGCCGTTGCTTTCTGTTGCAACGTTGACATTTTGTAACTTACGTGGATCTAATCTATTTAGAAATACTTCAGTGTTTTTTACCATTAAATAAACTTACGTTAACTTTAAACACGTGCGACCTTGACCTTGACCTCTGTGAAAAGTGTCGACCCAAGCGGAGGTCTAATATCAATTCACACGTAGTATGTATTAAACCATATGCACATTTGTGTCAGAATTGGTTGATTTCTTTCACTTAGTTGGTTTTATTTCAGAATTGGTTGATATTGTTGACTTTGAGATGTTCGGAGAAGAAATTCGTCACAGTAGAGGGTATTATGACCTGGCGTATCGAAATTGATGGCCACAAAAAAGCCAGTCGTGTCGAAATCGATCTTTACATTTGTGCCAGGAAGTTTGGTATCAAAGAAGCAAAGGTTGCTTGTCGTCAGCATGGTAAATATTAGGGAAAGCTAGTACAAGGGTGTTCAATAAGAACTTATCTCTTCTTTATCCCTTGATTAACATGTTAATGTTGAGAGCAGTTTTATCAATATCAATTTAACGACCCTCGTACATTTTGCTCCAAGGTTTTGATCCAAGGAATGCTGCGGTTGACACCTTCTCCCATTACAGATGCTTTCAATTTCCTATGACATATGGCGGCCGGTTTATTGATTTCGTTATGAGTGATGTCGTCTGCAATGGTGACGAATACAATCTCGCTGACTGCTCATTTAACCACGGTGACAACGTCTCGTGTCCTACTGAGAGAAGGGCAAGTGTAATATGTGAAAAAGTCCCCGTACGACTACAAAGAGACCCAAATAAAAGAGGGCAAAATTCAGGAGTAGTTCAGATCTTTGTTGATGGTAGGTGGAGAAAGATATGCTCTTCAACATGGGATGTGAACGGTGCTAAAGTCGTTTGTCAACAACTTGGGCTAGCACACAGAAACGTATCAACATATAAAGGAAACGTTTCAAGATATGAAAACCATAAAGATCCTTGGGACAAAGATTACTGGGAGATGATTGATGATGTACACTGTACTGGTAATGAGAGACACATTGGCCAGTGCAACTTCAATTACAAAAATAACGATTTCTCTAAATATTTCTGGTGCTTTAATGAATGGCAATCGGAAAAAGCGGGGACTCATTGGAAAAGATGCAATGATGGAAACGTCGCTGGGGTAATCTGTGGCTTAATACGAAGCAAGACAACAAACTTTATAAAATATTTTATGTATTTGATCTTTTAAACATGTAAATAAATACAATGCTATTCGAATGAAATGAAATCTTGAAATGTTTAAAATGCTTTATACATAACTCTGTAAAATAAACAATATCTTTCAATTCTGGTTTTAAATCGAATGACTCTGCGATAAATCTACATGTAGCTGTGTAAAATAGAGGAACTGTGCGAAGCGCTCCTTAATGAAAATAATTAACGCTAATTAAGGCCGAACTTCAAAAATAACGTTTCAGAAAAGCATCAAAATAAAAGTGGTCACATATTTGTTAGCCAATCCACACACAACGTCTTATCATGTCTTATATACACGTGATCCCCCCTCCATCCGATCCCCCTCTCCATCCCAAATTAATTTATTTCGATTATTTTTTTGTATAACGCATGGAAACTAACTTTAAAAAGTGAGCAATGTCATAAGTATTGTGATAATAACTTCCCTTATACCTATTCATTACAGGTCGTGTAGACCATTGTTGCCCGATTTATAGCAAAAACATTGACTTTTGCACGTTGGTGATGATGCGCCTTTTTAAATAGATCTCGTATCTTAGAAGGGTATCAGTTCAAAAAAATACTGGATGACTTAACACTATTTTGCCATGCACTGCGCCTTTTCATTTTCCAATTCAGTTGTAAATTTTCTCTTGAAAAAATAAATCTTCCAAATGTGTTGAGTTTTCTTGCAGAAATCGCCTGATACCCCTTCATCATTTTTATACGATCACCGGGCGTACTGCATCAGCATTAGAATAGTTTGGACGGTGAAAGAAAGTGCTTTGGTTTAAAAGCAATTGAAAACAATTTATATGACATTACTGTACGAATCAAAGTTTTTACCGTATAGAGAACTTTTCAAAAAAGGAAAATTATGTTATAGGAGGTTTAATGTGCAAATCTCTCAAAAGCTCGCGAAAGACGAGAATAGCGAGATTTCAAAGCTTTATAGAAACTCATCTATTGAATCATATCTCTATTTTCAAACCATTCTTTTTGATACAATTTTCCAATTCAAGGAGAAACTGATCATGATTTCCGTACAAGAATTTTAGCTAAAGAGCATTTTTGGGTTTCCATATAGGCTTTTTAAATCTCACTAAATCTCGTTTTTCTTGATATATTAAGAGATTTGCATTTAAGACCTCTAATGACTTATTTTGCCTTCTTTTGAATGGCATATTTGAATTCAGTTAACTGTTTTCTACAAGAATAACTTTGATTTATACAGTTATGTTATTTAAATAATTTTTGATGACTTTTAGAAAATCTTTGGCCAGATCTTCATTGATGCAATGTATAAATTCTCTAAAAACCTCGGTTTATTAGTTTAACAACCCAAATTTTGATGATCGCAATAAGTATGTTTAAAGGGTCATCACAGGATATATCATTCAAGTTTTAAACAGATTCAACCAACACTTTTTGATAAATAGAAATAAAGTCACTTTTTGAGGATCTTAATTTGGAAGTCAATGGAAGTCTGGGCCAAGAAAAAATCTGAATAAAAGATGGCAGCACTGGTTTTCATTCAGTTTCAGCTATTTAGAAACTATTTAATTGGGTATAGTATACCCCTATGAACTAAATGACAATAAAGGGTCTTGCTATTTTCAGTTAAACCTATAATAATGATTATGTTGCTTTTAATTTCAACCCACGGATGCTCCTATAGCTCTGGTGAATACTCTTTTTAGAATCAATGAAATCGACCGGCGATGAATCGGAGCAAATATGATTAATGCTGTTGTCACATTTGCCCCGATTTTCAATAGCGGCGCCCGGCCGATGAGTATTTTGTTAAAATTTGCATTCCCTTTAACAGATTAATTTCTCATTGGCCGGGCGCGGTGTTGAAGATCGGAGCAAATGTGGTCACGGTGCCAGGCATATTTGTGAAATACAATGTTATAATATAAGAAACGTGATTTTACACATTTTATTTTGATTACTGCATTCATAATTCAAGCCTAAGATTGCAATCGTTTCTCATGATAGTAATGGCCTTCCATTATGATTTATCAGAGTCCCTCTTTACCTAGTAACGCTTTCGAGAGAACTATTCGAAAAGGATAGGAAAGGCTGTGGATCTCACAATGGTGGCATTCCCTTTTCTTTTTGCCCTCCCATAAAAGACCTGCATGACACAGGGTCAGTGTTATGTAAAATGACCCTATAGGTCTAGTTTTAATTGTAAAAAGGAAATTTTAAAAGTAAAATTACCCAATATAAACGTTAAGTATACCGTAAACATTTGCTCCCAAAATATAAATGATGATGTTCAGCTGTCCACGTTTTAATGAGGATAGGTTACAACGCTCCTTTTAGCTAGTTGATCAGTTTAACGCAATGTCACAAGAAAATGTTTAAATTAAGTAGATCCGCCATTGGTTACATTTGTCCATAATCATATTTTGTTCCACACGCGCGCTCACCTGTAGGTGAATGCTTTATTAGCACCTGGAGACGTAAAATCATGATAAAACTCTAAAGGTTCGGTTTAAGTCTAGGGAAACGACATTGAAACGATGGATTTGAGACATCCAAGATATTTCACGATTGTTTTGCTGTTTGTTTGTTTTAGTCACTATGGAGACGCAAAGAGGCTTCAGATGACTTATCTCATTGGCGAGAAGACACTCACGTACTATCCCCGAGTTAATAGATATACGAGACAGGTCGCCTTTAGGGGATTCTCTGATTACGACCAACCCGATGGATCTAAGACATGGTGAGTCAAATTTAGCAAAACATTTGAACAATTCTTTGCGCATCTTTGAATAATTAAAATTGGTAAAGAGCTTAAAATTAAATAAAAAAATCTGTCGACCGACATTTATTGTGAATCGATCAGTTTTTTGTTATAAAATCATGACTTATTCATTACATTACAATTCTTCTTGCTATCTAATGGGGGAATAATCGTAATTTGAATAATGAAAGAATATGGAAAAAAGAAATGCACTAACCATATTATATTCAACATTTTCTTTATTAAACTGTATGATCTTAATTTCATTAAATGTTTAATTATAAGGGGTGAAGGGTGGAACTTCAACATTTCCGAACACGCGGGAACTCATATTGACGCGCCAATCCACTTCGGGAAAAACGGAACTGGAAATCGATGGTACATCGAGGATATCCCGTTTGAAAGATTCATCGGCCCTGCTGTAGTTGTTGATGTGTCCGATAAAGCAGACATTGATACAAATGTGGATTATGGTGCAACGATCGAAGATATCCAGGAATTCGAACGTCAATTTGGGGCCATACCTTCAGGTGCAATTTTACTTATTTATACGGGATGGGGTAGATATTGGGGTGATCCACTGAAATATGTTGGAACTGACACCCGCGATGTTAAACTCACTCATTTCCCAGCTTTGTCACCCGAGGCGGCTCAATGGATTGCCGACGATGGACGCATAGTCGGGGTTGGCGTGGATACGGTTAGCTGCGACGCAGGCAGTCGCCGGGATGTAGCGGCGCACGTGAACCTATTTGAAAAGAACATTTATTGTTTGGAAAATGTGGCCAATTTGGAGCAGCTGCCCCAAAAGGGTGCTACGATCTACGTCATGCCTATGCCTATCAAGGGAGGTAGTGGCGCCCCCTCTAGGGTGTATGCTACATGGGACGATGGGCAATCCTCCGGACTTACACTAAAAAGTGCAAAGGCGCCATACCTAGTTGCGCTTATATGGGGATACATAGGAGTCTACTTTTACCATCATAACATTTTCGACAAGCTTCAAGGGTGATGTCATAAGGGCATGCTTCTAGAAATACCTCTCTTTTAATAGCAGCTGTAACTCTCAACTCATAAATTATTTTCCTATGCGGACAAATATACAGGGTGTCAAAAAACAACGGCACCCCCCACCCCTCTACAGCAAAGAGTACTTAAAGTTACATGGTGTGTCATATCTCATTTTAAAGACAATTTAATTCTGGAGTTACCTGAGAAATTTCAGCTTTATATCATATAATTTTACAGATTTACAGCTCATTCTTAGTAGTTGGTATAACCATCAGTTGCTGCTCAAACAACAGCTTATCTGGACGGATATGATTTCAGTAAAAATTCAGATAAAGGTGTAGCATTGCATAATCCTCTAAGCATTTTCCTCACATTCTTCAGAAATACATCCTGACTGCATCTTTTTTCAAGAGGCTCTTTGTCCATCAGTTCCTGTACCCTGTTTTTCAAAACTGAACCCATATGTCCAGTGCAGTTGAAATCTGGGCTAATTCTTTCATATTCCACTTTTTGAAGATTTGACATTTAACCAGTAACAGAGCAGCAAACAGAGTACCAAAGTAGCAAACTTAAAAACAATGTAGCTTTTTTAATATAAAATTTTATTAAATGAAATTTGATGAGTAACTCCAGAATTAAATTATCTTTCATATGAGGTATGACACAATATGTAACATTAAGGACTTTTTGCTGTAGAGGGGGGGGGGGTGTCGTTGTTTTTTGACACCCTGTACTTAATAGCATGCGCAATGCCAAAATAAATCTCTTTTTTACCAGTGGAATACTGGCGGCTGCTTGATTTACGACGAGATACGAGTTGAAACCTGGGAGCCTATTCTCTCTTTGTTGCATTTTGAACTGACTCATGACTTACGTCGTTAATAATTAGTCTTGATTTTTTGTATTGTGTAGTTAGTTCAGTATAGATTTAGTTAATGTTTTATAGTGTACCCCGTAGTGACTCATGTCATTAGAGTATATTACTGTAGGTATGTATCCTTTTGATTTTGAAAAGTATCATTTATATCCATGAGTGAATAACTTTTTTGTGATATTTGATGGTTTGGAATGTTTGCTAAAATATAATATCTTGCTTATACATATATCAAATATATCTTCATGTGATATCCGATCTAAATCCTTGCAACAATGGGATAAATAGAGGATATGCTATGATTTTTGAGGGATATCATTTTTATCCATGAGTGGTGTGATGGCTACTGGCCGTGTGTTCATATTTTAAGTCTCATTGGAGAAGGCTCGGGATTTATCATGACAGTGCAGTCAATGTTCTACAATTCCCGAGCTGTCACTCTACTATACCTAACACCTTGAAATGCATAAGATACTTTGTTTGTCTAATTGTATCGTTTAGTATATTTTTGAAAGTGCCTTAGTAACATCTAACATTCAACCGATAAACTATTAATAAGGAACGGACAAATAAAAACAAATATACATAATCATTACTAATAAGCCAATTGGGTTGCTCATGAACACCAAATGCAAGGTATAGCAGAGTGACTGTGGGGTATTTACTCTAAAACTACACAGCCATATGCCAGATTTGTCATTGAGCAATCATATTTTAATTACATTAAATAAGTTGTGAATCACTTGCAAATCGTTTAATATAACTTGCGAATCGCCTTGTATTTCCATAATGCATTTCCAACTTTACTGTAACATCAGGCCCGTAACCCCCCCCCTGGCCAAAATTCTTTCAAAATCATGCAGTTTTTCATCATTTTGAGCACTTGTCAAATGTGAACCGCCGTGGAAATTTTTGAAAACTGACCCCCTTGGCAAATCCTGGCTACGGGCCTGATCATATATAAACAACAGGGAACTCCTACTTCGATAATGGATCAAGAAATAAAATTTTATCTATGACTTGCGTGCAAAAAATGATTTAATGAAATATACCGAGTTGTGACCTTTGTCTCTTATTTTGAAGGTGTTGTTGACTTGGACAATGGAGGGATACTGTAAGCTCAATGGGGTCGCTTGGGACCAGAGACCTTGGGAACAGTTGTCTTCTTTTGTAATAGTTAGAACAAAACACTGTTGATTAACGGTAACAGCTGGAAGTAGTTATGTCTCAGAGATAAAAGACTTGTTAATTAACTGGATGCTTTAGAAGTATTTCTTCAAGTATCATGTAACCGAAAAAGATAAATTTAAAGATTCTCGCAATCTTTATCCAATCAGCGTTTGCGAGTGTGTCGGCTCACGTATAAAAGGCGAATCCAACTCAAATCCATGCAGGGGTGTATGAGGTACTCGAATATGAAAGAGCTCGTGAAATCTGAATTTATATGCACATGGTCAATGTTTACACATGTTTGGAGTTATTGAAGAAAATGTGATATGGGTGTGGTTCCGGATTTGAAGTCATTGCTGGAAAATATGATTTTAATACGTGAAATTATATCTATAAATACAGCACTAAAAATAACAGTACACTATATACATGTATGATTGTGTCCAGAAATGTTTGAAACCCTTACGGAAAATTCTGTCTACATTTTGTCACCATTGCTCTTTCTTCCCGCATTCTAGTGCTGTTTGAATGAATATATTAATTAATGTATTTCTAACTAAAATAAATCACTTTTTTTTATAAACCAAAAACATTTAGATCATAAAAAATTATTCAATACTTGAGTGAGCACGATATGCAAGGGTTACTAAGTTGACACAGTAAATGACCACTGATATTGTGTTAGTCCATGCACACAGCGTATTCTGCTAAGGCCATAAGAAGTAGATCCTCTGTTTTGCGTCCCCTTGCTTGCACGATTTTGAGTAAATCAGAAAAAACACATCCAAATAGCAATCACAAGGGTCTGAAAGTACCATCGTATTTCAGAATCAGATGAAATGGCGGATAATTTGATGTGCGTCAAAATTGACAGTGTTATAATTATTTGACATACATTGTGTTTTTTCTTATTTTTTACCCTTGAATAATAGCTATATTTTTATATATTGTATCAAATGTATAGATATGTGTTTGTAATCACTGCAAATTGGGATGTCATCCTTTTTTATGCCCCTAAAATATATATTTCTCAGCAAACAAGTTTTTTTTTCTTGAGTTTGTGTTTGTTTTCCTTGTACCCTTGCATGATTTGGATTTTGCCAGGACGCAAAGCAAAGAATCTACTTCTTATGGCCTAATATACATTTGCTAACACCCCCACTTTCATAGTGAAGTGACTAATTGGTTTATGTTTACGTTTTAATGTGTTTTGGGTTCCTTGTTACAGCAAGGGGGGCCAGTAAAGTAGACTAACATGTTTGCATGGCAAATTTTGATCGAATATGTGAGACACTTTAAAGGTGCAACAATGAGTGCAGGGTCGGGGGCGCATTCAACGATCATCGACCAATGTCAAAGTATACTTATGTTTGGATATTTCATCAAGACTAACATATATTTTTATTCTCTACAAAGAAACTACCTGGATGAATATTATTTCAGCTGGTATTCCTCTTGAAATGTGGTTGATCTTAATTTATAAGTGGGACTCCCTTTATAGAAGCTTTGAACTGAATTTACACTTCTTAATGCTGAAATTGAGTTTATCCATACATTTTAAGAAAATGGGTATGTCAAAGAAGATGTTAAGCCACATATTGACCTGATAGCTCAGAAAAATTAGAATTTTCTCTCTACAGTCCTTGTTGCCCCTTTAATAAGCAACAACAATCGCGAAATTGAATCCCATGCGAAAAATACCAGGGTACAGTACTTGCAAAATATTATGTTTTTGAACGATGAAAGCATTCTATTTTCGTGTCCAGAATTCCTCCCCAGTGCTACACCTGAGTTGTACAGATACAATTTGCGTATACATATTCCGAATAACTACTAAGTCATCGAAAACTCTTTAATAACTCACTTTTTACCTTTAAAATGATGAGTAATGGTAACCGATCAGATCACTGCACTAATCTGATTTTGCATTTGTGAAGATTTCAAGTTGAACCAGTTCACACTCCATTCTCTTACACGTCGTAGCACCGGAAGTTTACGAAGTTATCCCAGTATTTCACGCAGTAGATTTGTAAGTACTCATTTATTTCGACGTTTTGACAGAAGATGGTCCTTTCCCTTTCGTAGAAACATTGACCATACCATGCAGATATACCTTTTAGTATCATAACGTCTTGGCATTTCGTCTGAACACGGACTAAAAGGTTCTTAAACCTTTCTAGAAAGCATGACGATTTCTGAAAAACAATGATAATTTTTCACGAAAATCATCATAGTTTCTCCGATTTTAGCCCTATCATCTTGAAATATTGATAAGATCAACAATACAATTTTTACATAACATCCAGACACTTCAGTTTCCCAAATCAATGAATTGAAAGAATACCAGGGGGAATTAATTTTTCTTTGAAAGTGTACGACGTAAAAGGAGTATGACGTTCAGGGAATTAAAAATCTACAATGAAATGTCGTATACTGTACCTCCTTTACGTTGTATGCTTTCAAAGAAAAAATAATTACTCGGAATTCTTTCATTGAATTGGAAAACAAGTGTCTGCATGGTGTATAAAAAGTGTATTGTTAATCTAATCAATGTTTCAAGATGATAGAGTTAGAATTATAGATCTATGATTTTTGTGAACAATGATCATTTTTTTCCAAAAAATGTCATGCTTTCTAGGTTTGAGAGGTTTTATACCATTTTCAGACAAAACGTTGAGACGTAGGGATACTAGAAGTATATCTGCATGGTATGGTCAATGTTTCTACGAAAAAAGAAAGAACAATATTCTGTCAAAACGTAGAAACAAATGAGTACTTACAAGTTACAAATCTCCCGCCGAAAATACATGTATAACTCGTAAACTTCCGGTGCTAGGACGTATAAGAGAATGGGGTGTGCAGTTAGCTGTTTTCAAAAACCTCCCTTCACTGAACCACGCACATGTATAAGCACAGCATCATAATATCTAAAATGTGAATAATTACATAGGAAGGAGGAACTCCTATTTGCTCAGCAAATCCATCTGCGAAAGCTGACGGTTAAGGTATGAAAAAACACTCAACTCTTGAATATTTTATATATTTACAAAATTACTTCAAACATACATTCACATATATCAACTGTGACTTTTACTTTGGCAATGTGACTTTTCTGACTTTTGCTTTTTCAAAATGTAAAACAATATATTTTCTCAAATAATAGTTTAGTTATACATTAGACTTGTGTACAAATGTTTCTGAATGATTTTCACAATTAGAATTACTGCCTCTTAAATTCAATTTTCAAAGTTTTAAATTCAACGGAATCAAAGATTGCTTTCTGTAAATGCAATAGAACAAGAATCTCCCTTTAAAGGCCCAATGCAAAGTTTGGATAAGTCAAACTGGTTTAAACTGTATATGGGGTTTTTAACAGTTTCGGTATCTGCAATCAGGAGCTATGTTTCATACTTGAAAAAAATCAATGTTGTAAACAAGTCAAACTGTTCATTCCTTATATGGCTTTTGAAGCCTTATATGGATAAACTCACAGTTGAAGTTAAATGAAGTGTCTAGAAATGGAATAGAGTCAACTTGACGGTTGATTCATTGTCCCGGAGATTTCAGATGAAAATCACTCATTTCTTAAAAATGTGATATTCCGTCTCATTTTTTCTCCCCAGATTTTTTCTGTTTCTTTTTCTCGACTTCTTCTTCTTTTTCTTTTTCGATTTCTGTGATATATTTTTCTATTTCCTCCGATTCAAGCATCTGCAATGAAAACAATAGGCACATTTAAAAGAAATAAACTTGAGTCTTTTTTCATGAAATGGTATTCAAAGGTCATCATTTTCCAGATTTGTAGACATTAGTTTTTTGAAATTTTTTTTGTTCCTTTTACTGTAGATACACTTAATTTGATGCTACTTAATTTGGCGGATTTGCTCAATTTCAAATAATGGTGGCTATTTAATTTGTTGGAGTCAGGACTGAGCTCAACTTTCATCATTGATCTGGAAATAAGCATTTCAGATACATGTGTTCTACTTACTGTAAGCAGTGTAGTCATTAAGGGGGAAAAAGAGACTGGTCATACGGACCTGTTGATCATCAAAGTTAAGTGGTCCGTATCAAAATAGGCTGGACAAAATGACCAGCACCTCAAAAAAGTCCCTGGTCCGTATGAAATGTTACTGGTCAATCAAAATCTTGTTAAACAATAAAAACAATATATCAACGAATTGTTTTATGAGTCATGTTTAAAATTAAATCAGTATCATTAAATAAATGATCTGAAGAACATGTAGCCTCTGATTATGACAGTTGTGATGAGTTTGATGACACTTACAATGACTATGACTCAGAGAATGAACTTAATGTGGCCATTGAGGAACTTTAAGGACCCTTTGATTTAATGATACAGATTTAAGACAAAGAAGAAATAGTAAACAGACTAAAAGTGCTTCTGTGGCCTTAGTGGAATCCTTGGAATCCACGGAGGATATCCAAGATATTGAGCCAAATGTCACAGTGAATGTAACCATACCAGAAGCAATCTAAAACTAGCTAGAAATTGATTCGCTTTATCGACTTTTGAAACATTTTATATTGTACGTTCGGTAATTTAATGTATCATTTCGCTATACCGGTTTATAATCGATTGTTCTTAGAAAAAAATTAAAAACAAAAAAATGAATTCTTGTTAATAACTTAAATATGGCGATTTAATCATCGACAACTCAAATTATTAGGAGAATAACAGCACGGACATGAATACTACCGCTAGGTAGGCGATTAAATATCATGCTGGTCCAAATGACCGGCATATTTGCAAACATTGCCGGACCGGGGCTCAATCTACTGGACAATGTCCACCGGGAAGGCCATTAATGACTACACTGACTGTAAGTCTTGGTATAGCACTGATATCCAAATAGGAATACTTACACTAGTGAAATAATTGCAAATTACAAATTCCCTGAGGATTTTCCAAAATAGATCTGAAAATTGGCGGATTTCTAATTTGGCAGATTTCTTCAATCCGCCAATCCGTCAAATTAAAATGGTAGCCAAATTAAGTGTATCTACAGTATTATAAACGAGCCATGAACCAAAAAATATCATCACCAGATATTTATTTATTTGGTAACAGTAACATAAGTTTTCCATTAACAAAATACAAACTAGAATGAAAACCACAACTTTTTCACACAAATATATCCTTTAATTGCTATTTTCTCAGATTTTAGTATACAGGGAATTTTCTTTTGCCCAGTATTTAGGCAAAGAGACATTTGCCTCATTTGAATGTGAATGGAATTCCCTTCTTTTACAGATCACCTACCGTAAGTGGTTGGTTCCGCCTCATAACAGCAATTTCCATATTCTTGCCTCCTGATTGGACGACTTCCATAAGGGCTCGTAGTGCTAGTTTAATAGTTTCTTTCTCATTTTCAGGTTTCTTTTCTTCGTATTGTTTTTCGAGGAATTCACGAACTGTTTTTGCACTGCGACCAATAGCATTTGCCTAAGTAGTGAAAATGAATAAATCTTATGAACATGACTACGACTGAAAAAATGATTGCCCAATTTATCAGATTGGCATTCAGTCCACTGCCAAAAAGCCAACTTGTTTCAATGTTTCAATGCCAAAACCCTGTAGATTGTAAATTATACGGATATAATCAAAACAAAAAACAGTTCATCAAAAAATGACTGATCTTTAGAGAAATTGAATTACCTTAGCCAGTTAACTAATTTCACAATAAAAAATGACATTTTAAGTTGACTCATTTCTTTACCTTCCATTCATGATATGTGCCTGAGGGATCAGTCTGGTAGAGATGAGGTGTCCCATCATAATCAAACCCAACAATGAGGGTGGATAAACCAAATGGTCGCCTCCCATTGCTTTGGGTGTATTTCTGAAAGAATTTAAACATGAAAGAATTAGAACTAGTATTAAGAATTTTTACAGCAGAAGTTTTACAGCTATATGGCATTCAGAAAGAACTGAACACAGAAAATCTGAAATTTAACCCATTTTTCAAATATCAGTCCAGAAATACACTAAATGTTAATCCTATTGTAAATGTTCAAAATTAAAATACAAGGATGGTAATGTATACTTTTGGTTTTAATTCAAGTTTTGGACATAAAAATATACATCATTTACATGTTAGGATTTAAGGATGATCAAATTTCAGATGATTGCAAAAGCAATACGTTTTCTCAGCTGTTTTTTTCTTAAAGTGGAAGCAAATTTCTAATTTTCATAATTCTCACAAAAATAAACCTATGATTCGAGATTTTTGTCCTTTTCTAGTAGGATAAAAATGGAGTTTCAAGTCACAATTTTTACACTGCGCCTCTTTTGATCCTTCTAAAACATAGAATTTTTAACTAAAAATGGCTCTAACATAGTTCAATTTACACAAAATGTATACTTGAATGTGTGGAATTTTCTTCCATAAAATGACCTAAATGAACTTCATATATTTAAGGCCCGGTTCATATTTTCAACCTTTACATCGGAACTTTAAGAAAAAATATGACAGAAGCGCAAACTAACAAAAATGCTCTGATGTTCAAGAAGTTAGAAGCAAAATCCATTGAAAAGTGAATTCTGTTACCTGTTTTAGTTGTGCCAGGTATCGTGTGATGTACTCGAGAGTAACAGGGTCTTCTACTGTCAGTCTATGACTTTGACATTCCATTCTTGCACGATTTATTATAATTCTTGCATCCGCGGTCAATCCTAGAAGAGAACAACTCTTAATGTACAAATCTTTAGGGGGAAAACTCTTAGATAAAAAGGTCTATATTTTTTCAAGCAAAATATAATGTAATGTGACTTTAATTACTTTTAAAAGAGCAATTGGACAAATTGATGTTACAGATTTTAATCTTCAGCTTTTAGGTTTCTTTCAAAGATCAATATGTTTTATAAGTTGTAAATATGCTGATTTTTCTCTACATCGCATACTTAAAACTAGTTTGCTAACATCAATTTTCATCAAGTTTGTTAGCATGAATTTTCTTAAGGACGGGGGGAAAAATCTGAAGACCCCAAAATACCTGCAAATGCCATGGCAACATGGTCATCAAGGAGAGCAATCTTTCTCACTGTGCGATCAATCTGTAGCTTAGCAACAGCTTTTTTCTCTACGCCTAGAACAACAATATCATCTCCTTTCACTCCAACCTAAAAAAGATTTATGATTTGTATTTGTGTGAGACATAAAATATACATCAATAAAAAAGAATTGTCAAGGCAGAAACATGCAAAGCCTCACCACCTGCCATTTGTCACAGATGCCAAACACCAGTCACCAAATGCCAAACACTGTCCACAAAACTAAGTGCACTGAACGAAAAACATGTCATATACCAGGGGATTTTGGTGACTTATCTAATTTGGCAATTTTTTTAATTCGCCAAAATTTGCCAATTTAAAACTCGCTCGCCAAATTAAAGACGAATCCAGTCAGTACATTCCGTCAATTATCACCAAATTATGACCAATCACATTGAGACATCATGAGCTGTATCTATGTAGAAATGAAATTCTACATGGATCTTTCCTAACCTGATATTTATTACTTATTGTATTTTACATTCTTCTAAGGAAACTATATCGTGCCCTTCGTCCAAAGATAAATCCCCTGCATGTTTTTTACTGCTGTATATGGGTCATGTCGTAATCATAAAATTTGAAATCAAATGTTCGCCATTTTTTCACATCACAATTTGAATTGCGAGTTTTGGTCTTATTACCTCACCAAAAATTCCAAAACACACATGAAGTGATCAATGTATTAGTTCACATCTTCTGTATCGCTAACTTAGAATTTACAGCCAGTTACTAATCTCAGACAATAACCACATTTCGTCCAGTTTTCGAATATAGCCATTTTTCTTGGAGCCGTTTATTTTAATTTTAGACGAAAGCATGCAATATCTCATCAAGGAGCCGAGCCAGTTCCATTTAAATTCATGATTTATTTATCTGGCGATTTTTAAAATACTTGATGAATTTATAAAACGACTGCCAGCTTTTTTCAAATGGTTCACGGTGTTCCAGATGAAATTACTTCTAGCCAAGAATTGGCTAGAGACTCAAGTAAATTGTATTGAACTTCAAACGAGCAAACTTCCGTGTTGACGGCGGAAGACCCTTGTTCCATTATTTTGGTGTTTTACACTGGAAACTCAGATAATGGAAATTAAACGCACAAAGTGAAATGGGACTCCATTAATAAAACAGATCTAAAAGAAAAATAAAGTTGTCATCCGATCTGTTAGTGTAACCCCAATCTGCAATCCCCCTCCCAGAAACCAAGAATGACAGGCACTTTTTCTTGTTTTCAGATTTGCAAGTTTGACCAGGATTTCAGTGAAAAGTATGAATACATAGTTCTACTTACAGCTGTTGACCCTTTCTTAACAGCTTCTTGGGCATATTCTACTTGGAATAAATGACCATCGGGTGAGAATACAGTGATAGCACGGTCATAACGAGAGGAACTCATTTTCAACTTTTCACGTGAATGGCGGCGAATACACTAGACACGGACTGAATAAAATAATAAATCTTTATCAAGGACTGCAGATATCAATTGAAATTAATGAAAAATACTACTAAAATAACTATTTAAAGTATTCTTAGCATCTAAATGATTTATGAAGATCCATATAAAGATAAAATAATGACCTAGTTTTCCTAAGACCAATTGCATCCCCGATATTATTAAGTCCGTAAGATTTTCAATTTTGGAAAAATTGTTAAAAATTTAAATTTGGTATTCTCTCGTCGTTTTCTCGTCGTTGCCGCTAAGCTGGGATTACAATTGTTATTCTACATCAAACAACATGTCGCTAGCCTTCGTGCCGCAGCAACAGAGGGGTAAACCTCCACCGAATCAGGCAACTATTCAGAAGGTAAATGTCAAGTTGTCCTTGAGTCATGACAAAGAGATTCAGATTGGGGGACGTTTCATTTAGATTTACCCCTGATTCTCATGATTTAACCCCTGAAAAAGAAATGGTAATTCAATAAAAGTTAAATGTTTTACTCGATACATTTTGATCTGAAGGTGTCTGCGTGTTAGACTAAACCGAAACTCATTGTACCGAAAAGCATTCTGGCATGCCATTGTACAGAAGGCGTTATGGTGTGACTACGTAAAATCAACAAAAATTTGAAAATTCTGAACAAAACTATCCAATTATTACGTTCGTGACCAACTATGAAACCCTTACCCCATAGTGGTATATATCAATGTACCTGAGTGGTTTGATCCTAAACATCAAATTATCTATGGAGTCACTTTACTTTTTGAGATATCAGCGTCCATTTTTTGTAACTTTTTTGCTTCCAAGGGCACATGCATAGTAAGCATACATGCCTATTGCCCATGTGGGGACTTTTCTATGCAATGGGTTTATCATTTGTGAGTACCACATCTGTTAGAAAGACTGTCACCTGCTATTTGCTTATTAACCTCTTGAATCCCAGGCTCTAAAATTGTTATCTGATATTTCAAGTTCTACCAACGGAGCCAGGCAATGAAAAAATAGTAGTAAAATTAGGTAGCAGAGAATAATTTCAACACATTTTAGAACAATTTTTGTGTAAATTGGATGAAAATTGTTCAAATAAGAGCAATTTTAGTGAACAAATTTGTGACAGATTTTCTTGTCACTTTGGATATCAAGGTCATTTCTGAGGTGACGAGAAATCTCGTCACTCCAGGTAGTCAAGAAGTTTAACTGACCTTAAACTGATTAAACTTATTAAACTGATTCAGTTATTCAGTTATTTCTAGGAATTTGTTCAAATTAATTTGAATGAGTAGAATGCCTGTTAAAATAACTTGTATAATTTTTGGACTGTATTTCTACAACCCTTCCATCTCAAGTGACTTTACAAAATATGTGTATGAATTGATCATCGTTTGTATACTGTACTATTTGTTTTTTCCTTTACTCGTTTATTTTCCATTTTATGAGTTCTTAACTTTTTTCCTTTCCAGATGCTTGATGAGAACAATCAGTTGATTAATACAATCATTGACCTGCAGAAAAAAGGGAAAGCGCCAGATTGTGTTCAGTAAGTTAATCTAGTAGCAAAGTTATCAAGTGTCGAGACAATCTCTACGTTTGAAATAATGGCCTATTTAAAAATTGAAGCCTCTACAACCTGGAAATATGTTACATTGATTGTGAGAACCCATTAGATACGTCCCCCATGCCCAAAACAGATGTCCATTACAAAATAATTATTTATTTTTTAGAAAGCCTGTATTTGAAAAACATCATGTTCAAGTTTGATAAAGTATTTTACAATTTTTTATCCCATTGAACGAATGTCAGAGAATATAAAGAACGGCTTCGTCCAAACACAACACCCTCATTCCAAGCAATAACTCAAAAACCATTGGCCAATTATCATTAATATTTTTTATGTATATGCCCTGTGTGATAACTTCTGTTTGAAAGCTGACTTTAAAAATGTCTGTTAGTTTCAAAATGGCTGCCATCATTTACATGCGGTCCTAACTTCGACCATTAATTTGAATTTTTGACCTACCGGATGTTTGAAAATCAAGGATTACGAGTCTCATACTGCACCGTTTTTCTTCAAACTTGTTCCATTCTAAGCATAACAAAAATTCAAATTAACGGTCAAAGTTAGGACCGCGTGATTTATTAAGTAGTGAAACAACTTATATTTTTCTTATTACAGATACCAACAAGTGTTACATAGAAACCTTGTGTATTTGGCCACTATTGCTGACTCCAACCAGAATATGCAACAACTTCTGCCAGTAAGAAATAAATTTTTGAACTTTTGAGTCTAATAAATAAGTTTGGGAATTATGTATTAAAGTAGTACAATTTTGAAAATTAATCTGAATGTTTTATGTATGGAGGTAAGCTTACTTAATTCCAAATACTCCATTTGATATGTTTATATTCATTTTGTATGTATTTCCAGTTCATTTATTTTTTTTCCTGTCTTTGTCACTGGATTTGAAATGTGACCATCTAGACCTTTAGTCAGCTTTGTTCATGTTTTAAAATAATTTCAGGGACTCCAGGTTCAATTTTGGAAAGTTCGCAAAATAGTGAAAAACTGCATCATTTTCAATGACTTAAACCCCCTCCCCCTCGAAACCCCCTGGCTATGAGCCTTTCATCCTCGGCCTCTATGATACTTTCAGGCCCCTAACCAGACACAAGTAGGGCCGGGCCAGCCTGTTAATCGACCGATGCAGGGGTTAGCACAGATGGTTGGACAGCAAGCAAGACCACAGGGGGCTATGGGCCAACAAATGGGTCAATACCAGGGACAGCAGCCAGTAATGGGTCAGCAAAGTATGGGACAGCAAAATATGGGAATGCAGCAAAGTATGGCTCCTCAAGGAAATATGGGACCACAGTCAAGTGTTAACCAATTCCAAGGGAACATTGGGAAATTGCAAGGCAGTACAACCCAGCAAGTAAATATGGCCCAAGGTCAAGCAAATATGGCTCAAGGTCAAGCAAATATGGCCCAAGGTCAAGCAAATATGGCTCAAGGTCAAGCAAATATGGGGCAGAGTCAAGGGAATATGGGACAAAGTCAAGGAAATATGGGACAAGGTCAAGGAAACATGGGTCAGGGAAATATGATAGGACAGCAAACAAGTATGGGACAGAAACAAGGAAATATGATGCAACAGGGAGGTATGAGTCAAGGAAACATGGGACAAGTTCAAGGAAACATGGGACAAGGTCAAGCAAATATGGGACAAAGTCAAGGAAATATGGGACAGGCTCAACCAAATATGGGGCAAGGTCAAGGAAACATGGGACAAGGTCAAGGAAACATGGGTCAAAGTCAAGTTAATATGGGACAACCTGATCAAAATGGGAAACAACCCAGTGACCAGACACCAACAAGCCAGGCTAGTGACCAAGCCACAAACCAGGCAGAGCCCCCTGCTGGTGGGCCACAGCAACAAAATGGGGCAGGACAAGGTGTTGGCAGCCCTGCACCTCATGTAAGTTGAACTAATAAGTTAAAAATAAATATTACCATCAAGTTCAAAAGGTTTTTTTTAATATTAAAAATCACAATTATTCAACAAATACATATTATAAAAGGTCCCATGCAAAGTTAGAAAATATTTTAACATCATGAATTTACCTACCATTGAAAAATTGTTGTGAAGAACGCCAAATGACATTTCCTTTATTCTTTATTTCAGCCAAGTAGCCAGGCACCACCAATTAGCTCTGGGGGTACAGCTGTAAGTTCCGGGGCCCCCACAGACCAGACAGGTTAGTTATCTCACTGGTGTACATAAAAAGAGGAAATACCCCCAGATTTCATCAATGAACCTTTATTCATCTTAACTATGTATTCTGGGGTATTCCTCCTCTTGGTAAACCTCTATGATTCTTTATGATTGGTTGAATGCAAAACTGTCAAATCGTTAATCATAGTCAGAGGGAAATGTTAGTTGGTGAGATCAGGGTGCTTACATTTTTAAAGAATTGACTTTTTACTTTATGCCAGTTTCCAAAAAAGCATGAGCTACACTGTCAATTAAAATGATCGATATCATATGCATATTTTGATTTTTTGACAGGTCAGAGTGCAATGCCCCCCAGCAGTCAGCAAATGTCCATGAGCCAAGCATCAACCAATCAAATGCCTCCAATGACATCACAAGGACAAGGACAGCCAATCAACACACAGAATTTCCAGAGAGGTCCCATGGGTAATCAGCAACCAGGTATGATGGGTCAAGGTGAGGGTGCTTTGTTATGCTTTATATAATCTTCTGTTTTCTCACTGAATGAAGTCTTGGTGAAATATAGTTATGCCATCCAATATAATCCAATATAATGTATAGTATTTAGTGGAAAACAGTTAATTATTTACAAGTTGTATGCAATGCAAATACACGAAATGCAAACTCAAGAGTTTGAGTTTATTTACAAGATGTTTAAATGTAAACCCATCTTCATACTTGAACAAGGAGGACTGGCTGCCAGCACTCCCCTGTAATTCTAGAGATGAACTCTATAGCAGTATTGTTGCCAGTCAGATGAAGATTGTGAAAAAATACTTGGAACCAGCCTTACTTCTTATTTACAGCGATATTGTGGAAGTGCAATATATGTGGAACTTGAACATCCCAGATTAGGGACAAATATTTTTTTAGGGTTAATTTTCTACTACTGGAGTTGTCATCGTATAGTTTCTATCGCATCTGGCCAGCCCTTGACATAGTAATAGGAAAATAAATGCACACAATCCTGGAAATATCCCTGGGGGAGAATAAGTTGACTTTTCTAATTGGGAGCATTCTGTATGTCTATTCCAGGTCAGATGATGGGTCACGGAAATCCAAATCAGCCATATTCGGGTCAAGGTTATCCTCCTAACCAATCAGGTACTGGTATCATAATGATGTCATCAGACTAGTCCACTCTCACTAGGGGTGTTAGCTTTAGGTTGCACTATGTCGTTTTTATTGAATTATCCTTGTAAGCCAAGCTTGCCTTTAGGGGAAATTCACATTTCATTTGCTACAGAGAAGATTGGTTTACCAAGTTATTGGACGAGTCCAATATTGAAAAGAAAGGTTTTGTAGTTTGTGTGTTGTGTGATTGTCACTGTTTTGATATTTCCTGAGCTTTATTAAAAGTAATGTACACTTAAGCCAACTTAACTTTGAAAGGTGCTTCAAATTGACCATGGGGAGGGGGAGAGAGTAATCAAGGATGGGGACTAATTTCTTTAGTGCAGCTCAATTTGCCAATTTTGATGCTAATTCTACCCCAAAATTCAAAGTTTCCCAAGAAAAGTAAGGGTGAGATATTCTATGTGAAATTTATATTATATTATTATGAGACTGCTTAGGCTACAGGCTTGATTTGTATAATGTGTGATAACTAAATGAAGATGTTTGTATTTCACAAGGCGTGTAAACTCCCTGGATTTATCTTCAAGTGGAGTGCAAAATTCTATTCCGATCTAAGTTGATCAACATATTCCCCTTTCCATGATTTTTCTTATTTTCAAGTGGGTCTCTTATTAATTTCTCACAGGTATGGTTCCTCAACAAGGCATGATGTCCCAGAACAATCAGATGACACCACAGAACAATCAAATGACATCACAGAACAATCAGATGACACGTCAACAGATGCCACCACCCAGTAATTACCCAAAAAGCCCTGGTCAAGGTAGGATATAATATTACTATTTTTATTTATTGCGCTTTGAAATGTGCTTTATTGTCAGTGCTTTGTGCTGCTGGAGTTGCGTGCATCTGGGTGGGTCCACATGGTGCAACACATGGACATTGTCATTGAAATTCCAGGAAAACTGCTTTTCCATTCAACATTTTTACATATGCAAGAGCAGAGTTGTCCAAACATCTGATTAGGTTTTTGGTATGCTGGGTAAATTACGTGGTGGTCATTTCGCTCTTATAAGTGCGATATTTATCACTTAGTCTCGCACTTATTTTATGCTAAAGTCACGATACTCGCTTTTATTATATATTTTTAGTAGAGGTTGTAGAGAACACATGCAAAAAGAAACTGAAAACAATATTTCAACCAAATCAGTTCTATTTTTCATTTCTATTTTTACAGGCTTTAACCAGGCTTATCCAAACCAACCGCAACAATATGGTGGTCAACCACAACAACAACAGTACAACCAGAACTACAACCAAGGCCAACCCCAACAATATGGCAACTACCCCAACCAACAACAACAGCAGCCTGGTGGATATTTCAGACCTCCTGGACCAACCAATCAAATGGGGCCTCCTGGATCAACCAATCAGATGGGACCACCTGGATCGACTAATCAGATGGGGCCACCTGGGTCAACGAGTCAGATGGGACCGCCTGGATCAACCAATCAGATGGGGCCTCCTCAAGGTCAAATGCCAAGAGGTCAAATGCCACCTAGTGGTGGGATGGGGAACCAGACCAGCATGCAAAGCAGCATGGGAAATATGCAAGGCAGTATGGGTACTATGCCTGGTCAAATGGTACAATCCAGTATGTCGCAGGCCCCCATGAATCCAAGTCAGATGAACCACTTAGTTTCACAGGGGCAAATGAGTGGCCAGATGGCGCCACAAGGTCAGATGGGGTCACAAGGTCAACCTGGATATGGCTATAACCAAGGTCAATATTAACTGATCGAATTCAACATTTTTAGTAGAAGCTGTTCCTCACTTTAGTTAACGCATTATGACTAAATACTGTAAAATATAGCTTTGTATATCGGATATACATGTAGCAACATATAATCAACAAATATATATGAGAGATTCTCTGGTACTGACTAGGAAGAACAAGATACACTTGGAATGTAACATTTAAAAATGTCGCATTTAAGAAATGTCACATTTAAGAAACATCACATCTATTAAGTGTGACATTTGATATGTACTATGTACATTTATCCGAAAAGAAACAAACATAGAACAAAATATTTACACTAATTTGTAGCTTCACTAATGCTGTGCAGGAACTCTTCCCAGTTTAGACCATTTCACTGAATTTGCACCCGTGGTCGTAATTATTCCCAATGCCATGTCTGGATGAGTCATCACAAAGACAAGTTCAGAAATCTGTTCTGAGACCACTTGGAGAGTTCAGATAGATTGCTAAGATTTCAATTTCAAATGATTCCTATTGGAATTTTGTATAGTTACGCCATATGTTAACCTATTGTTGTTGATACAAGGTGTCACAAAAAATCAGCCATCTCATTTTGGTGTTACTCGATTTTGTTGGAATCTCCTTGAATTTTCTTTTGTAGATCCCACTAAAGGGCTCAACGGGTAAAGTGTGTCATTTAAAGAACACATCAATATATAATGAATTTCAACAAGTTTAAGATTTAGAGAAATCGTGATTTTAATTTTGCATCTAATTATTTGAAAATGCTCAGAGAAAAATATTCCAGAATTAGGTAGTTGATTTGATGTCACCCGCATAGTATAATGTACTTGTATATAGACTGTAGTTTTGTAAAATCACTAAAATATTATTTTTTGTATAATCATGGGCATTCAACGGAAATTCTATTGAAAGCCCATGGTATAATGAATTCCAGTTTTTTGGAATGATATACAGTATAGTAGAATACCTAGCATAATTGTAAGAAAAGTATTATGGATGATAGTTACACAAAGTACAGTGGAACTAAAGAGTCAAGCACGTCAACACTCGATTGTAAAATATCATAAATGTGATAGTTTCAGAGAAGTTATTAAAATTGAACATGGACAACTATATTTTGTAGGAAGAGAAGCATGAAAAGAGAAAAAAGTTAAAACAGTTTTTTGACATTTTCAAAACATAGATATTATTACCATATATATTTCATTTATTCTTATAAGATATAATAATGTAGAAAAAAATTCAGTGAAAACAATTAATTTAGGACATTTTCGAAAACAAATATAACAAATAATCATACACTATGTAGTCTATGACTTTCTAGTTTTCACTGTACCACAATGTTCATATAAATGTACATACATTTACTTATGCTGTTCTAAAACACTAGTTTAACAATATTGCAGTGTATGTTTATTCTTTCTTGTATGAAAGCATACTCTGCGAGCAGAATCTAATTATAAACTACCGACAAAGATGAAGCTCTTTTTTAAGAATCGTAGTTGAACAAACGCAAAGGGTATAGAAAGCACATTTTACTGACTGCTTATGAGACCCAGATGTGGGATGTACATAGATATATACTGCTAGTTGATTTAATTTGGGACAGTTTTTATTTAGGTAATAAAAAATGGAAAAATGAAATGCAGTTAAATCTTTGTAAGTGAAACACTTTTGGTACCTCTAAAAAGTGTTCCTCTATAAGAAGTTCATCTTAACAGAAAGACAGTTCAACTTATGGAATTGTTCCACTTTACAGGTTTTTCTACTGAACCAAATTAAATCAATTTATAATCAGTGGCGCATCCTCCCCCTCCCCCTTTAGTGGGCCCAGAAAAAAATTTCAGTTTTTGGGCTCCAAAATGTTGTAGGGCCTCAAAAGTGAGCCTTTTTTGGGCATAAGTTGGTCTTTTTGGGCCAATTTATCCAAATATTGGCCTTAGTTTTTCAAACTTTTGGTTTTAGGGGCCCAAAATTTTTTTCTGAGCAATCACAGAAATTTTTTTCCAGACTCAAAATTGGGCCCCTCCCCATGTTAATTGTTGGATCCGCCACTGATAATAGAGAACAAGGAGGCAAAGAGGCAAGGAGGCAGTAACCTCACATCCAACAATTATTTACATTAATAACATTGCCTCTCTGCGCTCTATTCAGAAGTTGTATAATAATTACAATTTACATAATTGTAGCTTGAATAGGGAGGCTACAGTCAATTGTTTTTAAGAAAACTTGTCTGTGAATGTGTTTTATTATGACCCCCCCCCCCCGCCCCCAATAAAGCAAAGTCCCTCAATTGGTTTTTCCAGGGACTAGTTACAGCTTTTTTCCCCCTTTCTTTCATAGTCAGGTAAGTAAATACTGCTTGGAGAGCACTCATGCCTTCAGGACTATAACTATACTCATTTATGTACAAGCTGTCTTTAAAACTTGAAGCTTAACATCCCTTATGTAACAGGCCCGTAGCCAGGATTTGCCAAGGGGGATTCAGTTTTCCAAAATTTCCAGGGGGGTTCACATTTGACAATTTTGGTCCAAATATGGTGAAAATCACTTGAGAAGTGCTCAAAATGGTGAAAAACTGCATGATTTTGAAAGAATTTATGGCCAGGGGGGTCACCCGAACCCTGCGAACCCCCCCCCCCCCTGGCTACGGGCCTGTGTAACAAATACACATTGATATATTACATAGTATAATGTATTGTAAAATGTCCATTGAGTTTCATAATGATAATGTATTTAGGCTCTGTGTCTTTAAAGCCTATCGGTCTTTGATATTCATATTGCACTAAAATGCATAAAACATAACATGATAGGATATTTGTCATCTAGAAGACACTTTGTCAAATTTTTGGACTTTAAGAAATAACATTTTATGGGTTTACAATAACAAAAAATGATTTTACACACCAGATTAAATGAGTGGAGAAATTGTACAATGTAATATACATTAAAACCTGTCTTAGTGGAACATCTTTGGTAGCTCTATTAAAGTGTTCTACTTGGGATATTCTCCACTTTATAGGTTCATCAAGGCAATTGGTCTTGTGACTCTTGAAAATGTGTGTTCCACTCACAGAGGGATTTCATTCCTAGAGGTGTTCCACTTCACAGGTCCACTTCACAGGTGTTCCACTTTACGGGTGTTCCACTTCACAAATGTCCCTTTACAGGTTTCACTATACTTGCTCGTATATTTGGTGAACTGCCATGGTTGTAGCTAAACTGTAGCATAGGTGAGGCAAATTCAGATTTGTCAGGCAAAAATTAGGTTAAAAGGCAAAAAATACTGTCATTAAATTTTATTTTCAAGGTTTTAATTAAAAAATGTCTGCAATGATATTCATCTATAAAGGTTTGGACTAGCTACGGGCATGCTATTGGTGTTATGGGATGGAGTCAAATATGTTTGCAAAAAATTTACTGACACAACAATGGAAATTTTTATCATGCATTTTAAAATCCATGATAACCCTACTTTTGGAGATGTAAACATTACCAGTGGTCTCCAGAGAATTCAAGCAAGTGGGTGCAACACCCTCCAGGAATTTAGAAAACAGCCTTACACCCACCTTAAATATCCATTTGATCCCACTTCAAAAAGAGGAATATCATTAAAAAATTGGCATATTTTGTCCTGGGGAGATCACTGGTTACCTTTGTATAAATTGCATTCTTTATAAATTTATAGATATTTGGTGAAAAATATAGAAATATATATTGTGCTTTTATTGTCTGTAATGCTAAACACATTGTTTTGTTCCAGTAGTTATTACTAATTTTAAAATGAAAGAACACATTATTGAAGTAGCTTTTCTCGTGTGAACCTAAAATACCAGAATATTTTGTTGAAAATCACAATAATTTTGTTATAAACATTTCATGTAAAAATCAAAGTTTGAAAGATTGCTTCACCCACTAGTTAAATTAAATTCTAATTGATGTACAGGGTGGGCTCAAAAAAGTACACTTTTATAGAAAGGCTACCTTCTTAAAAGAGGCGTATAGCCTTTTATTTTTTGTGAAGTCACTCAGTAAAATTACGATTTCTCTGCAACCTGATGTCCAATCAAGATCATTCAAGTATCTGTGTGTTCCTGACACGTTTGGGTGTCCGGGAATAACAACGTCTATCCAATGTTTGCACGCGAAATTGACGTAGCCTAATACTTGACTGAAATCGGGAAGACAAAAGAAGAGCATACAGAACACGGAAGCAATGTTATGTTGAAAATGTTCTATATTTCAGTTCAGACATCCATGTTATAGTCAAAACAGAAATGTTTGTGACTACTTTGAATTTGAAAAATAAGCAATCAAATGACCATATTGAAACAGTTTATGTAAAAATAGAAACATTTATATTTATCCTAACTTTTGTATATTTCAGATAGTAATGCATAATGTGCAGCAAAGCTGTGGCCTTTTGTAATTTAGGGAGTTTCAGCCATGTTAATTTCTCCGAAAATAACATGGCAGAGAAGTATCAAAATATAAGAGGACACAGATATGATAGCTAAACTACAAAACAAACTAAAATATACAAACGTTAGGATAAATATAAATGTTTCTATTTTAACATAAACTGTTTCAATATGGTCATTTGATTGCTTATTTTTAAATTCAAAGTAGTCACAAACATTTCTGTTTTGACTCTATTACATGTCACGTAGGCCAGTGTTTTATATGGGGATTGTAGGCCTACTTTACTTGATCACATGAACGTAAATTATTACATGAAATCTGCAGTCTTTTATCTGGGTTTGTATTGTCTTACTTCATTTATCAGTAATACGTGAAAAACATATATATGTTGGTGCTATAAGCACAGACGAGGCTGTATGGTAAATACATTAACCCCTGCGCCCATAGTCAGCTTTTGTTAAGGGTGTTCAGTTTTATTTTAAAAAATCTAGGGATGGGGTCAAGGGATCAGTCATTGTATAGTGTCATTATAAATATAGAGCTATAAATCCAATGAATGAACATGTGTAAAAATCTTAATATTATAAAGGTACAGAATCACACTGATTGATCATAGTTATTTTGAACTTATATCAACCCAAGAATATGTTTTTAGGCAATTCGAAGAGTGGTCCACTTCTTAGTCAGAAATCGTGTATTGTTCACTTAATTATCACTGTTTTGAGTTTGAATAACACAATCACAATCAGGGTATCTCAAAAATGTACCTAAAAGTATATCAAGAGCACAGATAAACCAATCAATATTTTCAGACATTTATGCATGGTCATGTCGCCAAAACATGAACGTTTTCCCCCCAATACACCATTTTTATTTCAGTCTTGTCTTTTTGATGCTTTAATCCTTTACCTTTTACACCACAAAATCGATGTTACCTCATATTTCGATGACAGCCTGTATCATTACCGCTACATTGGTCATCGCATTTGATAATAATTCCGTTGGAATGTTTTGGATTTCTCTTTGGATGTTGGCATTAAGTTGTTCTAGGTCTTTTTGCTTGGAATGAGCATTAAAACACTCCTTCAAATAGCCACAGAGAAAGATATTTGAGGATGAAGATGGCAGAACAAACACAGATAATCAAGTCAATTATCGACAAATGATTCAGGATTTACGTTCCAGAGTTAGGCGACCAAATGATATCCAAATAAACGTAGTGGTCTCGAATTGATGCACACAACAAAGGCTACACTAGAATCCCAACCAATGCAGTTTCTTGAACCTCTGACCTCTCTTTGTAAGGGGGCTATGAGAGATTGTGAGGGCCTCCCTATTCACCATATTTGACGACCCATACTTTTTTCTCTGAGGCTATTTGAAGGACCATTTTTATGCTAAATCCAAGCTAGGAGACCTAGAACAACTTAAGACCAGCATCCGAACAGTAATCAAAACATTCCACCAGAAATATCAAATGTGATGAACAATATAGTAGTAAGGATGCAGACTGTCATCGAAATATGAGGTTACATTGAATATGTGGTGTAAAAGGTAACGGGTTAAAGTATCAAAAAGGCAAAACTGAATTAATAAAAATTGTGTATAGGGGAAAAAACTTTCATCTTTTATCTACAAGAGCATGCAAAAAATGTCTGAAAATATTGATTGGTTTGTCTATGCTGTTGATATACTTTTGGGTACATTTTTGAGACACCCTATATACATGTCTTATGATTAAAAGGCATGCCAATTCTATATTGATTGGATGTAATCAAATGTGACATGCTTTTATACCACGCTATATATGTGTTTTTCACTAATACCCGGGCCACATTTGCTCCAATTCATTGACACTCTGTACATCACATACGAAGCATGGGATGTCGTACTTAAATTATCATATACTGGGGTTCATTGTGATTTTCTTAAAACCCAAATACCCTGAAGATCATATCGTTCGTATCCAATAAAACGATCAATAACCTCGAAATTTGCAGTAAGATGTTTGAGTCTACTATGACCATACCTCCTCATAGCATTAAACTGCAAGTAGGATGTCTCATTATGTGTCTCTGGAAGTCCGAGAATAAATAATCCCCCTGGTTTGAGCATGCACCAAACCTGTGCAACAGCTTCCAGATCCCCATATGGATTCAGAGGGTCTCCATAGCGACCTAATCCAGAATGTTCAATTGATGAATACGATAATGCAAAATCGAACTCTTGAAAACTACCATTTGCATATAATTTTGCCATATCATACGGGTGGATTTTGGTTATTTTAGGATGAAGGAACGGATTATTGTTATATTCAAGTGTTATCATGTGTTTTGCACCAACAGATAAGGCCAATGCTTCAAGCCAGGGTGATTGGGATCCAATCACAACTCCACGCGCGTTACTTATTTCATCTTTATATGCGGTAATTGACTTTTTAGGTTCCTTTACTTCATACGTCCCAATAATCTTCCCAGCCTTATCATCCTTTATTAGTTGTTCAATTGCTTCCTTTGAAAAATATTTCTCTCTGTTGACCTTTGAAATTGACTTCTTGTCATTGACGTACCAATAATTCTTATTAGGAAGCTCCCCATTTTGTGTGAACGCATCATATAATTCTGCAGGGATTTTCCGAGGTGGTACCTTTGGAGTTGCTGGATTAAGTGCCATACGTTTCATTATTGAACCACATTTGACGGTTTTCCGGATATACGGATAGTATTTCCTCTTCTCTTCAACTTTCACCTCATAGCTACAGATTTCACCACACTCCAAAGAAGGCTCGTCGGGTTCTGAAGAAAGAAAAATGTATGGAATTTACAAAATGTCTTTTATAGACTCTTCGAAATCATAACAATAATATAGTCATGTAAATATATTTTCATTACAGTGTACAGCGAGTACCGTTTTGAAATTTCCGATCGCTTTTAGATTTAGTAATGGAGCCTGAATCATTGGCATCCAGCGATTCTGACCGAGTAGATTTTACATGGTAAACCTTCTTTAACCGGTCACTAAGTTATCTTGTATTCGCAAGTTACCTTGTATTCGCGAATGCAACAAACGCCCATCGGCTACCGGATTAACCTGCTATTTTATGGGCAACTACTCATTTAAATATGAATAGTGCCTTACACTTTTCCATTCATATTTATATGAGTTGGTCATGAAATTGTAGGTTAATCCGGTAGCCGTCAAGCTAACGTCTGTCGGCTACCGGATTGACCCGGTAGTATTTTATGACCAACTCATTTAAATATGAATGGAATAGTGGCAGGTACTCTTCATATTTTTAAATGAGTTACCTGTAAAATAGTAGGTTAATCCGGTAGCCGGCAGGCGTTAATTGCATACGCGAGTACAATGTCAGCTTACTCTTTAACTAAGCTAAAATCAACATCATCCACACGTGTATGTGAATGATTTTTTGAGTAAATTATCGAGATTCATACTAAACCGAAATGCACGTAATTTTTATTGTGATTAATATATTATTTCGATTAATTCAATTTATTAATTAATTTATCTGTGTAAATAATATTAATAAGCTCTACCACAGATAGCGTGCCTGATATGATGATATGATTGGTAGTCACCTAGAAACACAGAGACAATTAGATAAAAAGCTTCAACATGAAACAAAACTTACGTCAATTTCTAATCATCTCAAAAAGACCAAGAGGGGCAAATCTGATTGATCAGTTAATTTCATTACGTTATTTATGACCATTAACAGTTATCTAACATTTCTTTTATAATGGCTATCACAAGAACTCTAAACTGGGCTAACAATGAAGAAAACCGCAATTTTAGCTGCAAGTTGTTCTATTTCTAATTAATTGAGTGTCGAGTCTCGCATCATACGAATGTAATTGTAGGCGAACTGTCTGCATGGGGCTGATGTAGCAATAATGACGTTTAGCTTCGAAGGGTGGGTGTAAAAATTGATATAGAGCCCTACGCCAATGGCAACATTTTTGAACAAATTTGAATTACGCACCACGAAGGTGTTGGAAAATAGGTCAGATAATTCATTCTGTTCAAGTTACATTGATGTATTACATTGGGATTGTGAATGTAGTTTGATTAGGATGCTATACCCTTTGCATTCGTCTGACTTCACTTCTTAAAAGAGAGCTTCGTCTTCAGTAGTTTAACTAGACTCTGCACGCAGGGTAAGGATGCTGCTAAATAACGATTAAAATGGTAACTGTATCGTGTTGACAAAGAATTGCAAATTACTGTGCAGTGACATAATTGTCTGGAAAATTGGATCAGAACATAACGAAATGAAATGATTTAAGGTAACGTTAAAGTCAAAATTACAAAAAATGGCAGCCATATTTTTTTGGTAAAGTCACAAAATTTTGTATCGGTTTTCCTTATATGTGAATGCATTTCCTGACTAAAGAGACATGACATTGTGAAAGGACACTTCACATTTAAACGCACTTTTCATAACTATGAATTGGAGGTGCATGGGTCCCTAAAGCTAGCACGAAGACCGTGAAATGAAGCTAATTTATGAAAGTTTCAAGGAGTAGTCTTGCAACAGTCACACATTTGCAAGAATCCAAAATTTCCACAAATCATCTTACCTTACCAAGGAATATCGAAGGAGCGTGAAAATGTGCACTTCTTGCATTGTTAGAGTATGATAAAGCTCAAACCATAGTTTCTTATAAATATTTCATGTCCACCATTTTGTTTGCCGGAACTACTTATAGACTTCCTGATTAATCCTCATACATGTTTTGTGACTTCACCAAGTGGCATGGATTATTACTAATCTATAGCAGTATAATAATCATGATAGACACATGATTGAGGCTTTATAAATGATAAACAATGGATACATGAGTGAGGATTACTTGGTGAGTGAGGACAAGTCCCAGCAAACAAAATGGTGGACATGAAATATTTAGAATTCACAATGGTTTGAGCTTTATTATACTCTAGCAATGCAAGAAACACACATTTTCATGCTCCTTTGATGTTCCTTGGTAAGGTAAGGTCATTTCATTATAAGTGATATCATTTTATTGCCTCGTAGATATCAAATATCAACACTCATTTGCTTAGTTCACTCGCGTTGGTATTTGAAATCAACTCGTTGATAAAAATGACATCCCTCAGAATGATGTGACATTCTGTATCACTACAGTAAAATTTTAAATGTAAGGAACTACTTTGAATTTAAAAAATAAGCAATCAAATGACTATATTGCAACAGTATATAAAAAATAGAAACATATGTACTTGTCCCAACTTTTGTATATTTCAGATAGTTATGTATAATGTGCAGTGAAGCTGTGGCCTTTTGTAATTTAGGGAGTTTCAGCCATGTTAATTTTTCCGAAAATAACACGGCGGAGAAGCATCAAAATATAAGAGGGCATAGACATGATAGCTTAAGGTGACATTTAAGTTAATCAAAAATACAAAAAGATGGGAGCCATATTTTTTTGATAAAGTCAGAAGATTTTGTATACTGTTTTCCTTGTATGTGAATGCATTTCCTGACTAAAGAGACACATAAAAGAAAACCTCACATTTAAACGCATTTTTCATAACTATGAATTGGAGGTGTATGGCTCCCAAAAGCTAGCATGAAGAGTGCGAAGTGAGGCTATTTTTTGAAAGTTTCAAGGAGTAGCCTCGCAACAGACACACATTTGCAAGAATTCAAAATTTCTAGATATAGTCTTACCTTACCAAGGAACAACGAAGGAGCACGAAAATGTGTACTTCTTGCATTGTTAGGGTATAATAAAGCTCAAACCATTGTGAATTCTAAATATTTCATGTCCACCATTTTGTTTCCTGGAACTGTTTTTTAGTCCAGAGTTATCTTCATTCATGTTTCCATTGTTTATCATTCATAAAGCCTCTATCATGTATCTATCATGATAATTACACTGTAATAGATAAAACATACAAGTGATAATCCATACCACTTGGTGTAGTCACAAAACTTGCATGAGGATTAATCAGGAAGTCTAGAAGTAGTTCCGGCAAACAAAATGTGGACATGAAATATTTAGAATTTACAATGGTTTGAGCTTTATTATACTCTAACAATGCAAGAAGTGCACATTTTCATGCTCCTTCGTTGTTCCTGGGAAAGGTAAGATGATTTGTGGAAATTTTAGACTCTTGCAAATGTGTGACTGTTGCAAGGCTACTCCTTGAAACTTTCAAAAATTAGCCTCACTTCGCACTCTTCATGCTAGCTTTGGGGATCCATGCACCTCCAATTCATAGTTTGGAAAAATGCGTTTATGTGTGATGTTAACTTTGACATGTTTCATTAGTCAAGATACACAATTCATATACAAGGTAAACAGATTTTAAAAACATGTGTCTTTATCAAAAAAATATGGCAGTCATTTTTTGTACTTTTTATTTAATATAGCGTCGCCTTAACTACAAAACAAACTAAAATATACAAAAGTTGGGACATGTATAAATGTTTTATTTTTACATATACTGCTTCAATATGGTCCTTTGATTGCTTATTTTTTAAATTCAAAATAGTTACTAACAACTGTACATCGTCAATTTACACAATTTATTCATTGGAATGACAAGTTATTCCTTAAATACAAATTATAGTTTTGTTTTGTGTCTTATGACACAGAAATTACCCTAAAATACAAGAGGAATCGAGAACGAAACCCAGATTTGAGAAAGAAAACAATATCACTTACTGTTTTTACTTTGTTGTAATTTCCGAGGTACTATCATCGGCTTTGGATATTCCACTGCCATATATACCTTGGGCAATTTCATATGAATAAATACAAGACATGCTAGAAGAATGAGAGTTGGAAAAAGATATTTACTTTTATTTAATAGTAAATCCATTCTTTCTGTTTATTATCCTCGCGTTACTTTTATTTTTATAAGCGACCTTTTCAGTTGCGTCCAAGTAACAAAATGTTGGGAACTTCGCCCGGGAACTTCGCCAAGTAGCTCTCTTTGATAAGAGATTTCCGCCTGTGTATGAACACTGCTTGCTGATGCCTGGGTCACATTTGCTGCGATTCATCGGCCGATTGAGTATTTTGTTCAAAATTGAATACATTTCTGAACACAATACTCAATCGGCCGGGCGCCGTAGTGAAAATCGGAGCAAATGTGACCAAGGCATAACGCCCGATAAATTAAAAACCAAGGATAAAACACACTGTCATGGAAATAACGAGTTACTGTGGCGGAACGCCGGGTCATCTTTCAAAGTATGGTACTCAGCGATGTATACTTAGGGACCCAAGTTCTGAGAAACAGCTAGAAAGTGAAAATGGATATTGGAAAGTATTACGCGAGATTTTTCAGTTCTTGTTGGAAAATAAGTTACTTTTATGATGTGAGGTGATATCTAGAGTTTGAGACTTGCGAAAATAAGATATCCTCATCTTTATACCCCCCGCCCTATAATTTTAGGGAGAAGAAAATAAACTTTAATTTATAACTTTGGAAGTGTATGAGATACGAACTTAATTTTTCACCAAAATTTATAAAGTTACATCAATATTTGAAGACAAAATATTTTAAATGAAAAAAGCTAATTTGCATAATTTAACTCTTAAACTGCCATAAAAACTATAAAATGACGAAATGATGATGTACCACATTTACTGTTATTGCCTTCATATGAAGTATTAACTTATGAAATAATTCTTAAAAATGCATCTATATATGTATAATAGATGTGCAAAATATTAGAAGTGTATCTTACATAAAGACTGTGAAAAAAATTCTCCCCCTACCCAGATATTTGAGGGGGGTCAAAGGAAAACGGACTTCAATTCATAACTTTGGAAGCATATGAGGTACAAACTTAATTTTCTCACCAAAATCTGTAATAACATCAGGAATTCAGAACAAAATTGCTGGTATGCAAACAAGCTAATTTGCATAATTTAACCCTTATATAGTCATAAAAACCGTTAAATGGCGAAGTGATAAAATACGGCGTTTACTTTAATTGATCTCTCATGAAGTAATAACTTATGAAATAATTCCTAAAAATGCATCTATATATGTATAACAGATTTGCAAAATACCAAATGTGTATCTTACATATTGAGTGTAAAAAAATTTCTCCCCCTACCACTACCAGAAATTTGAGGGGGGTCAAATGAAAATGGACTTTAATTCATAACTTTGGAAGTATATGAGTTACGAACTTAATTTTTCACCAAAAGAACGAATGGTTATAGACACCCCTGGGGTCACTTAACATTTTTTGAAAAATGCAATGCAGTTAATATCTTTGATATTTAGGATCAAATTGTAGATAGATATGTATATTTTCAAGAAATAGCAATAAAAACATTCAAGATTAATGATATAAGTATATTTTGGTTGATTTGGGAGGTACAGTGTATGTATCACTTCCTGTGAAAATGTGAATTTTTTATCAGTCTCAGAAAATGTCTCCACAATGTATAAACCCAACTTGGCACTGAGATGTCCCATTGTTTGACTGTGTCACTCTATACACTCATTGGATTAATATTTTGTATACATAAATAGTCATTTTACAATAGTCATTGAGGGGGGATTAGCCTGTTTGATTATTTGGCGTCTGTACCTTACGTTTTGTTAGTTACATTGATATATAGATCTACTGATCTATACCTAGCTTATTGAATATGACTTTAAATCCCGTTTATGATATATCTGGAAAGTTTCAATAGTTCAATCAAATTGAAGTAATTCTGTAATTGTTCTGTTTCAATTTTAAATGCATCTGACCCCCTTGTCTGACCCCCTCTTCCCAAGACCTTAAATTGCGATTCGGATTTTTAATATCAATTCTTATACTGTTTATTTAGAGGTCATTTAAAGGGACAAAGTGCGTAAATGAAGTTTCACTTTTGATCTTCATAGTATTTCCAATCGATTAATAAGTACCTGATCTTTAATTTGACACCAAAAACAGCTCAAACAGACCACATCAGAGTTGACACTAGATCATAAAAATATTTTTGATCTATCAATTTATACAGGGCGTCAAATAAGTCTGTTCTCCCCCCTTAACTTTTTTAATTCAGAGATAATATAAGGCTGGTATATATCATCTTAAAGGGAATTTAATTTGCTGATCACACACCAAATCTCAGAGTGATTGGTCAAATTCCAAATTTTTTAGAGTAAATTTAGTGATGTCCATATTTCACTTTTTAATAGTCTGTATGTCTCCCCAGCAGCCCGGATGGCCTCATTTCTACGAGGATGTGATCTTGTATAAATCACTCAGAACGTTTAATTTTAGGTGTTATCAACTATTTTGTGATGAAAGATGCCCCTACTTCAAAGGCTTCCCTGGATTTAACACATTTTACTCTGTAATGATATTGAGAAACATCGAAATCACCCAATGTTGGCATTGTCACTGCAGTATCAACTTTTCACTTTTCATTCACTGTACCTGGTAATTTTACTTGTTTTGACGTAATCAAAGGTCAACTACAACCTTACAAGAAACATTGTAGGATTTGTATTATGAATATTTCATTATTGATTTTTTGAGGGTGATCAGCATTTTCCATGAGCTTCAAAATGATATATGGGAAAGTATGATAAATTTGAAGATAAAAAAGTTAAGGGGGGAGAACAGACTTATTTGACACCCTGTATATGTCAAATTTTTAGCAATGCCATAGAAAGATGGCATTGTTGTTTGCATTAATTATCCATTCAATTTTGATAGGATTTTCAAGCATACGCCATCTTTTAATCCAAGAGTTATTTAAAACATACACTTTGTGAAAAGTGGTAATTTACTTCTTTTGATCTCTGAACTTCAAATGCTGTTTTCTATGCTTTAGTATTGACCCAAATTAAAGTTTTTATCATACTTGATTGACTGTGTGAGTGACATGTCTCAAATAATATTTTGTTCCTTTTTCCTTCAAAAATAAGCGCACTGCCTGTTTAATGGTAGGGATGGAATAATAATTTATTCCGAGGGACCGAGGCGACCCTCCCCCCTACTGACCAACATTTCTTTCAAAATCATGCAGTTTTTTATCATTCTGACAATTTTTTGAGTGATAAGTTTGGCCAGATTTACCAAAGTGAGCCCCTCTAGATTTTTTGGGAAAAGTGAACCCCACTTGGAAAATTCTGGCTACGGGCCTGCGGTAAACACTGAAACGGCCTTAGCCAACATAGCCCTACATGTACTGGTACATGTTAATCGTTAGTCATAGATTATGCTTACTATATTTGCACATAGCCATCTTTAGATCAATCTAAAGATGTCTATGTGCAAATATAGTAAGATTATGCAAAATTTCTTTGAAAAAACAATTCCGATGATCTCTTCACTTTTTCATTTTCTCTTTGATCTTTCAAACACAGTATTTTTCTACAAAACATTGCGTTTTCGCATGTACGCCTTTTTTGCATACATCTGTAAGCTTATACATATATTCACACCATAGGCCAAGGGAAAAGTAATACTAAGCTGTATATAGAAGAGACAGGTCCACAAGTAAGATTGAAAATTTTTCAAATTTTTTTAGTCTTGGCACTAGTTCTCCTTACTGGTATCAAATTGTATTCCCAAATTTCTCCAAAATCTTCTTCAAAGTGTTTTTCAAACTTATATCATTGTTTTTTCAAATCTTTATCTAAAAACTGCATATAATACTGCATATAAAACAACAACTATGGAAACCTACAATTGCCTGGCAAGCTGAAACTGATTGTCACTGGTGGAGGTCAGGGAGGTCAGCAGTGACCAATCAGATCACTTGTTTACTAATGAACTTGCCAAGCAATTGCAGGTTTTCAGAAATTCTCTCTTTTAGACAGCATTTTTCACTCTATATCATCTGACTGAGTTTCAATCTTAGGTAAGAGCTACAAACTATCAATTTTCTATCAACTCCCCATGGCTTTTTGAAAATAATACACTAAATATAGTTAAAATCTCCAAGTCAGAGTTGTTCACCTGTCTCTTCTATATACGGCTTACTATTACTTTACCCTTGGCCTATGATTCACACCTAGGATGAAGAAGCTTCTTTTCTTCATCCTAGATTCACACGTACATCGGCACTTTCCCGGGGATTTTGAAGTCACATATTTGGAAATAGCAAAATGATCGATCCCTGACAACCAATCAGTAAAGGTCAAGGACGTTTCAGGTAAAAATGAAGTTAGCGGAAATATATAATGTTTTTTATAAATTGAGTACTTATATCGACATTATGGCACGTAAAACTATTTAATTAGTATCAATGAAGTTCCGGGGAACTGGAATTTATAAAAGCCAATCGCTTTGATGCTCGGAATACTTAGAAATAACCCCACAAAGATTTGACGTCAACAACTCTGAACCAGGAAAAGTTTTCAACTTGATATTTTGTGGAAAACTCCGAAAGTGCAATCATGTCGTCGAACGATTCGCTACACTCGCAACACAACATTCAAGACATCCAAAGGATATTGGAGAGGGGGCTTGTTGTTACTAAATTTTTCCCGAAGAAAAAACCGGAGAGGAGAACTGGCCAAGTGAAATTGGAAACCCGACAATTGATGTTTGTCAAGGTGCAAGGCCGTCCAGAAGGAATAGGTAAATTCTTTTTTCGATCATTTTGATTTTTAATTCCTACCTAAGTTTGTTGCTTTTTGTAAATAGAGTTAGAATGGATGTTTGTCATTTAAGATAAATAAAATTCATGCAGCGATTCCACCTGAGGCAGGGGTATACTTACTCGAGTCTCTAGCCAATTCTTGGCTAGAGGTAATTTCATCTGGAATACTGTGAACTCTATTTGAAAAAAGCTGGCCGGCGTGTCATAAATTTATTGAATATTTTAAAAATCGCCAGATAAATCATTATTTAAAATGAGACCAGCTCGGCTCCTTGATGAGATATTGCATGATTTCGTCAGAATTTCGTCTAAAATTAAAACAAATGGCTCCAAGAAAAATGGCAATATTCGAAAAATGGACGAAATGTCGTTAATGTCTGACATTAGTTACTGGCTGTAAATTCTAAGTTAGCGATCCAGAACATGTGAACTAATACATTGATCACTTCATGCGTGTTTTGGAATTTTTGGTGAGATAATAAGACCAAAACTGGCAATTCAAATTGTGACGTGAAAAAATGGCGGACATTTGATTTCAAATTTTATGATTACGACATGACCCGTTATACATTCAGGAATTTATCTTTGGACGAAGGCCAGTGGCCTTAGAAGAAGGTAAGGTATACAGTCATTAAAAATTCAGTCTTATCCTTATACATGTAAGTTATCTAGTAATACATGTATACACCAGGCATTACCAACTCAGTATACTAGGGGACTTTTTAAACATTTTTAAAGATCTAATAGCAAAGGTTTTGCAAAAATGAATCAATGTAGTATAAAAAAATGTATGTATGATGAAGAAATAAATATATGATGAAAAAATAGATATGTGTTTGTAATATAGGTATTAACTTAAGATTAAAAAGTGTCATTATCTCTTTCATTTTTCAACAAATATAGGCTCACGTGACATGTGACGCGGGGTAGGCAATTTTGATCTATCGTAGACCATATCAGTATCAAATTGCCGATATTTCAATCTCGTCTTGTAAGGCCATTTTGATTTGAAACATCTTGAGTTTGATGTCAAAATAAAGCTGGTCACGCCCACTTTCATAGTTATCAATGAATCATTTTCTACGACTACTATATTCATTTAGGAGGCGTGTAAAGTTAACCAATCAGAAAGACAATTGTTCCATATATGGCAGTTCATTAACATATTCACTACTACTACTATATTTACTACTGCTTTTCGCGTCATGACAACACGAGTAGTAACCAATCAAGATGCCGTATTTTATCACGCGAGTTCAGAGTGACATGCACATGTAGTCTGAGCTGATCGCGATGTTTCAAATCGAACAATTTTTTCTCAGAATTTGTCCAGAGAAATCAGCTTTTTTATTTTAAATTAAGGTAGGATATGCCATTTCTTTCTGTACAAGTAATAACTTATCTCTATCGAATCTTAAAGTTCTGGATGAAGATATGAAGCATACGTTTAAAAACGAAGCGATTAATTTGACGATCTGATTTTGCAATTTGCAATTGCCAATTTACTGCAAGCCTGCGTGTATTTGACAAGAGATAGCGCCCTGGGGATAGCGCAGGGCTAACTTTGCTAAACTAACTATCTAACTTTGCAGAAAACCTGTTTTCATAACCTGATTTCCGCTTCTAAATTCAAACTGAGTAGGATAATAGGATCGCTGATGCTGGGATCCTCAGTCAATGGCAACGGGTCTTCATTCCAGTTCAGAACTCACATTTTTAGTTGATTCTCCGTCATAGCACTTGTCTAAAGTCCCCATATCTGCTCTCTTACTGGCATACTTGGACACATTTCCCCTCCTTAAATTGTCCTCAGTCAAATTATACCCTCTCGCCGATTTATATAGCCATTTCCCAGAACCCGGGAATCAGAATCGCTGATGTTTGTCATATTGAACATGTTGAAATATGTACTGATATTAGGCATTGCCTGCTACGCGTAATGGTCACGTGACTAGCGCGATACAGGAAAAATGGGGAATTTCGAAACAACAATTTTTGGGCACTTTTATTGCAAATTTCAGGTATTTATAAGTGTTTGTGGTGTAAAATATAATCCACAGACATAAATGAACATCCAAACTACATATTTTATTAAGTTTTGGAGCCTTTTTTTGCTCTTGAATTAACATCTTTAACATATTCCTGGGCTTCAGGATTGCACCAGTCATGGGCTTTCAAGAAAGCTCAACAGACAACAGGAAAAGGTGAGCAGCTAATTGTAGGAGATGTCAGATATGACAGACATGCTTTCAATTTCATTTGTTCATAGTGTAATTGCTAATTAATCCAAACACCTCTCCAATCTGTATAATTTAAAATGTTAAACCTTGACTGTTCTTGAAAAGGCAAAAAGCTGACATATATTATTTTTACATTTACGAGGGGTGATCCAAAAGTCTTGGACGCCCTGCTCTAATTTTGTTGGTTTTTGATAAAATTACTTTAAACTTTCCAATAATAAAGACCAATAACCTAACTACTTTGTGTATTAATTCCATGGTGAAATGATATATTTTATGTAGTTTTCTAGATAGTTTTTAATATAGATGCCCTGCTACCTGGAACGATATTCGCACATGGCAACTTTCAGCCTTATATGTTGCCGCCATATGACTTGTTTCGCAAGTTTTAATCACTATCTTTCTTTGAATTTTGAATATTTAACCATGTTAGTTTACTTCCTTTGTTACCAGGCAACCAATTTATTGCGTTTTAATTATAATGCCACATGGCCGTATATGTCAAATTCTAAGATAATGACATCAGACAAGCAACCCTCATTCTGGTATCATTTTTGCTCCAAGATAGCTGCTAAAATGCAGAACATGAAAGAAATCAAAGTGAAACAAAGAATACTACAAGATATTCTCACTATTATTGACCTTGAGCAGCTCCCATCTGCACGATACCATCTAGATATGGCTTGGTTTGATTTTCTTCCTTTTCTGAAGTTGAAAGGAGGGTTGAAAGAAAATGTTTTTTACTCATTGGATGAGGTTTAGAGTGGCACTCAAGGAGCATTTGTATCACATAAACAATGGCGGTTTCATAAATGTCTTCCATTCATGGGTAAAGCAGCACGATAAATGTGTTCAAATTCATGGAAAATATGTTAAAAAGTATATCTTAATATGTGAAGATGATTGTGGCAGATGACATTCAGGTTGAAAAATCGGAAATTCTCTCATATCATGACTGGTGTTAGGTGTTAGGCTGCACCTAAAGTATTTTCCATATTAACAGTTGTGACGTGATTTGCTATATTTAAATACCATTCCGGGTGGCAGGGACCAGATATCAAAAAACATTTAAAAAAGTAGCTAAAATGTATTATTTTATGGTTAAACTTATACATAAAGTTGTTCAGATGTTCATCTTTATTATCTGAAAGTTTCATGTAATTATATTGGAAAATAGCAAAGTTAGAGCGGGGCGTCCAAGACTTTTGGATCACCCCTCGTACATACAACTATTAAAGAAATTAATTTATCATTTGTGTGTATTTGGTGGGGTAGACATGCCAGGAAAGCGTTTTCCGCAATATAGAAGCAGGTAATGTTTACAACCGTGTATGTTAAGAAAATTCTAAAAAATAAATATCCAAATAAGAACAAGGAACATCGAAGAACAGCATACAACGGTCGGATTTATATGACTAAGTGGCCACTATTGCACTTTTGGCAAACCTGCACACATCATCCAAAATGTCCCTTCCCGTGGGGATAAAGCAATTGTACATCATTCAATTTCCTCAGCACAATTGCAGACCTTAAAAGTACCAATGCTTTCTAGTAACACAACATCTTAGGGTGTATAGATATCCCATAAATTTAATGTTTTTTTTTTCTTTCAGTTGATCTTCGTGAGGTGAAAGAAATACGCCAAGGGAAAAAATCCAAAGATTTTGAGAAGATGCCAGAGGAATCGCACAAGTTCGAACAAAGTCTATGCTTCGTGATTTTGTTTGGCAATGAATTTAGGCTCAAAACTCTCTCTTTAGTCGGTAAGTAAATATTTATCAATTATTTTTTTGTGATTTTTTTTAGATCATCAGTGGTTCCTCCATCAGATTTCAGGACCTACGTAATATTTTTTTGCTAATGGTTTGACTCGTATATTCAGTTTTTATTGCACCTTAAAGAGTACTTTATTGTCATCCCCATCTTGTACTGATAGGTGTAACTTCCTATGTCTGCCTGGGTGTATGGATAGGTACAAGTAGTACATATATCGTTTAATCAAAATACAGGAACTGCCTATCAGTTCAAATTTTTACAGATCAAGAGGAGACTTACAGTGCAAACATATGATAAGACTTTGGTCATGCCGAATATATAACTTGGTGGACATTTAGAATTTTTAATAAAAGTGTGATATGCATCAGTGTTTTGGAAGTGCTTTCAACAATGATGATCCATAGTAAATAAAATAATATCACCACACACACTGGATGTCACGATTTAAATGGACATTTGTACCTGTTCCACAGAAGGTTGGAACACTTCACCATGAAGAATCTGAAAAATGTGGAACACTTTTCAGAGTCCTAATACCAACTGACTTATGTTGAATAAACCTCTATAAGTAGATCACCTCTCAAGTAGAACACCTTAGAGGAACCAAAAGGTGTTCTACTTAGACATGTTTTACTATGTGCATCTAGAAAACTCACTTATGCTCAAAAACGCAAAATTGAGAAAAAGCGATGACGAACTTTAATTAGCGCAATGAGATTTATTGAACTGAAAGAGTGAAGATGAAGCTCTCTTTTGAGAAGCAAAGTCAAACGAATGCAAATGGTAACAAGTTATAAATGTGTACAAGTTATTTGAAATTCAAAATGAAAAGCTCATTAAAGATTACAAATGAGTAAAATTTCAGATTTTTTTGTATTTCTAAAGATAACAAAAAAAATATATTTGAGGGAAATGCATGTGTTGGGGCTATCTAATCTCTGACCTACTTGAACAGGGAAATATGTCCGGTTGAGTAAAGATTACGATGAGTAAAATTTCAGATTTTTTTGTATTTCTAAAGATAACAAAAAAAAAATATTTGAGGGAAATGCATAGCGTTAGAGCTATCTAATCTCTGACCTACTTGAACAGGGAAATATGTCCGGTTGAGTTATAGGTTCAAAATGGAGTTGAATTTGTTTTGTCCGCTTTTACTGTCTACCAAATAAAAATACGTGAATCTTACATTTATAGGTTTTTCATTTTCTCCCTCTTTGATGAGAAATTTTGTGAAAGTGTGGACATGCATGTTAAACCTCACGTCACACTTGCTCTATAGTAGGCGTATGAGATACACATTACTTTATAACAATATACACGTTTAATAATAACTAATTATGAATATTCTGGTATCATATACTGGCTTACAGGTGCTTTGTTCAAATAGGTATTAATTCCAATAATCCTTAGTATCATTCATATATTGCGCCATTATATTTTCACTGATTTCCTGCTCGAGGCTAAAAATAGTAAAATAAGCAAAACCAGTGTTCTCCTGATTTTTTTCTACCGTAAGTAAGACAAAATTCTTTTCACAATTTAGTAAATTATCAAAATGTGCCTATTTGAAATGATTTTTCATTTTAAAATGGGTGTATATGGAATTCCAGATGGGTGCAAATAGCGGTTGATAACCAGATTAACCTACTTTTTCATGACCAACTCATTTAAATATGAATGGAATTGTGGCAGGTTATCTCATATTTAAAAGAGTTGGTCATAAAATAGTTGGCTCAAATTAGGTAGCTCAAGTCAAAAAATAAATAGACAACATATTAATCATGGGTAATAAAGTACTAATAACACATTTAATACATACATACTATATTAATCAGAGATGTTACATGTGAGCTAATATAACTAATCCTAGATTTAGGGGCTTTTGTAGATTTATTATCCAAACGAACGCAGTTTGTTAGGGATATTGTGAAGTCCTCCGTCCACCTGTTAGTCCGTCAGTATTTTAGTCAATCAGGAAGATCTCGAATACTAGTTGATGTATTTTCTTCATATTTGGTGGAAAAAAATCCATTCCTTCAGAAAATTCAAAGTGGCTGCCTAGAGCAGGGATTCACCATTACTTAGAGATATCTTTAAGTCTGGTTATTGATACTAAAATGAAAGGAAGAGTAGATGGTAAATATTACAAAGTCAGAGTGACAAGATTTCTTGTCACCTTAGAGAAACCTAAAGTGACGAGATAATCTGTCACAAAATTTTCACTAAAATTGCTCTAAAATCTAATTTATGCAACAGTAGCAATTATGCTCTTCTATACAAGTTCCAATATAAAATAAATGCATAACTTATATTTTGTGGGTTACTGAATTCAAATACTTTCATTGTGTTTGATTTCAGCTACAAATATTGACGAGTTTCATGTATGGACTCGCGGTCTGCAGTACTTAGTCTCACAAACCATCCAAGCCCCTTATCCTCTATTAGTTGAAAGGTGAGTAGTGAAAAATACCCGGAATCATCTTTTTAGATGCAAAATTGAGGAGAAAAGAGAGAAATCAACAAGGAATAAAGCAAACAGACATGAATCTAGTCATTTAAATTTTATGGAATCAACCAACCTGTTCAAGTGGAAATTTTTACAGATGCAAGATCTGATTAGGTTTTGGGCTTTCTGGGTAAATTACAGTACTTGGCATCCCTTTTGAATTTTTCAGTAACAAAATGTGATGTTTATCAGTATGGATTGTGTTAAAAAATAGAAGACTACAGATGTAACTCTGTAATTTTGTAAATCAAATATCTGAACAATTAATGAATATTGTTGGAATTTATATTTTTTAGATGGTTACGCAAAGAGTTCTACGGAATGTCCAATAGCAGCAAGGTCACGCTCAAAGACATCAAACCATGGCTACCAAAAATCAACCATAAAATACCAAATAAGGAAATCAAAGATAAGTACCAGGTAAGTTCATATTAAATAGGGGCAGGGGCAAGAACAATATTCATTTATAGAATCTGTCAATTTGCTCATAGCTAGGTAATCTTGCTAAAGATTTGATCAAAATTAGGTACTGAAGAAGTAACAGTTTTCTATTTTTAGCCTATTTGTTCATTTTTACATAGAGGATTGGATTCCCAGATGATATTTCTTAGATAAATTATAAATTATATTTTAATTGTTTTACTTTGATTGTAGGCCATTGAGGGTGGCAATCGTGGGGAGCTGGAATTTGAACAATTTAAACAATTCTACCACAGTCTCATACACGTATCTTCTGTAAGTATAACATATGTTAATATCGTATTTATCTTATGTTCCTTCTAAGTTATGTAATCTGTGTTTAAACTTGTATGCTTCATTCAAACCTGAAATGGATACACCCAGCAAGAGTACTGCTGTTTTCAAACATTTTTAGTACAGACATAATTATACATTTCTTATATATTACCCCTGGGATATATTATATATCTAAAACACGTCATGTAATAAACCTCATGTTTTTATATTACAAATATTTAGTGACAACTGGGAACAGAATTCAAAAGACAGAGAACTATATATGTTTTGTGTTACTTCCCTCAGGAGGATAAATTATGTATCTAAATCCTCCATAGGATAAATAGAGGATATCCTACGATTTATGAGTGGTATGATTTTTATCCATGAATGAATATGATATCTGCACGAGAGAGCATAGCGAGAGAGTGCAGATATCAATATCCAAAAGTGGATTAAAATCATATCACGAGTAAATCATAGGATGTTCTTTTTATTCCATAGTTAAGGCATCATCAGAATCGTCGGAAATTAAGTGATTTAATTCGAATTTTCCAAACGATCCGGCGATGTTGACACTAAGCCTCGTTTTGAGTCTGAAGTAGGAAAAATCCATAAACCATCGCATACGGCGCCGTAGTCATGGCTAAAAAACTGTATGCTATGGTTAAGTGAAAATTTGTCAAAAATATCATATTTTACCACTGAAATACCGTTTTTATTTTCACATGATATCCTATGAATATCATACTAACTATGGAATAAACTTTGTATACTTTATTTATATTTCAGATATTTAGTGACCACTGTGAACGGTTTGAAAGACAGAACGAGAACTATATATCTTTTATGTTACTTCCCTCAGGATAAATTCTATATCTGAAACTTCCCATAGGATAAACCTCATATATTTTATTCATATTTCAGATATTTAGTGACCACTGTGAACGGTTTGAAAGACAGAACGAGAACTATATATCTTTTATGTTACTTCCCTCAGGATAAATTCTGTATCTGAAACCTCCCATAGGATAAACCTCATATATATTATTTTTTTTATATTTCAGATATTCAGTGACCACTGTGAACAGTATTCAAAAGACAGAAAGAGAATTACAGCAGAGGAATTTCAACAGTTTCTCAAACTCGAACAAAAGGTGAGATATTGATTTAACCCTTAAACTGTTTGGGGGAGGGTTGTCTTAGCCCTAAAAATCGAATAATTCATATGCAGGCCCGTAGACAGGATTTGCCAAGGGGGGGTTCAGTTTTCAAAAATCTCCAGAGGGGGTTCACATATGACAATTTTGGCACAAATATGGCTAAAATCACTTGAGAAATGCTCAAAATGGTGAAAAACTGCATGATTTTGAAAGAATTTTTGGCCAGGGGGGGGGGGTTCGCCCGAACCCAGTGAACCCCCCCCCCCCTGGCTACTGGCCAGTATCAGGTTTCAGGCGTTTCATACAATTTAGAATCTTAATGGTAATGCCAAATAACATTCTGATCCTCATAGCATCTTTCTGTTTCACCACCTCAGGACTGAGTTTGCTATGGTTTATCATGATTGCCAAATAAAGTGGCACAAAAAATTGCTCAATTTTGATATAAGTCATCTATACCAACAGTTAATTAAAATTCCCAGTAATGCAAAATGAAAATAAAATAGTAAATTTTGTTTGATTAACCTTTATGGTTATTTCCATCATTTATTAGCTGCAGTATAGGTCATTGATTAAACACGTTCATGTGCATTGTGCAGTTGTAAATTGGTATATTTCTTTGATAAAAAAATCACAAACAATTATTGTTTAAATTATGTTCAGAAATTAATAGATTATCAGATAAAATATCGCTGTTAATTGTATTAAATCTCCTAAAATATGTTTAATGCAGACCTATGGAAATTGAAATTGGAAGTTAATTTTGATCCAGAGTGATTTTTTGGAAGGGATATATACATCCAACTTGTTATTTAATACAATGCTTCAAAGCCTGCTGTATAAATAGTAAATATAATGCTTTTATTATACAGCTTTTATTAATTGGGAATCGCTATGAAATACTGATGAAATGTCTCATCTGACAATGGGCTTTGATGTATTCACTTCAAAGATTGGTTTACCACTGTATTACATCAGTAAAACCTGTGTACAGTGAACACCTATGGAGTCAGAAAAATGTGTTCACTATAGGTAGGTGTTCGCTACAAAGAAGTGATTTTATACAGAAGTCAGTCAATTATGTGCTGAGAATAGGTGTTCACTAGACACTGGTGTTCACATGAGAAAGGTGTTCACTAAGACAGGCTTTACTTCATAATGGCATATCTCAAGATGATGGCATATATAATGGCATTATTGCATATCCCAAAACTGTAGGGTCAATCTCGGACATAAAGTGTACATTTCTAAATTATAGAGAAATGCAAGAAAATCAAACACGTTATTCAAAGTTTAGAGAGAAACGGAGAAAAATAAGCATCAGAGCAGACGGCATTATTGCATGAGTATGTCCCATAATAAAATAATGAATAACATACTGCCATTTGTACATTATCTTGATGACTTTATTAAAGAATGGGATAAAATACATTATGGGAGTTCACAGTCAGGCATGATCGCTGGTAAATCCTTTCATCGAAGTGAGGATCTGATTTAACTGTGGCTGCTTGAGGCATGTTATACTCCATTCCATTGGTGGTTCAGAGGGAGGGAATTGTAGGGCAGGTTTACAAATTAAAATCAGTAAAACAAAATTAATTGTGTTTTATGATATAGTGGCAGTAGCAAGGATTTAAGATATAGGGGCATGAAATAGGATTCAAATTTTAGAGAGAAATTAGAGGAATTATCAAGGAATAAAGTAATCAGGCATTTAATTTAACACTCTAAATTGTATAGAAATGCCAGAAAATTCAAATTTTAGAGAGAAATGAGAGAAATTAGCAAGGAATAAAGTAATCAGGCATGTAGTGAACACTCTAAATTGAAAAAAGCACGAGCAGATAGCATTTGAAAAAGGGGCTTATTACTTAGCTTCTGGGAAATCACATTGATATTTATATAACCAGAGTATTCAGATTAATACATGATTTTCAATGCAGTCTACTTACCATAGAAATATCAACTTATTATTTTAGGGCCTGTTGTTTGATAAATTGATAAATGTTAAAGCATATGTATAATTACATATGAATACAGTGAAGCCTGTAAGGTGGAACACCTCTGTAAGTGGAACACCTCTGTAACTGGAACACCTCTGTAAGTGGAACACCTCTACAGGTGGACCACCTTTTCGGTCTCTTGACCAATTGATCATAGTATGTTAAATGAACCTCTATAAGTTGAATACCTCCCAAGTGGAACACCTTTTAGGTGTACCAATGGTGTTCCACTTATACAGGTTTTACTGTACAAAGGAAAAAATGAATATTTTAAAGGTATGAAAATGTTAAAGAAACAGTCCCTAATTTCATCCATTTTTGGTTATTTTTGTGATAAATCTAATCATACTTAGTCTAGAGCTTGTTTTTTAGTTCAAATTCCAGAAAGATGTTATTTGGCAGAATTTCCGAAATCTGAAAATTGAGATTTTGTACCCTTTCAAGTAACAATATGAGGAAATCACTGAGGTCATAGAGACCTTATAGAAATAACAGATCTATATCTGAATTAATGATCTAATATTTACTCTGCCATGTTATTCGAAAATGAACAGAATGAGATTTTTCCCTATGTACCCTTGGTTTACATAAAGATTTTGACTGCAAAACTGGTCATTCATATTTTGAAGAACTGCTATAGGAACAAAATAGATCTCATAAGGACTGCTCCTTTAAGATATTCACCACACCAATATTTCATTTATAAAATGCATATTTTTGTATTTTTAGGATGCCCTTGGGGACAACATAGAGAGTGTTAAAAAATTGATGGCATCCTACCTGGAAGACCCCAATCCAATGAGACAAGTCGCTGGCCAGTATTTTACAGATAAAGAGGTGAAAAATTGATTTTAGCTCATATTGTTCATGTATAATCCTTTCCAGTCTTCTGTAAGTTTAAATGATAAATTCTGCAACTAGTGAATTCTTTGAATTCTTTGAGGTTCTTTTGGAATTCTGCCAGATCTCTTTTTAGTTTAAATAAAGAAAATGAAACAAATATGACAAAAACATGTCATTTAGCAAATAACTCAACAGAAAGCAAATTAAAGAAATATAATGGGGTCTATTTTTGGGGAAACCATATATATACCTGAAGTAAGACGTATCTAGATTCCGAAATTTCGATAATTCAGTCAAGCTGTGCAGAAAATGAACATTTAGTCCTGCGGAATCGATGGACCTGGTTGCTTTCTAGGATGTATGCTATGTCTTTGTATTTTCTTCATCTATATGTAATTGACTTTCAAAATCAGAACTGTGCCGGTTTGGCACTGGTGGGCAAAATTTTTTACAGCCTTGTATAGGTGGCGCCCCCTATGAAATACCCTTTTAATTAAGGAATTTTTTTTAAATGATCTTGAGTAGAGCCTTTAACTCAAGCCACCTAGTATAACCTGTTATATATCCTTAATAGCATGTCTATTTTTTTCCTTACCTAAAATCTCATATTTACAGAGTACTGGTCATTTATCCCCCCTGATATCACATATATTCCAAGGGGTCACTATGTTTTGAAGGCATAAAATTTGAACAAAGCGTAATTGTGATCTTACATTATTCATAGATATGACTTGATACATGTTTTGGATGGTGTTAAAATAAAAAGTTCCTGTCTTATATATTTTAAGAGAAAAAAATTATTTGTTATTACAGTATATCCTATATTCAACGATATGCAATTTGTATAAAAGTTACATTCAAAAGTCTATTTTGATTAAATTATCCTAACACCATCATGGATTTAAATACATTTTATTATATGAAGTAACTATTTTAATTTTAACACATGAAAACAGAAATCAAGGATTAAGTACTAATTGTTTAGTAAAGCCCATGGTCATGCCACCATGTTTGAAGAGGGGGGGGGGTAATGTTACCGGACATTCTGCCAATTAGTAGGTGTTAACGTGGAATACTTATTAACTTCATACAGGTTTGGCTAGATAGTTACTGGATGATGAAAGGGTTTGAAATAATGTTCATAAAAATTTGTTTCTGTCATAATAAACTAATTTTTAAGATATTGTAGCTCATTGAGTGTCAGCTTTTATTTCGTTATCAAGGGTATCATTTTTGGTCTCTTTATCCAGTACTTCTTGGACAGCTTGCAGAACAATTCCATCATCAAGATCATCATCATTTGTTTCATTGGTGAATGTGACCATTAGTCTGGTATGTTTATGCAACACTCTTCACCTTTGCAAAGGCAAAATATACTGCATGACAAAGTAGTCTTACAGCACAGACAACAATCTATACCACAAATGATATCATTGCTGGAACACTTCTCACGTGTACAATGTATCATCTTTAGCACTGAGTCTGGTGCACATAAAAACGTTTGGTGGAAGATTAACTGACACTAATATGTTGTTGACAATATCCATTTGCCAGCCATACTCCGTTGGTTGCAACTTAGGAGGTAAGGGTTGGGCTGCATGTTTACACAGGGATGTTTGTAGATGAGCATGTTTCCAAAAAGGTTGCAATGATTGTAGTTCTGGCAGCATTTCTCTTGGTCCACACATCATATCTAACATCAGATGACTGGATTGATACCATAACATGCTGCTGTGAATTTAGTAGCCTGTGTCTTTACATCAGATATTGGTATGTTGTCTTCTCCAATCCAGCTTAAAGGAGCATTTCCAGTCTGGTGTTAACTGCTTTAGTCTTGCCTATGCGGTATAGACTAGATGATGTGTCACAGTCTGTCAGGCTGAGGGCAGCAAGAAGTTGTGAGGTGACATTTTTGTTGGAAGTTGACACAGACTCCAGAGTAACATAAGCAATTAGATAGTGTTTTTTTCATAGTAGTGAAGCAATAGGATTAAGACACTAGTGTCTTCACATACTACATTGATATTTTTACTTCCAGTTTTGCTGTTCATAACATACTTGTTTGTTGATGTTTTCAGGTTACCAGATTCATCAAACATAGAGGTGGGGATGGGTGCCATTGGCCCAGCTCAATGACTTGATAGTTTTCATATCAACATTGGCTTCAGAAGGGGGAGGGCGCTGGGGGTAACCGCCCCCTCCCTTTCCCAGATTTTTTTGGATTTGAAACTGAGGCTAGAATTTGAAAGCTTTTGAGAGCTTATTAAAGTCAAATGATACTATGCCATTATTTAGTCTATATCAAGCCAGATCTCATTTCTCATTAAGATATTTACATATGTTATTCTGTACCTTCGTTTCTAAGGAACCAATACAGTATGTAAATACTTTGGAGAATAAGAGCAAAATGTATATTTTAGTAAAATTCAAAGTCAATGTCAGTTTTCTTAAAACACAATTTTCTCTTGTTTTTTTGGAATGTTGTGCTGAGACATGTTCAGAATGTACCAGAGAGGATCTAAATCTGAAAATTTTCTGAGGGCATCCATCCACGCTTCACGCACGATCCATCCATTTCCAAACCCCTCCCTTGCGAAATCCTTCTGGCACCCCTGTATCAAGTTGCCAGTTTATTACCAGGCTCAAACTCGATAGTAAATGAGATTGGTGTCATGGACAACCTTGAGCATAACTATATGAAATAATAAAAATTAAATCTTAATCACTGAAATAGAGAATAGAGGTTTAAAGGTTATATAAATAAGACAGACCTATGAAACTTTTTCTAATATCAAATATTATATATTACCTTTGAAGTCAGTGGTTCATAGGATCTAGATCATAGGATCTAGAGGATCGATTACAGTACTCAATGATTCTCTGAGCTTCAGTCTGTCTATGCAGTGAGCCTCAACATTTGTGAGGCTCTCTTCTTTGTGTCTGGTCACAATAGAGGATTGGGCATTGACAGTTTCACCAAGGTCCTGGATATTGAGTTGAGGATCTGACTGCATATATGCATGCTGAGATCTCAGAGAAGTGTTTGACTGAATGAGTTGCCTATGATTCCAGATGGTCCATGGCCGTACCTAATATAGTACTTAACAAAAATATCAAAAAGGCCCTAATTGAGTTTTAATGTCCCATTTAAGAACCCCTATTCTAACTTTCGAAAATGAATTCTAGCAATATCACCCAATAGGAATCTACTTGTTGAGATTAATGAGTTCTTCTGAGAAATTGAGGATTTCAGCAAGGGTGCATTGACTTAACATGGGGACATACCTAAAGGTATCCCCAGACTAAGTCAATGGTCAATGGCTCTTTCCCCATGTTCAGTCAATACATCCTTGCTAAAATCATCATTTTCTCAGAAGAACAGTTGATTGAGTCTAAACAAGTAGATTCATGTGGGATAGTATTGCTATAATCCATTTTCAAAGGTAAGAATAGGGGATGTTAACAGGACATTGGGTTTGCTTTGCAGAACATTTTGTTGGTACTAATAAGTGGTCTCTATCATCATATCTAACCAGATTCCATTCCAAATGGGATGACGGGTGACATGCTGTCCTTGTAGAAACTCAACAACATTCTGTGGATGTCTCCCCATGTCTGACAGAACAGTGCTTACTAGTTATATTGTCATGCAGAAACGAAATGGGGAAGCATAGATTGATCAACAGCAGCCAAACGGAGCAGCCAGTTGCCTTCCCTTTCAGCCCTAACAAGTTGCACAATGATAAATACTGGCATTTGTACTTTTCTTTCTGACAATTTAGTGTTGTGTTAAGAACATCTATGAGTTCCTGGTAGCTGTTTACCTGATGAATTACTTGTCTCGAAAATTCTTCAGCAAGGAGTCTCAATGCTTGAACATTGTTAGGGTAATTCTTGCCTGTTGATCTTGGTTTCCCCAGCAAATTGGGTATCTCTACTATTCAACTGTCTGACATTAGGATGCCGACACAACCAACAAAACTCATGAGCATGCACATGCCCTGAACCTGTTGATGAATGTATAATAAAGGTTGTTGGGGTCCAGAAAATGACATCAGTGGCTACTTTGTACAACTGCTGGTGCGTTCTCAAAATTGTGTAATCTTGCTTATATGTTTGGGTCAACTCCTTTGCCTGATGCATGATGGTTTACATTGTGCTTGGGTCCACTGACTTAACATCAAGGAGTTGGCTGTAGGCAAGTTTTATTGCAGGTTAAATGATGGCGCCACTAGTCCTAGCTAACCTAGTAGTGTAGCCCCAGAATTATGGTGTCCCTGGTACAGATGTAACACTTCCAATAAATGGTCTAAAATTTGACCCTTATAAGCAGGGATGACCTACTTACACTGTCAACAATGAGTTTCTTTCACATTTCAAACTTGTCATCTAACCCCCCCCCCTTCCTCCCTCTATAAAAGGGTATACATTATAATTTTCTGAAATATTTTAATTTAAAGAACCTGTATCTTACATAAATAGCTTAGTTTGATAGATAGACTCACAGAATCTGCTGATATTATATTTTTCAATGTTTCACAGTGATTACAGTGATATTTTTCATACATATTAATATTGCTGAATACAAGGAAGTCTATGTTAATATATTTATTTTCTCTTCAACTAAATAAAATACAAGTCTCATATTTCCACACTATCTCTGGCATGGGTTAATTTAAAGTCATGGATAATTTCAGATCACAATCTTGTTTAGTTTGCAAAATATGCTTATTAAACATAGTGACCCCTTAAAAATAGGTGGTGCTAGGGTAACAAATCAAGCATATCTCATTAAATTTGTGATTCTATGTGATGAAACATAGTTGACATGTTGTTTAGACTAAATACAGTTTATCTGAATTGGTTAAAGTTTTCAACTCTACCAACAGCCCTTTAAAAAAATATTTTGTGAAATGGGCATTTTACAAGGGGCATTTTACAATGCTGTAAAAAAATTTGCCCACCAGTGCCAGTCCGGCACAGTTCTGATTTTGGAAGTAATTAACTTATAGATAAAGAAAATACAAAGATATAGCATACATCCTAGAAGGCAACCAAAAGTTTCAATATGCCATTATTCCGCTGGACTAATTGGGAGATGATATATTTAGGTTATTTAGTGTATAATATATTGTAATGTATTAAACATATTTTTATTGTAAATATGACAAAACTGTATATCATCTGGTATGAAACAATTTCTAAAATGCCCTTGATTTTAAGCCGCAAAATGACCTGGTCAACTTTCCTAGATCTTGTTTTGTCAATACATGTAAATAGATGGAATTTGTATATCTATATCCGGCAGAATCCTAACCACAAAAGTGTCTTTGAGATAAATCGAAGGAAATCATTTTTGATTGCAGTTTGTTGACTTCCTGTTCTCGAAACACAATACTATCCTGGATGAAAAAGAGGCTAAAGTCTGGATGGATATGACGCAGCCGATGTCCGATTATTGGATAGCTTCTTCTCACAATACGTATGTTTGGGGTTCACATCTTTCAATACACAGTCACATTTTGTCACAAAAAGGGACTGATTATTTTTTCATAAGATCGGAGATTTTTGATCTTGCATATTCTAAAGGTGTGATCTGCATTATATTAGATGACTGATCATTATCCCAACGAACGAAGTTCGGTAGGGATATAGTGAAACCCTCCGTCCGTCAGTCAGTCCGTCCGTCAGTCCGTCCGTCCGTCTGTCCGTCCGGAAGATAACTCAAATATTAGTTGACGGATTTTCTTCATATTTAGTGGAAAGATGTATATTGGTGAATAGTTTTACGCTAAAAAATTTTTTTCAAGATGGCCGCCGCTTTAAAAATGACGGGACTTTTTTCGCAAAAATCATAAATTTTTCATTCTAAACCAAAGTAGTTAATATTATTGTTTGAAATTTTGGTAGTATATTCGCAACATCTATCTATTTCACATATATTCCGAGTTTTTCATCCTGACCCCCAGGGGCTGTTATGGGGGGTCAGGAAAACAGAAATTTTCGCTTATTTTTAGATCTTTCTGAAGTATAGCTTTATTATACTCAAATTAAAGGCAATTAAGAGTAGATTGCAAATATTGTATCTTTTTTCTGATTCTAGCCTCGTAAAATTCAAAATGGCCGTCTAATGTACGATTTCGCAATAATTTTTCGATCCCAAATCAAAATGGCCATCTTATGTACGATTTCGCAATAATTTTTCTATCCCTTCAAAGTATGGCTATATTATACTCAAATTGAAGGAATTTTGGAGTAGATCACAATTATGGTATTATTTTTCAGATTTGTACCTCAGAAAATTCAAAATGGCTGCTTTGCAGGAATTCGCAATTCTAAAATCTAAATTTTTCAATTTTAACCAAAGTAATGAGTATAATTGATTGGAATTCGGTAATCAATACTTTGTTCGTTGGGATTTGCTACTCCGCGGAGTTGCCGTTATCTAGTTTTGCATATTCTGTGTGACTTATTGATCATATATATCATAAGGGACTGATCATATATGTTTATGCTCGTAATATCTTATTATGAGGGTTAAAATATTTGGTGTTATATAAGGGACTCATCATTTTGCATATTGTAATCATTTTATGTAATATAAGGGACTGATTATTTTACAGATACCTCACAGGTGATCAGTTCTCAAGTGAGTCCTCCCTAGAAGCTTATGCAAGGTGTCTCCGCATGGGCTGCAGGTGTCTTGAATGTAAGTGTCTTATCAAATGTAGGTTTCTAGAATGTAAGTGTCTTTTGAATGTAGGTGTATAAAATGTAAGTGTCTTATTGAATGTAGGTGACAGTATAGAATGTAAGAGTCTTATTAGATGTAAATGTAAGTGACCTTTCAAATGTAGGTGTCTTAAATGTACATGTAAGTGTCATATCTTATATGGATGTCTGGAATGTAAGTGTCATATTTAATATTTACTGAATGTAGGTGTCTTGAATGTTAGTGTTTCACTGGCTCTCATTTAAGATGCTGGCTGATTGTGCTCATTACACTCATTTTGTTTACTCCTCTACAATTTTATCAATCACAAAAACAGTTTTTTGTGATTTTATAATAACCAACCCGAAGAACGTGTTTTTTATACATAAGGACAGTTGAGCAGCGTGTGTGTGTGGGAATATATAAGCGCAAATGCCAAAGGGATAGAAATGTTAGTTGTGCTTCCTCTGGTGTGTTCGAGCGTTAACATCAGCTGCCTCTAGTCAGATCGACTCACAAAACAACCTTTATTGGGGTTGTCGAGTTGGCCGAGAGGGCTTGAGCGCCGGCACATTCACGCTATTGGGCGCTGTAACCACGAGGTTGCGAGTTCGAGATGCGTGTGCTCCTTGTGTTAATTCATTGAAGAATATTAATCAATGTTTTGGTTTTGTATTTCAGTGGACTGCTGGGATGGACCTGACAATATGCCTCATATATACCATGGTCATACACTCACGTCAAAGATCAAATTTGAAAGTGTCCTAAAAACCATCAGAGATCACGCATGGGTCACTTCAGAGTAAGTTAAGAGGGAGAATGTTACCCAGAATTCATAGATAACCAATCTTCATATTTACATGGAGATGAGTTCATCTATGAATTCTGGGGGTTTTCTCATCTTTCGTAAGCTGTCATGTGATTCATATGGAGAATTAAATCCACCATTTTGCAATTTCCCATGATCCGTACAAACTTAACAGGCTGCCATGGCCATGGAACTAAGCTCAAAATGGGTAGTATGCTCAATGAATATTAGAAGTCTTAATGTATTATACATATAAATTTTAATATACATTTATTTATAGATATCCTCTTGTCCTGTCCATTGAAAACCACTGTGGTCTTTTACAACAGAGAAACATGGCTCAAGCTTTCAAAGAAATATTTGGAGGTAATGTGTGATATTCATGCTTCAAGTATTTCAATGTTATTTTATGCTTCGTGAATTCTAATAAAAATTTGATGCTTCAGTCATTCACATTTGACCTTAATGCTTCATGGATGGCCTAATTTTAGATGGGATACTGATTATGGAGTGTGGGAAATACTCACTCTTGCCAATGTACAGTAAGCAGCACAGGGGAATAGTTCAGTCTATCATATATCATGTGACACATGTTCACCCAATCACAAAAATGTTTATTTTGATAGACAGATTAAATTAAGCAATACTTTGTTTCATTTGATAAATCTTTCTTAGAAGCAATTGATAAGTTTTATTAGAAATTATACCATCATTGATTACAATAGATCAAATAGATCATTATGTAATATGGACATTTGGTATATAAATCATTCATTAAATTTAATTTTTAGATATGCTAGTCACTGAACCATTTAGTACGACTGAAGCTGTGATGCCCTCTCCTCAAGATTTGAGGCGAAAAATTATATTAAAAGTAAGTTTCTGAATGACATTCACTGAAGTATTAATGAACACTTTCAATGAACCTTCTAAATTATCACAGTGGTCCAACTATACATGAAAAAATGTTAATTTGAATTTTAGACCTAGCCTACCAGATATTTGAAAATCTAGGATTGTGAGTCTAATACTGTACCGTTTTCTTCAAACTTGTTCCATTCAAAGCAAAACAAAAATGCCTTTTTGTTGGTACATTATTCTATTATACTTTAGGCTGATCCAAGTGGCATATGTGAAGGCTTTACTGTATTTATTTTATTTATTACTTTCAGCATAAAAAATTACCAGACAATGCAGATAGCGTAGAGTGGAATGTCCCACAGAATAACGAAGATAGTAAGTTTTTAAAATTGTTTCAAGTGTATGGTGTTATTGTTCTTTCACTGTTTCTCACTATTTTTGTAAATAGATGTCTTAATTTTTAATACGAAATTGGTCAATATACTGGTACAAGCCAAATTTTCATAATTTTTCTCATTTTCAAGTACAAATGGGTCTTCAAGTTGATGCAAGCTTATTTCCAAAATGTGAAGTGGATGCTGCATCTATTTGTTTCAATGCTTCGGAGATCACATCATCATCAATATGGCCAACAAGCTTTCATATTTATCATTCTGAAAAAATGCAAAAAAACAAACCTAAAGCACCAGAGACCAGATCTTCATTTAGAAAAATGTTGTTCTAATTTTGTGATTTTTGGTGAGATAGGGGTCAAACTGACATGTAAATACTTGTGTTTTGAGATAACATCGAAAAGAGACCAGTATTCTCAAAATACTATATTTATTCTTGTGTCACCACCAGAAGTGGTGACATATTGTTGTAGTCTCCAACTTTTTGTGGATGCTGTTTGGCAGTTGGTGTTCAGCAGTTGAATATTATTAAATAGGAAATCGTAGTGTTGGTTGAAGAGGTCATTGTGATTCTGTTTAATGGCTGGGGAATGTTTTTTATCATGTTAACAAAAATTCATGCATTTTGTTCTTGTGTTGTGAATTTACTGATCGCTGCACTGTTCTGGTCAAGATTCATGATTGTAGATACTTATGGGATAAAATGATATGGAACAATGATGGTCAATCAGAGGTAGTTCTTGCAGTAACCCTAAAGAAATGTTAAATCCTATATAGAGAAACATTTGGATACAGTTTCCAGGCCCGTAGCCAGGGGGGGGGGGTGGAGGAAGCAGCCACTCCCCCCTCCCCCTGGCCAGAAATTCTTTGAACTTTGAAAATCATTTTTCAGTTCTTCACCATTCTGAGCACTTTTCGCAGATTTTTTGCCAAAACTTTCAAAAAATCTCCCCTTAGAAACAGCGTTCCCCTTGGTAAAACCACTCCCCCCTGTAAATCCTGGCTACGGGCCTGGTTATGAACTCACTTATCTGATCATTTCTTTCTTATTTACTATGGTCTGTCTAGTCTAAAGGTCAGGAGAGGTTTTTGTTTGCACTATTCCTTTATTTTATTTTTGTTATACACCCAATAAAATAAAACAAAATAAACCCTAAATAAAAGAATAAACACAAGGAGCACATGCGTCTCAAACTCACAACCCATGGTTACGACACCCAATCGTCCAGTTTAAGGTGCTAGCACTCAAGCCCTCTCAGCCAACTCGACAACCCCAAAAAAGGTTTTTTGTTCGTCAATCTGACGAACCAACTGACAAATTCAAATTTTGATGTGATGGCCTTTTTCATTCAATAAAGTTGACAGGGCTTAACATGCTACCATTAACATTGTTAGACATGTCCCAAATCTTAGTGTCATATTGTGTAGGTTTTATGTTGCTTAAATATGCACAGTACTATATACAGTAAACATTTCTCAAGGTTAAATCAATGTTGATGACATATTAGGGTTAATTTAAGCTTGATATAAAGCTTGATTCAACATTAAAAATCTCTTATATGGCATAAAAATTAGCATGTGTAAGTCATACATGGATTTGTTTGTCTTTAACTACTCTGATTGGCTAATGCTGGTGCATACGCGATGGTTGACGCATTGTCCAGTGATTTAAAATGACCACCAATGTTCATCTTGATCAAAGTCTGTGATCAATGTCTTTTATGTCCCTTATTGGTAAACGGATCTAAAGTTCCTAAACATATATTACGGCTGAGACTTACTTTACATAGTAATAAATAAAAAAACAACAGCTTTATATCAATTTCTTCTTCAATATATTTTCTAATTTCCAATTGTACAACATTTTACACAACTCCATTTCTTCAGATCTTAAACATTTCTCCACTTTCCAAACCCATCTTACTTTTCTATCTTGCCCTTTCTAACCTTCATTGGTTGTATATTCTAGGAATTTTACATGGCTTTCCTAGTACCCCCCCCCCTCAAAATGACAAGATATCTCATTTCACTTCTTTTGTGTCAACCCCTTGTATTACTATGCTTTTCAGAATCCACATTATTTTAGCTTGTATTATGTTTTTATTATAAAAACCCAGTCACCAGTTTGTGAATAAATATCATAATATCACCAGAGATGACTTGGTTTATAAAAGGAGGTGATTTTGAATATCAAGATAAGTAAAATAAAATACAAACTTAGGCAAGGCTGAGGGTAATAACTCAAGTATGATATGAGTTTAATTTAATGTCAAATTCGGGGAATTGAGAAATTTATTAATAGTTTATGAGTGGTCCAAAAAAGCGATTGAAAGTAGTTTCATCTATGTTGATAAAGTAATCTTTCCATGCATTTGCAAATTCCTCCTTGCTGATCAATCCGTCACCATTTGTATCCATGTAGTCAAACTGCATTCGTGCAAATCTTTTATCAAGGTCATGCCCATTCCAAAATATCATGTAGTTATCAAATGTCATGAAACCAGAAGAGTCGAGGCATAGTGCCTAAAAGTAATACAACATCTTATCGTATGATATGTAAAATGAAGCCCTCTAATTGGTCAATTCTTGTGCTGTACCAATCTGTATTGCTACTGAGATTATCCCCATTGATCATCAACGTAGCAATACAGAAAATATTGGTACGGAGGGGACAATCTCAGTAACAATACAGAGAATACAGAATATTTCTTGGGGATTATCTCCTAAGTAAAATGTATTGGCCTAAGATCACATGATAAAAAACGTTATTGAATGATTTGACGTGCAATACAGGATATATTCTGTCTCGATATTCTGTATTCTCAAAAGAAATGAGTATTCGCAATTAAAAAATCCTGTTAAGCACATTATAATGCTAAAATCTATGAAGATTAATTTAAAAAATAAACCAGATTTCATCAATTGTGTTGATCTTACTTTGGATGGACAAAATTATTTATATCACCAATGCCTTGCAAAGGTTGAAACCGATATATATTCCCAACCCGGGTTGACCTTTCATATAAGAAATGAATGTGCTCTTTTAAAGTTATGTATTCAAGAAACATAATAAAACATTGGTGGAAAATTACGATTTTGTTGTATAGGAGATGCTTTATGGAATGTGAGATTATATCAAATATTAAATTAAAATTTGGAAATGTGTTATCAGTGCTTTATACAATTAATTTGTAAATTAATTTTTTAAACTAACTACTTACCTCGGAAATTCTGAAGATCATATCAGACCACATCTGTACTGTCTCAGGATTATCTTTCTCCTTCCAAACTAATAAAAGTTGATTTGCCAATGAAGAAGAGTTGGGAATATCTTTTGAAATGCAGTAATCTTGAAAGATTTTATACATGCCATCTCTTGCAGCCCCCCTCAAGTTACCTAAAAATTAAAGTTGTAGATTACATAAGTCTTATTGGCTTACACAGTAGGATCGACTAGGCTTCCATCCATCCATGTTGGTCCGTCCGTCTGTTGGTCCGTCCATCCATCCGTCAACATTGGCGGCACAAATTAAAACTGCTATTCGTATTGAGTCATATCAAAATTCATTTTATGCATATCCATAATGCCCATTTCACCTATCATTGTAATTTACCAAGTTTGCCTGGTTTCTGAGAAATTGCAGATTTTGATGTCAAAAATTTTCTTTAAATACCAGAGAATTCGTTAAAGTAGAACTTTCAAATAAGTGGTAGTAGTTGCTGTATGTGCAACATATGTCCTCTGAAGATCTCAAAGCTCCTGGACTTATGGTTTGAGGTGTTTATAACCATTAGACAAAAAGTAGGACTTAGTCATTTTCAGGGAACTTTCTCATGTATTAAGTCAGTGGCAGATTTATGATGATTTATATTTATATTCTGTATAAATTGCTGAATATATGTCAGCATTAAATTTTCACCGTTTTTGAGATATTTGAAAAAATGGTACAAATAGGTTATTTGTCAACTTGCTTCAATTTGACCAAATTTTAATCAAATCATCTACAAGTTCCAAGTTCTTCAAATCCGACCTTAGTTTTGAGATTTGACCTTTACTTGACTTAAGTGATCTTGGAAAGGTCAAACAAGTTGATTTTTCAAATTGATTTTTTGATTCTGATTTTAGTCAGCTTAATCACAAAACACCTACTCAACTCTGGAAAAATAAAAATTTTCAAGGTCAAAGGTCAAGGTCATCAGACAAAGTCACAAACTGTGCTATCCAAGCTTCTTAAGATTTGAGACTACAAAGGAATATTTTTGGTTGAAAGTCAGTATGTACAATCCAAAAGGTTCTACACTGTGTGAGCACAGGGCTGTGTGTTCTTTATATGGTATTTGCCTAACTCCATCCTACATACTCAAACTATAATGATTCCTAAATGGTTGAGGACATTAGACAACTATTATATTTACTTAGGTGAATACTTGTGCGGGGGAACACCTGTGAGGGGAAATATTTAAAAGGGACTGCAGGAAATATTTGCTCTTAAAAACAAGGCCCATTTGGATATCTCCTTATCTACAGTATCTCTTGGGGTTATCATAAGACATTTTATTTCTTGTCCTGGTGCTATGGTTCATTAGCAGAGTCAAGGTAAACGATATTGCCTGACTTAGTTTTGTATTACTATTATACACAGTCTTTCCCCTTTTTGCACTTTTGGTTTACTTATTCATGTTAATGCTTTATTGTAAAAGTGGATTGTACCTGCTTTTATCGCGGATTCTGCTAGCTTCATGTGGTCTTCATATCCCATTACTCCATCTTTATCTTTATCGAGGGCAAATAAGATAGTAATTATCTTCCTCATCCAGGTCAATGGCAGCTCTCTTATCTAGTAATGATAATACAGTGAAACCTGTTAAACCTTGAACAGCTAGAAGTGGAACACCTCTGTTTGTAGAACACTTGAGAGTCCTACATACTGACTTAATGATAAATGAACCTCTAAGTAAAACACCTCCCAAGAAGAACACATTTTAGAGGTACCAAAGGTATTCCACTGAGACAGGTTTTGCTGTAACTTGAAGCTAGAAATGGATAGTATACATATATGGAAGGCATGTACGAGGGGTGATCAATAAGTAATGGAAACTTTTTTACACAGATACTTTTTATGGACCAATCCCTTTGATTTTCCTACCAGTGATACATCATTCAATTATCTATCAATTCTGAAGATTTGAAGACAAAATATATAATAGTGTACATGTTGATATATCCTTATTTCCGTGAAGGATGTACAGGTACCTCGGGACTGACATTTACGTCACATATTCAGTTTTTAGCCAGTTTGGCAAAGGAGGAGGGAATTTAGCGCAACAGATTTTGGACAGTCATATGTTGGATTTTGGCCATTTTCTGAGGATTTAAACAATTGCATATGTTAGCCCAATGCATTACCTCCAGGAAAATCACTTCTAGAGATGATAAAATAATTTCGACTTTGAGACAGGGTAGATGCAAACAACCCACCCACATGTTTTTTCTGAAATGTTTTCCTAATTTTCAACCCCTTCCATCCCTGCTTTTTTAATTTTGCATCAATATGTTGCATTTTGACACATAGTTAACCACTTTAAAGGAATAAGTGATTCCTTCAGGGGTTTTAAAGATACCCATTATGGGTGACCAAACTTAGCCGAAAGCAATGATTTTTCCTATGGAAAATATTGTTTTCCACTTTACCTAAAAGGAATCATTTATTCCTTTTAAGGGATTAACTGTATGTCAAAACACAACATATTGATGCAAGAAAAATTAAAAAAGCAGGGATGGAAGGGGTTGAAAATCAGAAAAACATTTCACAAAAAACATGTGGGTGGGTTGTGGGTTGATAATTGAATGATGTATCACTGGTAAGAAAATAAAAGGTATTAGTCTATAAAAAGCATCCGTGTAAAAAAGCGTCCATTACTTATTGATCACCCCTCGTATTTAAGAAAATGTAGAAATTACTTTATGAAAAAATAAAAATTTTAATTATTAGAAACTTATTTCTCAAAAGGAGTGATATCAATATGGCGAACTTTTTGAACACGTGTTTCTCTTAAACCAGTCATCAAAACATTCTGAAAATTGTACACATCATTAATTTAATGGTCATCTTTTGGATGGTAATATTATAATTTGAAATATTTATATACTTTTCTCTACATTGTTTTAGAAAAGACACCATGCACTTCTTTCGTTCTTGGTATCATATGTTCAGAATGTAATGAAACATCTATCCGAACCTCATTGGAACTAAATGACATAAACACAACTTGTTTAGGCCTCTCAATATTGCACAAAGGAAAGTTTGGTTGATTTTAAAAAAGTATCTTGTTAATGAAATAAATTTTATTATCTATTTTGAGGGGTTTTGTTTTATGTTTTTGCATACTTTTTGTTAAATCAACCAAAATTTTCTTTGTATAACTATAATATTGAGAGGTCTAAGAAAATGTTGTATATGCTACTTTGTTCCAACAAGGTTCGGAAAGACAGTTTATTTCATTCTCAAAAATTGGTAGGAAGGAACAAGAAAAAAATTGCACTAAAAACAAAAAATGTTAACAAAAACAGTTAGGGGCGAAATGCTGTTGAAACTGAGATACCTGCTGATGACGCAGTGAAGGACTCCCACTCGTTTCTCTTAGACATTAACCACCATTTTGCGTATCCCTGTTCAAATTGTAGCGATGCATCATAGATGTTTATAAGAAAAAAAAAATATATATATAAAATATGTATAAATAATTATTGCATTAAATTGTTGCCAATCAGTCAACATTACATAAAGGACCATGTTTTTTTACAGACTGTTTTCAATGATTGGTTTAAGAGAAAATCATTGTTTAATTCAGTTCACCATATCGATACCCATCCTTTGAAAAATGGAGCACCCAAATAGTGCAAAATTTGGAAACTATGAATTTCATCAAAATTTTTTAGCAAGTATTAAGTATAGACGCCAGAGGCATAGATTCCCACATTTCTTTACTAGCCAAGATGGATTGTAATGGAAAATATTTGGAAGCCAGTAGAAAAGTTAGGGGCCAACACTTTGGCTTGTAATCTCATAAGTTACAAGCCAAGAAAAAAGCAAGCCGTGCGGGCAAAAACCATTTCTTGTTCTGAAATGTCCGTTGACCCATCTAACATGACAGATAGGAGTTGGGCACTAGACAATACCTTGCTGATCTCCCTCCTTTCAATTTCTAAAATTGAGTAGTATACATGTATACAGATTAGGGACAAAGTGAGAATGCTTACAGTGAAACAAACAGCATACAGTACATTATGTGTGCCAATAGAGGGTGGCATATGCATTAGGCACAAATACTCGTAATTTTAAAACCAAACATTTTCTGCTTAACTAAGAATTATGTAATTATGCAAAACAGCCACGACTGCAAGAATCTTCTTTTTTTTCCAACAATTGTATCCCGAAGAACATAGTTATCTGCATTATGATTGGCCAAATAATTCATATTGCTGAAAAGTAGACCAATCAAAAGGCGAGACACAAAATATAAAAGTACAAAATGGGGAGAAGTTCCCAGAATACACTGCGCGTCAATCGAGCCAATCAATGATCTCAATTACTATCTTACCACTAAATTGATGCTGGGAAAGCACTGCACTTTCGAAAAAATTGTTAATATGGATCAGCTGATTTAATTTTCACGATTGAAATGATAGGATAACAGGTATATTATAGTGGGAACTCTTGTACGCCAGGAATACGTGTAAATTTGATTTGTTTGGCGCCCGGGGCCAAAGTTAAGCGCATCTGGCGTCCTGGCGTGTGGGAATCTGTGGCTCTGATAGACGCCCCTGATTCCAAATCTGATTTTGGTTTTGGAATCTGACCTCTGAGTGACCTTGAAAAGGTCAACAAGCTCGAAAATCAAAGTTGCTCAAATTGATTCAATATTGGTTCCATTGTATTACACTGTACTCAGATAGAGTAAATTAGGTCAACATTTTGACCGTCACCGTAAAATGCCATAAAACTTGCTTCTTGTTTTACATGTTCTAGCACCATAGTTATTTTTGCCCAAATTTTGTACATGGCATGCCTTAATCTTCCCATTTAACATATAGTCTGGGTTTTTAAATAGTTTGCCACAAAGGACGATTCTCGGTTTGGAGAACAGTCTCCTGGGCTAATAATTTTTTTCATGAAAAATATAGAAATATTACCCAAATTAAACTATGAATATTCAAAAGAGGACATTTAAATCTACAAGATGTAAAAATAACAAATTGGTCTGAAGCAGGGATAACGCTCAATTAGACCGATTCAATAAAATACAAGTCTCGATTTGGGGAAAGAAGTTCATCAGTGTACTGCGCTAATATTTTTGGGCGAAAAATCCAGAAATATTACCCAAATTAAATTATGATTATTCATAAGAAGACATTCAAATCTATATTATGTAAAAAAATCAAATTTGTCTGAAGCAGGGATAATGCTCATTTAGATTGATGAACTTCGTTCTCCAAACCGAGAATCGTCCTTTGAAAACATTGTTGTTTTACATTCAGTGACCCAACATGGTTATATTTATTTGCATGTACAAAACTTCATAACTCCTATTCAAATTATATTCAAGTATTTCATTCAGGTGCTCCAAATTTGAATCATGTTGGAGAATTTTACACATACTTTGGTTCCGTAGCACGGACTTGCATTCTACAAAATTGCCCCTTGCGATTTTTTATCTAGTATCTAGTTATTTTTTCTGCTTCTTTGTCCCTTGTGTCTATACAAAATATTTTTCATAATTACAATCACAGTTTTCACAAATTATGTTTCTTAATCATATAACTTATAAGTAGAAGTAATTGCCCACCTGCATTTTTTGAGCCGTTTCACTCATGGTTACGTGCGTGCAGTTATATGGTTGCTGCATGATCCTGTATGTTAAACCTAGCTGACCTAGAAAATGCTATCTATCTTGAGTGACATGGTTTAAATAATTCTTAGTTTCTGCACTGTGTATTTTGAAAAGAAATTGTACAACCATTTGAAATGAGTAGATCATAAATAATACCATAATCATGATACCCATATAGTAGTACTTATTCCAACAGAGAACGTTCAGTAGTGAACCCCTCTATCAGTTCGTTCATCTTTCAGTTAATTTGAATATCTGTCCGGAAAATAACTTGAATACTAATAGATAGATTTTTTTCATATGGTGGTATATTTTTTTTAAGATCTATAATGGTAAATTTTTTCAAGATGGCATTTCTTGGCTTGTCAGTTGCCTTATAGGCATTATTGAAGTTTTGATAAAAGTGATATTCCATAAATCATACATTAAACATTTCTTGGCTTTTCAGTTGCCTTATAGGTATTATAGAAGCTTTGATAAAAGTGATATTCCATAAATCATACATTAAGGATTTCTTGGCTTGTCAGTTGCCTTATAGGTATTATAGAAGTTTTGATAAAAGTGATATTCCATAAATCATACATTAAGGATTTATTGGCTTGTCAGTTGCCTTATAGGTATTATAGAAGTTTTGATAAAAGTGATATTCCATAAATCATACATTAAGGATTTATTGGCTTGTCAGTTGCCTTACAGGTATTATAGAAGCTTTGATAAAAGTGATATTCCATAAATATACATTAAACATTTCTTGGCTTGTCAGTTGCCTTATAGGTATTATAGAACAAACTAAATGTGCCAAGTATTAATATGAAGGAAAGATTTTTCATGATCCTGGGTTGTATTGAAATATGTCCTAACTACATTTTGCTTGTTAATGCCCTGTTTGTTAAATAATTATTTATTTTTAGCGAGTGTGTTTGACTCTGACTTGAGTAACTCTATAAAGAATGGCATTATGTACTTGGAAGATCCAGTAGATAAGGTAAGAGGCCACTTAGAATCAAAGAAATCATGTTTGACTTGTAGAAAGAGACCCCTTCTATTAATCAGAATACAACGATAGATTACGAAGGTTTTAACGTAGGAAAGGAAATCACATGTTCTAAAATATGAAGAGAATTAATTGGTGTGTAGTTATAATAAAACTAATTGTAGAAAAATACAACATTGACAGCAGATCTCATCCCTTTGAAATGACATCCACCAAGGAGACTCCTTCTTTTATAGACACAATAAACCAATAACCAATAGATTGTGAATGCTTTTAAATAATTGGAGACCTAACAATTAACTTTAACTATTGATGTCCATCAATCTGCGTTGCATAGGAGAGACACCTTCTAATAGTAAGATGTTATATTCAATGAAAAGTATATATTAATTGTAGGACTGGAGACCACATTACTTTGTATTGACGTCCACCAAGATGTATTACACAGAAGAGACCCCTTCTACTACACAAACTGAGGAAGAAGAAGAGGAAGAAGAGGAAAAAGAAGAAGAATCAAATAATGTCACACCTGAAGTAAGGAAATATATAAAGTGTTATTAAATATGTTATTAAAGTAATGAAAGGAACTTTGAAACTAAATTCATAAGAAAATGGTTAATTAAACCAAAAAAAAGAAATTAATAAAGCAAGACAGAAAACTATATTCCAGGTATATGCTGAATATGAAGTAAGATTTAATTTAATGGTATATCACATCAGATGTGCAAATATGAAATTTGAAATCGATTCAGGTCATAAAAGATTATACATTTTTTTCATCATCAAAATTGGGCACCCCTGTCGGGCAAAATTTGAAATTTTGAAATAGATATATATACTTATCTTACATTTAATAAGAACATGTGTCTTGCGTTTGATGTACAGTAAAACCTGCGAACAGGGAATGCTCTTCGGACTGGAGGAAAGTTTCCTTGTTCAGAGGTTTTCCCTATAGAGAGGGGCCGCACTTTCAGCAAACTCAGAATTGCCGAATAAGCATTTTTTGTATATATTTGGGCATTAATTGATTTTACCAATGCCGACTCCATACTTGGTTGCTAGACCTTGTTGTGACACCTTGGAAGATGTATGAAGGTCTCCCACCTCCCTCCTTTAGCTGAGGGTAAGGAGCATTCTACCAATGTTGATTTTAGTCGCTGCTGATGGCGTATGATGATGTCTAGTTGTAATTATTGATAGATTTGGCTCAACATAACACATGTACTTATCTGTTATCTCCATAAAACAATTGTGTCAATCCCTAGATTATCACAACTGATTTGATGTAATTATGTTTTTTGAAAGGACGAATTAGAGTCATGATAATTAGTAACAAACAGATTAGTATTAGTTTTAAAATATATCAGGGTAATTAACAGTGGGTGGGATGCTACATCTTGTAAACAATTGGCTTATCTTAATCTCAATCATATTAATCCAAGCTTTTGAGAATCAGATATTGGCTTAAGACTTTCACACCTCTGAAAAATAATGGAATATACAGGGTCACCAATATTCCATTTTCCTTGTTCACAGGTGAATTTTCATAATTTGCCCCAAAAAGTGTTCCTTGTTCCCTGTTCACAGGTTTTCCCTACAGAGAGGGTCCGTTAACATGTAAGTCAATGGAAAAATATTTGGTTCTTTTGAAAAGCATTCCTTGTTCATAGGTTTTCCCTACAGAGAGGTATTCCATCGGACAGGTTTTACTGTATAATTAAAGATATTAGAGATGAATATAATAAAGTTCCTTTCATGAATGTTTTGTTCAAAACAGCGAGGAATCAGACCCTACAACTCGAATTTTATAATCCAATTTTGAAATTGAGTCTTTTGATTAATAAAACTGGTAATTTTTTAATTCACTCAAAATAACAGTATTTTGAAAATAATTATATTTTGAAAATAAATTTACTTAAAATGAAAATAATTGTTTTGAAACTAAATATAAATGTGAATACAAAATAATGGCACTTTTGGTAAAATGTTATCCAAAAGAAGTATATACTATATTAGCATACCATAATTGCATACCTGGTTTAAAATTCCAGCACACATTTGCTTTTGTCTGCATGTATTTGAATAAGACTGAGTAAGAATATTGGTGTCCATCAAAACATTTTTGCATTACGTACACAGGGGCGGATCTGGGAACCAACAAGGGAGGGGGGCGAAATATCATGTCAGAGAAAAAAACTTCCGCACTTGCGCGGAAAAAGATTTTTGGCCCCTAAAATTTTCTTCAAAATTTGGCCCCCAGGCCCCCCCCCCAGATCGCTAGTGGTACATGTAGTTAATATTCTTGATAACCAGAGTTTGGTCACATTCATACTTCCACTACTTTTAGTCGTGTATTCTCTCATATAAATGAGGCAATAAATATACAATACAATTTAGTTAAGGGGACATGGGGATTGGTACAATTTTTGGGTATTTTGTTTTTGATGGTCAACAAGATTTTGATCTGCCCCTGTAAATATTTCTCAACCTGTCTACCAATAATTGGAAATAACATTTCAGATGAAAAAGGCAGGAGTCGGAAATTTCAGCTTGTGCAAATAAAGATGCAAGAATGCATGTTTAATATGTGTTATTTTAGATTTATGTAATTTCTTCTTTTTTTACAGAAATCCTGTGAAGATGACTTAGTGAATAAAATCACTCTTATGTTTTGTACTTCTAAAAAACTTGAATTAAATCAACTGATCTGGATGAATATCTTTTTTTATTCACATTTTCTTCTTTAAAAAATGTGATACATTTTTGTCATTGTAATATTAATCATTCAAGAATTATGGTGTGATTAAGGTGGTTTAACACTTATCACATATATTTGAGAAATATCAGGGCTCCATGCTTGAAAAGGGGGCCATTCAATACTGAATCAAAGCTCTTTTTGCTGAGTTGTGACTCAATCAAATTAAGAGATCATATAAAGGACATTCATGCAATACACCTCCCATATACAAAGATTTCAAAAGCTTTTACCCTGCTGCAGCTGTTACTTTCTACCCCAGTTGTGTGGCAATCGCTTGCAGATGTAGTTTATGCATACAGCTGTCACTCCCCACATCTGCATCTCCAAGGCAGAATTAATCCTACTAGCCTACTAAATTTGTCCTCACTTTTTGTCTGATATCATAGACTTTAAAGTGATTTTCAAATATGAACAAAATGACCTTCTTCAAAGAACATAACACATGTTACCAAAGCTGGTTATCATGGTTACCAAAGCTGGTTATCATGGTTACCAAAGCTGGTTACCATGGTAACCAAAGCTGATTACAACATCACACCTTTTTTAAAAATCCTTGCAAGGATTTCACATTTTTGGACCAATTTTAGATACTGACAACATTAAATTGGAATTTTTGGTTCATAATTTAACCCAAGATTTTTACTAACCCTTCTATTGCAGGGCCCAGTCAACAATGAGCTACATTTTAGTGAACGCTGGTTTCATGGGAAGTTAGCGGGTGGACGGAGAGGCGCTGATCGCGTTCTCCAAGATCATTGCCATATGGGAGACGGCACATTTTTAGTACGGGAAAGTGAAACTTTTGTTGGTGACTATTCGTTGAGTTTTTGGTAAGTCCTGGATGGATATCTTTTGTAGGGATTAGTTTTACTCTCTTATTTTTGAAAAGAGGTTTTTTTGGGTGTAGCTTTTGGATTTTTAAGGCTTTTTTGAGTTTCTCTTTGATTAATTTGTGTGATTTGGTTAATAGAGGTATATGTAGATGTCATTTCAAGTCATGTTTCAAAATGCAAATGTGAATGGAAAAAAGAAGGAATAATTTGACCAGCAATATAATAAATAAATTAATCAATATTATTCTAGATTGTAAAATAATTTTACAAAATCTGATGTTTAATTAAAATTTTCGAGAGAAGAAGAAATGAATCATGAGCAGACATACATTTTACCTTGACTTAAGTGACATCTATTTGTTGTGAATAATCTCATTAGCATATTAGATTCTGCTTTCTGTGTTTCTTTGTTTGCATAATTTGGTTTGAATGTTTGTTTGACTTAAAAAGCTTAGTAATAAAGCTCCTATCATTTTGACACTTTCGGAATTTAGTCATTACTTGGAGGGGTTTAGGGTTATGGATGATTTTCAATATATTGTGATCTTGGTAGGGGTTGGGTTTTCCCCAATCTGAGAAGTTGTATCATAGGTAGTAAATTAAAATAAACTGGATTGGAAACTTTTTTGAGCTCATAGGACAATATAAATTTGTTGTGCTATTTTGGTTAATTGCTGTTCCCAGGTTGCTGTAGAATGGTATTGCTTATGCTGTATTTATGCTGTAGATTTCCTTTGCCGCACTTCCATGCAGTATTGCTTTCTCATATTATGCTGATTTGCTTTTCTATATACTATGCTGCGCTATGCATTGCTTCACTATATCATGCTGGGATATCTAGTCCCTCCTGTTACCTTCCTTTGCCCCTTATGATAATCATACTAGCTCCTTATAAGGTAATGTAAAAATGCTATATGTTGTGGAAAACCCTTTATATAGTGTAATATCAAAAGAACATTATATGGCATGAAACTCAGTATGTTATAATTCAAAACTCTTTATAAAGCAATATAAACCCTTTTGAGTTATAATTCAAAACCCTTTATAAAGTAATATAAACCCTTTGAGTAATAATTGACATATGATTCTTGAAAACCTTTGGTGCTCTTAAACCCTTTATAAAAACCTTCATTGTTCAGTAGAAACCTTTATAAGGAAATAAGTCTTCCAAAAACCAGTGATGAGACAAATAAATTCCTCAAAAGGAACGAGTCTTTCTTCTCCAAATCTTAATCTTAAATCCATTCTGGTGAGTCCTTAACGTTGCGAAAATACCACTGAATTCCCCAAATATAAAATGAAATATTTGAAAATGAAACGATAATATCATATGCAGAAACTTTAAACGTTTCTTTGAATATTCCCATTTGACAGGCAATCAGAAATCCTTAGAATATTCTGGGATTTTAATGTGCATATAAGAACACATTTTAATTGTGTTTATATGGAAACATAATTTTTTTTATTCCTTTGGTCATCCTATTAAGTATTTCTCTGGACTTATGAGTCCCAAACATATTTGAAGTGCTTGTTTTGATGTGCTAATTTGATGCTCTAGTCTATGAAATTGTATACCACATTTTATAATTATTTAATTTTTCTTTCAGTAAACCCTATTATTTATTCTCTAATTTGAATTTTATTTTCTTTAGTTTAGTTCTGTCAGAGACCTCCAAACTATTATTTCCTTATATGGTACTGAATGCTATTATTGTCCTTATATGGCTTTGAGTACTCTTTGTATAGGTAGTCTTAGGTAACATATCAATGAGTCGTTTTCTGCGAAAGTAATTTATTTTGTAATTGTTGATAGAGGTAAATAAGTTTTATTGAAAAATTGGTGATGTTATTTTACTATTTTAGTTCCATTAAGTTCAACTCTAGGATAGTCAAAATTGCATTAATTAATCCTTTTTTGTCAGGCATGGATGAATACAATACATTTTTTGTTTGCAAATGTTTACTCTTTAAGTAGGACTTAGCAGAGAGGGTAAGAATTTTGTTTGTTATCCTATTTGCAAGTTGCTTTCGCGAAACAAATTGATATTTTACCTGACTTCTTTCTGTGTGTACCTGAACTGATTTAAATGCTGAAGTAGGCCCTAAACACATAGGTCCTGAAGTAGGCCCTAAACCCAAAGGCCCTGAAGTAGACCCTAAACTCATTGGCCCTGAAGAAGGCCCTAAACACATAGGCCATGAACTTGCAGACCCTAAAAGGCCCTGAACTCAGAGGAAAGACAGATGACCAACAACTCTAGTATAGTAAAACCTGTGTATATGGAACTTCCTCTGTTCTGATCGAAGTTGTTCCTTAAAAGGGATATTCACTACATAGAGGATTCACTAACATGTACGGCAGTGGGACTCAATGTGTTATTTAAAAACTGCTTCTTATATAGAGAGGCGTTCCCAACAGAGAGGTGTTTCATCATACTGGTTTTACAGTTTTCCCAAAACTGTGTCTTCCTCCAATCTTTGTTGTACACATCTGTATGTGCATTCATTGTGTTGTATCCTGTACTGTAGGTAATAAAGAGACCCCTTAGTTAATGCATGATTATTGTATTGTGTTAGGGATGCAAAGATTGGCTTCACGACTATATTAGGGGGTCCAATGCACGTCCATTCGCAGAATCCTTATTGAAGGATATTTGGGGCCCACGCTTAGGGGACGGGACATTCTTAGTGCGACATAGTCGTGAATTTGTGGGTGACTTTACCCTTTCATTTTGGTAGGTAACTCATCGCACTGGGTTTTATGGGTCCCTGACCAGTGCCATGTCACTTATTCACATATACATTATATTATCTATCATTTGAAAGGCAATCAAGTTTTACATTCATACATTTATCCAGAAAATTCTATTACCCTTAAATTCATTCAATCCCATCTTAATATCGGATATTGTATCTCCTCCTGTTGGGATCTTTGCAAGGTTGCCTTTCCAATGATACGTATATATGATATAAATTATTGCATGACATGCTATATGAGGTTATGAGGTAGTGATCATCCTATAAAATCTTAGTTCCTTAAATTTTGAGCACATACAATTTATATTAACATATCCTGAATTCAGAATTATTAACCTCACATGTCCCTGGGTAAAATAACTCCCCTACTTTAAACTTTATTTTATTGCATTTGAAAAGTGCTATACTTACCTTCAACTTTTATTGTGGCAGGATTTTGAAGTTGTATATTTCAGTAATTTCTGAAAAAATGTAACAGTTGTACATCTAGTTAAATTTTTCAGTTGACATTTGAGTTCCCTTTTCTTGAGATGCATCTTTAACAATTCCTTTCCTTCTTCCTGTGTAAAGAGAATGCCAATCTAACAGGTGCCAATGTAGCATCCTAGATCATTAACCTTCTCCACTTCTACATTTGCTCCTTGGTGGCTTGCTGCCTAATTCACACGAAATAGATTTAGAATATCCTGTAACTTGCACTCGAGGATCCAGAAGCTAACAAGTGGGGAGTCAAATTCATTCAGGAAAACATTTTGGGCCCTTAAACCAAAAATTGGGCCCAAATCTTGAAAATCTAAAGAAGGCCTAAAAAGCCAATTTATGCTCAAAAAGGCCAATTTTTTGAAGCGCTACAAAATCTTCAGCCCCAAAATTTTGGGCTCCCCCGAATCTGCCAGTGATAAGCATAATCAATAGAACTTGTTACAAACCTTCTGTTCGCTTTAAAATTGGAAGTTGATTGTGTACATTTTTATGAACGGCTTTATGAAATTATGCAGTCATGTAGCTTACTAAATGGGAACATTTTCTGTGCCTTGGTATTTTTAAGAAAGGATATTTCCTCTGCAAAGTCTATAGACTGTTCAACTTGCAGGCTGTTTTAGATTGTAAAACTTTTGGGTATTTATCACAATGACCTTTTCTCAAAACATAGTATAACAATGCACAGTGGATCTGGTACGAAATATATGTATCCGAAAACTAACATCCTCTCTTTGATAAAATGCATTCTGGGAAAATTATGCATGATGGGATACCTCTTACACCCCCTTTCTATTTTCATTTCTTATTCTCTCTCTTGATGCTTTGCTTTAAATGTTTGTATTTCCTGATTCACTAAACATCTGTGTGTGTTTCTAACATTGTCTAGTTGGTTTCATATTTTGCTTGCAGTTTTACAATGTATTTCATCATGTATCTTAATTTGTAACATTAGTTTTTTTGTTTGTTTATATTACAGTAAAATTGTAATACTATTTTATCATAATATATAAAACATTATTTCATTTACTGATTACTTGAGACTCGTCCTTATCAGAGTCAATAAAAATGGAAAATTAAATCAAACTAAATTATCTTCATCAAAATATAGAAAATCTTACACTGAAAATCCAAATTAGAACGGAATGTTATAAAAACCCTTCGACCTTCGACCTGCATCTTCTACCTTCAGCTTCGACTTACAGGGTATCCAAAAAGCGGGCCAAAAAGAAAGTTATAAAAACCCTTCGACCTGCACCTTTGACTTTTCTTAAGAAAATTGTCAAAGTCCAAAAATATTTCTTTGAAAAACGACTAAGTCCAACTTCACATAGATTATGAAATTGAACGGAGCTCTGTCCTCGTCGAAAGCTATAGCTGTCATCTCTTGAGTTTACATCGGCGAAATACTTTATATGCCTGGTGACGTCATCACTTTTCGGACAAGATTTGAAAGTTAAATAACAAGTTATTGACGCCATATCCCGTTTTAATATTGATCATACAACAAGACTATGATTTGAACTCAATAAATAGAACAGTAATTGATCGCTACTTACTCTAATCTTACTTTGATTCAATCGAATCAAAACCAGGAAGTAAGTTCTAAAAAGGGAAACTTCCATTTAAACTACCCGATTGACTACCCGATCAACATCAACATAATCTTAATTTGATAACATTAAAACGCTATTTCACCCCTGTAACTATACCTAGAGTACTGCAAACGTTGCTACAATTTAAGATCTTAACGATCTCACCTGTGAACCACAAATCAAGTGACTCTTTCGTGGTCTGAGATCGGCAAAAATAGCTTCTATAATATTTTCTTTTTGGACACCCTGTAAGTCGAAGGTGAAGGTCGAAGGTGCAGGTCGAAGGGTTTTTATAACATTCCAATTAGAACTCCTATTTCTTCGTAAACAGGAAGTGTTATTTTTAGGCGTCAAAACAAAGTGAACCACTGTAGGATCAGATCCCGACAAGAATTGGGACAGACGAAGTATTACCTGATTGAAAACACGTCCTTCGACAGTTTATATAGTTTAATTTGCCATTATCGGCAGAATCCGTTACGGAGCCAAGAGTTTAGAATCGTCTTAAAAGAGCCAGTCCCTCAACCACAAAGTCATGAAGGGAAACCGTAAGTTCAAGTTGATATATTATTTTTGTTCAAGTTGATATATAATTTTTGTTCAAGTTGATATGTAATTTTGGTTCAAGTTAATATATTATTTTGGTTCAAGTTGATATGTAATTTTGGTTCAAGTTGATATATTATTTTGGTTCAAGTTAATATATTATTTTAGTTCAAGTTGATATATTATTTTGGTTCAAGTTGATATAGTATTTTGGTTCAAGTTAATATATTATTTTGGTTCAAGTTGATATATTATTTTGGTTCAAGTTAATATATTATTTTGGTTCAAGTTGATATAGTATTTTGGTTCAAGTTAATATATTATTTTAGTTCAAGTTGATATATTATTTTGGTTCAAGTTGATATATTATTTTGGTTCAAGTTGATATAGTATTTTGGTTCAAGTTGATATATTATTTTGGTTCAAGTTGATATAGTATTTTGGTTCAAGTTAATATATTATTTTGGTTCAAGTTGATATATTATTTTGGTTCAAGTTGATATAGTATTTTAGTTCAAGTTAATATATTATTATCCCACCGAACGAAGTTCGAGGGGGATATAGAAAAGCCGTCCGTCCGTCCGTTTGTCCGTCCGTTTGTCCGTCCGTCCGTCCGTCCGTCCGTTCGTCCGTCCGTTCGTCCGTCCGTTCTTCCGTCCGTTCGTCCGTCCGTCTGTCCGTTCGTTCGTGTGTCCGGGCAATAACTCAAATACCGGTTGACAGATTTCATTCAAATTTTATAGGCTTATGCCTTATGGGTGTAGGACCTTTGCTTGAGAAGGAATTTTCAATATGGCCGCTTAATTAAAAATGGCGGCCATTTTTCGGAAAAAATATAATCTTTAATAACTCAAATACTGGTGGATGGATTTGGTTCAAATTTTATATGCTGTTGCCTGGGTACAAAGGAGCCTTGCTTAAGAAGACATTTTCAAGACGGCCACCAAATTTCAAAATGGCGGCCATTTTTCGTAAAAAAATGTTATCTTTGATAACTCAAATACCATTGAATGGATTTGGTTCAAATTTTAGATGTTGATGCTTAGGGACATAGGAGCTCTGCTCGAAAAAGGATTTTCAAGATGGCAGCTAAATTTCAAAATGGCAGCCATTTTTCGTAAAAAAACATTATCTTTGATAACTCAATTACCATTGAATGGATTTGGTTAAAATTTTACATGATGATGTCTAGGGACACAGGAGCTCTGCTCGAGAAGGGATTTTTAAGGTGGTAGCTAAATTTAAAAATGGCCGCCATTTTTCATAAAAGAACGTAACCTTTGATAACTCAAATACCAAATGACGGATTTGGTTCAAATTCTATATGCTGCTGCCAAGAGACAAAGAAGTTCTGCTCAAAAATAAATTTTCAAGATGGCCACTGAATTTCAAAATGGCCGCCACTTTTTGTAAAAAAACGTAATTAATGATAACTCAAATACCAGTGGATAGATTTGGTTCCAATTTTATATGCTGATGTTTCGGGAAAAAGGAGATCTTCTTCCAAAGAAATTTCAAAGGCGTTAGCTGAATTTCAAAATGGCTGCCATTTTTCATTAAAAAAGTAATCTTTGATAACCCAAATACCATTGGACGGACATTCTCTGCTAAAGAAGAAATCTAAAGATGACAGCTGAATTTCAAAATGGCAACCATGTTTCATAAAAACATAATCTTTGATAATTCAAATACCAGTGGATGAATTTGGCTCAAATTTTTTATCAAAACATGTTTTGTTCGGTGGGATTTGCTACTCCGTGGAGTTGCTGTTTTTCTAGTTTTGGTTCAAGTTGATATAGTATTTTAGTTCAAGTTGATATATTATTTTGGTTCAAGTTTATATATTATTTTGGTTCAAGTTAATATATTATTTTGGTTCAAGTTAATATATTATTTTGGTTCAAGTTAATATATTATTTTAGTTCAAGTTGAGATGTAATTTTGGTTCAAGTTAATATATTATTTTAGTTCAAGTTAATATATTATTTTGGTTCAAGTTGATATATTATTTTGGTTCAAGTTAATATATTATTTTGGTTCAAGTTAATATATTATTTTAGTTCAAGTTGATATGTAATTTTGTTCAAATTAATGTATTCTTTGGTTCAAGTTGAGATGTAATTTTAGTTCAAGTTGATATATTTTATTGGTTAGGGTTCCAAAGCCAGCTCCAAGTCCAGAGCAATCTTCATTTGTATGTCCCCGCACAGTATGACTTTAAGAGTGTGTTTTTCTGAATTTTTAATATCATTTTTAAACACATCTAGGTGGTACCATGAAGACTTGAGTAATCGTGGCGCAGCCGAAAACATGTTGAGCAGAATTCCTTACAATGGGGCTTTCCTGATACGTAAACGTCTCGACAGAAATCCGTCAGATAGCACACAGTATGCTATATCATTCAGGTGACTGTCTCTTACATATTTACAGAGTATGTACATATAAGGCGAAACTTATGCACAATTACAGTGAAGCAGATTCCATAGGAATATATCTTAAAGGGACGAAAAAGTACTATTATAATTAGTAAAAATCATTTTTTAAAATTTAGAAATCATATTATACAAGCGAAAATATTACCACCTGATGGCAATCGGCAATTACATGTAGAAAAAAATATAATATTTTTAAATTTCAGGGCTGAAGGAAAAATTAAGCATTGTCGGATAAAACAAGATGGCCGCCTGTTTATAATTGGGAGTGCACAGTTTGAGAGTCTCAACGAGCTAGTGGAATATTACGAGAAACACCCTCTTTATCGAAAGATGAAACTAAAGTATCCGGTCAATGAAACTCTGGTTGAAAAAATCGGAACTGTAAGTTAATATTATTTTTTATCAAAATAAATGTTTTCTTGAAATGACTGGATCATAAACTAAAAAATGTAATCAAAATTTAAAATTAGACTAGATGAAAAAAGAATCAATTGATTGCTTTCTTAACTGAATAATATTAATTGTCTGATTCATATGTACGAGGGGTGATCCAAAAGTCTTGGACGCCTCGCTCTAACTTTGCTACTTTTGGATCACCCCTCGTACACTAAAGTATGAGCATATTTTAATCTACATTAAATACACATGTTTTTTCTATATATGAACTGTAAATGTCAATTCAAATATTCACACATGAGGTATGTATGTGCACTGTACACTGTAGATATACTCATGTGGACTTAAAGGGCCACGGCATGTTTGGTGAGAAACTATGAAAAATTATGTCTCCTGTTCTAGACCACATGAGTTGAAAAGAATGATGTAAATGTTAGAAGAGTTTTAACTGCAAGAATAAAATCATGTACAACTCCATTGTGACTAACCGATTGTTAAAGCGTTGCAAAAGCAGTCACAATTTTTTCACCAAATATGCTGTTGGCCCTTGAGAATGTGTATTGAATCTGAAGTATAAGAACTGAACTTATCGATGAGAGCAGCTTTTACTATCATACTGGATTTTATCAGATGGAAAGCCAGTGTGGTAATGGATTTTACATTTTATAATATAGTCTCATCAAACAAGCCATGGCCCTTTGAAAATGATATGTAACTCAAACAGTAAATATGTTATGTATCTTAAATAATTTACATATCAGTATAAATTAAAGGTATTTCAGGATTATAAAGGATACATCCCTTTAAGCCGATGTTGAAAAGTAATTTTGTGATTATTTTTCATTTAATTATTTTGTAGGCCCCAGACAGCAATGCTATATATGAAGGAGCTGATCTGCTTTATATGAATCCAAATGACTTTGAGTCACCTGTGAGTGGTTGTGTGATATGACATCACTTTTGATATGACATAATGTGATGTATCATGACATATAATGATGTCAGAAACTACTACACAGTGTCATGTGGCATCAGGTTGCATGACATCATATCCTTACATTAAGTATTAGACATTCACAGCATGTGATGTATGATGACATTTAGTGATGTGACATGACATTTTGTAACATGACATCATGTGCATATAATGCATATTTTAGGCATGTGGTTGGGCATAATTAATATTTCCAAATTTTATTACTTTTTTAACACACCCAATGAAGGAACTTAGCAAATATTAAAAAAAATTAGCCTACAGTGGACATCAGATCTAATACTTATTGTTCAAAAAGTTACAATAATGATGATAAATCAAAAATACACCTTTCACCTTGATTTTGTATAAAAATTAAGGTACATGTACTTTGTGTACACCTTATTAGAATTAGTTTGAATTCATAACTGATGAAGATATAAATTCTGTAAATAAGGAGTTTTTTCAAAATTTTTTGGCAACCTCAGTGTTACTCTATTGTTCATTGTATGGAAACCTGTAGTTTGCGTTTAAATGATTACCATATATGGCCATTCATTTTCTTAAAATTCAGTGGAAAACAAGAAATGTTTGCCAAACAGGCAAAATTATGAGTGGATTGTCAAATACTCAGAAGTTCTCAAATACTAAGGGGTACTCAAATACTCAAGTACTCAGATACTTATAGGCACTCAAATACTCAAAAGTACTCAAGTATGAATTTGGAGAAAATGCATGATCAAATAAGAATTTTTTTATAGATATTTGCATTTTGTGTTTTAACTGCTTTTAGATTTCTTTTCTAGCACTGACACGCCAATGTAGAAACTTACATTTTATATCTCATGTTTTTAATGCCTCAGATCACAGTGCTTTTCTATATTACCAAGTGTCTGAGTGGGGGGCAATTTCCAATAAATACATTTTGAGTTTCTTTGAATAAATTAAAAGTTCTTGTGAAAATGAACTGGAAGTGAAACTTATTGTTCTCCCCTCAAAAATCTCACTTAAAATATGGACTAAATTAGCAAGTTGGTTGCCACAAAGTCAAGACTCTAAATTATATAGAAATAGAAATGCAAGAAAAACAGACACATTATTCAAATTTTAGAGAGAAATGGTTTAGAATAAAGGATGATCAAACGGCAATTTGACATGGGTCAAAAAGAAATATTAAGAAATAATAAGAATTGCATTGTGTTGCATCCATTCACAGCTTGTAGTAGAAAATACTGTAAACCAAGAACATTTCAATAAACTTTTCACTATCTTTGGACAGTTTTCACAATAAATGATTGTTTTAATCTTCCATACAAAACATATTACTCCCAAATTAGTTGGAATGTAATCGTTGAACTTTGAAATTTAAAGCAGTTTCTCGAAATTGTCATAACATTGTCTTGGTTTGGTTTCTAGACAACTCATCCCAAGACAACTCATCCCAAGACAAGTCATCCCTAAGACAAGTCATCCCAAGACAAGTCATCCCCGAGACAAGTCATCCCAAGACATCTCATCCCAAGACAACTCATCCCAAGACATCTCATCCAAAGACATCTCATCCCAAGACAACTCATCCCACTTGTATAATTGATAAATTATTTTGTCCTCTATACATATATCCCTTTTTCATTTTTATGATTACAAAGTGATTTTTGATTACACACTCAATTTTTGATACCGATTTTTAGCGTTTTGAATGGTACTTGAAAGTTATGTTTTACTTGTTAGTACTGCCGCTATTTTGATTAATGCTGGGTTATTCTAAATACATTTGAGAATATAGAATTGAACATAAAAGTCATAGACATTATTTCCAAATTTAATCATCATATATCTGAAAGTTTGAAATTGGCAATCTTATTTAGGATTAGGCCAAAATATTTTTAAACAAAGACTGAATTAATCTGAGAGAATTATTCTGATAGCACCTTGGATAATACATTCTAACTGAGTTAATCCTACACCTTTGATTAATTGTAATTAATTAATTGTATAAATTATGTTATATTTCAAGTTGGGTAGAGTTGTCTAGGGGATGAGTTGTCTTGGGTTGAGATGTCTTGGGATGAGATGTCATGGGATGAGATGTCTTGGGATGAGTTGTCTTGGGATGAGATGTCTTGGGATGAGATGTCTTGGGATGAGTTGTCTTGGGATGAGATGTCTTGGGGATGAGTTGTCTTGGGATGAGTTGTCTTAGGGATGAGTTGTCCTGTTACCCTTGGGGTTGCAGTATGGATTAGAAAACAGAGGAATTAAGAAGAATTTGAGTAAAATCAGCGAGAAATTAGCATGAAATTCTACTCTGATTCCTCTAACTTTCACTCAATTTTATACCCAAAACATCTCCCATCTTAATTTTTCAATTGTAGTTTTAACATGTAGATTATTTTTTGCGTTTTGTCATGCTTGTTAGGATCCTGATGCAGATGCAATTTATAGCGATGGGATGTATGCGGATCCTAATGATTTCACATCAAAGGTAGGGGTAGGAAAGAGGGAGGGGGAGGGGGGGGGGTGTATTTTAGGAGGAAGGGTTAGCAGGGGGTATCAACTTTGGGAGATGCAATATATATTGAAGAGTGTGTGGCTTATGCTGACCCTAATGATTTTACATCAAAGATGGGGGTAGGGATGAGGGGGGTGTACTTTGGAGGGGTGGGCAGGGAGTATCAACTTTAGGAGAGGAGAAGAGGGGAGACAGATGCAATATATAGCAAGTGGTGTAGGATGTACCCAGATGCTAATGATTTGACATCAAAGGTTGGAGAGAGATGGGCAGTAGATCTTTTTATTTACACTTCCTTGGGAAGTATGGGAAATAACCTTCCTTATATGAAACAGGATAAAAGGGAGATCTTTAAGACCCATAATGCAGATAACTTGAACAAATGGGGGCTTATTTAATTTGTAGATAGCATTTTTACTAACTTTTAGAGTAGTATTTGTTTTATTTATCTACTAATATTTAACTTTTTCCATATTTCATTATGTAGTTTGAAATTAGGGTTATTATTTGTTGTTTGCAAAAAATAAATAATTTAGCTTTTTTATTATTTATTTAACATGAAAATCTCCTTTTAGAGAATCAATTTCCCAAAATTTTTCTTTGAATTTTTCAAATTGATAGAAGCAACTTAAAAAACAAATGTGAAACCATTTGTAATACATGGTGTGTCTAATAAGTAAATGGATCAACAAAAACAGACTTTACTTATTGAAAACACTTCAAATTTAGAAACAAAATTAATTAACTCTTTGTTTTAGATCAAGGTTCGAGCACTGTATGATTATAAGGCTCAGCGTGAAGATGAGTTGTCTTTTTGTAAACATGCTGTTATAATAAACATAAACAAACAAGATGGTGGCTGGTAAGTAACATTCAGAACAATTGACTTGATGCGAGTAGAAAAAATCTCGATTTACGTCATTAAATATTCAAAATTCAGTCAAAGTGATGTCATATTTGAAATTTACATGTTTAAGTACAACTAGAAATATGGTTTCAAAAATTGTCTATCAACTTTGAAAATTAAATTTTTTTGAAAATGTGACTTCTTGTTCGGGTTGAATCCTCATAGACCCCATGTTACAAAATCACAAAAAGTGAATTATCTTTTCCTGTATTGGACAGATAACATTTTCATTTACTGGACATATTTTAATTTTTAATTAACTATTAGATACATGAGGTTTATATGAAAATTGAACCACGCAAATAGATTTAATTTAAGTTAAAGGGAACTTTCTACTATACCCGCCATAATCTGACCCGAACGGGCCACCTGGTGGTGAATCTAGTAACTACCTACTCACATCTGCGTTATTAAAATGTTTTATTTCAAAATGCCTCTCTGTGACGGCTATCACAAAACGATATTTGACCAAAATTGCATCCTTGGTGGAGAAATCAACTCATTAATTTGGTCCTAGGGTAAGGAATTTGACAGCCAAAATTATTTTTGTCGAATTCCCAAATAATATCAGAATGAAGCACTTGTCATTACCAAGTAGTTTAAAGAATCTGTTGACAGTTCTGTTTTGCTCACTAGGTGGCGTGGTGACTATGGTGGCAGGAAGCAGCATTGGTTTCCTAGCAACTATGTGGAAGAGTTCGAACAAGATGATGACTCAGCAGATTCTACACCTCTTGGTAACCTGCAGAAAGGGACGATGGATGTCACTGGATGCATTGTGGGTAAGTTACTTGCATTATAGGTAAACCACTTATGCATTGTGGGTAAATCCCTGGGGCATTGTGGGTATTGTACAATTTGATAAGTAATCAGTGTATTGTGTATAGCTGAATAGTGTATCTTAGTCAGTGGGTCAGTTATGTCAATGAAATGCCAATAGTGCAAAGGAAACATCAAGGGTGCAAGGGAAATGTCAATAATATTAGAGTCATATCAATAGTGCAAGAGATTTGCTTATGGTTCAAGAAAAATGTCAATACTCCAAGGGAAACATCATTACTGCTTGCGACATCACTAGTATTAATTAACGTAATCAATCTGACTGAAGTTCAGACATGGTTCCATGTAGGTTCAGTTAGTTACATTTTAGTCACTGTTGCCGAATAATATCACCGGACTAGTTTCAAGTTCTAATCTTTGCTTATAGATGTCCTTAATGGCAGAGGAGGCCGGAACTACATTTTCCGAATTGTCAATCCAACTGATAATTCTCGACTGGAAATAGCTGCGTCATCTGATGACGACATGTTTGAATGGGTGAAGAATATACGAGAGTGCGCTAACATAGCAGAAGCAAGGGTAAGAGACATAAGGCCATTTTAAGTTTTTTAAATTCTGTGCTGAACTCATTTCATTACCTGCTAAATAATCCAACCCCAGAGGAATCACTCCCATCATTTTGTGCGTGTCTTAGCCAATGGAATGAATGATCTTCAGTACTATTATTTTGTTTTATTTTTACTGTTCACTGAATATTATTCTCTTAAGTTTTATTTTTTTCTCGGAATTGAAAACAGTATACCTAGCATACATGTACAGTAATTACTTCATTGCCTCTCATTGTTTATGACACAGACATTTTAATTATTTTTTAGATTATCGAAATGTTTCATTTTAACAGATTTACAAAGACTAACGATTTTAAAATACTTTTAAATATATATTTCTTATTCCAGAGGATGGAAGGAAGGAAAATTGAACGAAACTTGCGAATAGCCCGAGAATTCTCAGACTTGATCGTGTATTGTCGTAGCGTCCCTTTCAACCCAGATAGTGAGAACCTTTTTTTTATATAATTTATTTATTAACTGAAATCTCAAAATTTACTGGCTTAAATTGGAATACATATGTTCAAGTTTACTAACATAATAAATGGTTAGATCCAATATTTAAGTAAATTTTTATATCATTTGATAAGAAATTAAGTTATGCATATAAATGTGGTTGTTGATATATATATTATATATAATATTTTGTTATTTCGAGGAAAATACCTGTTCATCAATAGGGTTAAGGGGAATATTAGATTTGAAAATGACACAAATTTTCGCTGAGTGAAGACTGAAATATTTGTTTTATTTTATTATTCTCTTCTGATTCTCATTCTGACATCCAATTCATTTCATAGATTTCGATAATTATAAAATCAAAGTTCCAATGTTGGTCAAAGTGTTTCTTAAAATGATATTATGGTTACAAAAAACATGAAAAAGTTCTCTTGTTCCAGTTAAAATGGATTTAATTAAAATATTTATCTAGCAGAGGACAAAGTGCTTTGTCACTAAGTATTAGTTTTTTAAATTAATAGTTTAATTAAATTTTTAAATTAATAATTTTTCTTTATCTTTCTCTCTCAGAAATTGGAAAAGGTAAAAACCATTTCAATTATGTTTTTGTTTAAAAATATTTACCAGCATTTTTGTTGTGTCATTTGTTATGTTTTTGTCAACTTTGTTTTGAAAACCTTAAATTGTTATACCTTCCTATACCCCTGTAACATTGTTCATTTAGCAAATATGTTTTTATTTACTTGTTTATTTGCATGCTTTTCAATGTTGAAATAGTGGAAAGAGGATTGAAGTTAAGATTGTATAAAGTGCATGGAATTTTGTGAACCTTTATAAGTTTTTGTTTTGTAGATAAAATTATATTAAGTTTGTTAAGTTGCATGATAAATGTTTAAGTTCTTAAGTATTTGTTCAAATTATTTTCATCAATTGCCTTGTACTTGTATTAGTTACTTGTATAATGTACTTGCATCATACCATGTACTTTTACAATTTATTTGTATCATTTTCCTTGTATCAGTTACTTGTACAATTTACTTGTATCATACCACAAACTTGTACAACTTACTTGTATCATACCATGTACTTGTACAATTTACTTGTATCATACCGTGTACTTGTACTCTAGATTTGAACCTTTCACTTTGTATATGCACCATTTAGTAGAGGGTTAGGATATATACATTTTGCACTTCACATTTCTTTCCGTCCAGATACTCCAATATCCACATTGAGATTAAAATATAATTCAGTATAATATAATTTAACAGTTAAAGGAATCTAACCTGATCGTTAAGATTTTGAAATTGATTTGCATGTTTTGTTGATACATAGGTACATATTTTGTGTAAAATAGTAGTTCCATATAAGGTGATTGAATAAGGTACCAGCCATTTTACCATTATGATCCCTTATAGCATCTTTTGGTTTCACCATCTCAAGGCTAAGAAGAAATGGGATGTCATGGTTTATCATGATGGCATTTTATCTGAAAATGTTTCCGATTCATAATGATTTGTAACTTGCATTGTCAATAGACCTTGATAAAAACCTATTTTATTTGAATAATGTTGAAAGTGTGAATTAGATTCCTTTTATAATTTAAAAGTGTGGCCATGGTAAATTTCTATTTGTAACTTAATGATATAAGATGAATTGAACAAGAATTTATTCGCAATAATAGAGACCACCCTTTCAAATTAAGTGGATGTTACATAATATTGTTGATTTTCTTAAACGTAATGTTCTATATGATTTGTCTATGTAAGGATGGATTTTTCGATTGATTTGTCTTTGAGACATATCTTGATATGAAGATAATAATTGAATGGCAAGAAAAACTGTTTTGACCAGTAAACATAAAACTGTTATTTATTCTTTGATATCGAGTTTTGATTGTTTGTTTGTTTGTTTTCAGAGTATCCAGGGAAACATAATGAGATGTCATCTTTCCCAGAAACCAAGGTTGAACGCTGGGTCACTAAAGCCAAAGGAAAAACACTAGTGCAGTATCCTTTGAAAATACAGGAGGATAAATGTTGATAGAGACAGCCTAATTGTCAAATTCAAAGTTATCTGTGTTTCAGTGATTGGAAGTTCCATAAGTATGTTGTTCTTGATGTAAACATCTTGGCACATTTTCTGTTTATTTATCGGGAAATCGGGTGATTTTCATCCTTTTTCAATTTAGTACCACTTGGTCTTGTTTTTAAACTACTCGACAAATAGGTTTGTAAGCATCTTTAACACATAACAGATATAACCGCTACCAGTTCAGTAGAGTTTATCCGAAGGGCCAGCGGATCGATTCTTCAAATTACGACCCCGTGGCAATCTGGAATTGTGGGTCTCAACTTCTTGCTTTGAACTATCAAACACCTGGTAAGTTTGTCGACTAATTTGCATAAAATGTCACCCGCAAAAACCTTTTCTTTGAAATTTATATGAAACAATTTGATTGAATACAGCTACACAATATAGAATGTACATGACTTGTATTGGGATTTATTTCAGTCCTTTACATTGGCAATTCAAATTATAGATAAATAGTTAAATGAATACATATCTCCTAAATGTTCATGATAATTTTTTTCATAATTTTGAAAAATAAAATAATGATTGAACAATGTTGTTTATCAATTTATTTACAGACAAGCCAATGCAGATTAACGAAGGTCGGTTCATCCAAAATGGCAGATCTGGTTATATTCTGAAACCAGAGTTTCTGAGACGCGAAGGGTTTGACCCGTTTGATAAAAATTCCTTGGATGGCGATGTTGAACCAGTCACAGTATCTCTAACTGTGAGTATATGAGGAATAACAAATATTTTTGTGCTGACTCGAAATTGTCTGCTTCTGGTTTTTCATGCTTTCTCTCTCCAAATTTGAATTAAGTGTCCAATTTGTTTGGCATATCTGTACAATTTAGAGTGTTCCCTGCTTGCCTGTTTACTTTATTCTGTGTTAATACATAAATTCTCTGGCATTTCTATACAGTTTGCATAGATTTGAATTCATATCTTTTCAGTTTATTCCTTGCTAACTATTCTTATTTCTCTTTTAATTTTTTGAATAGTTCATTTTCATTTCATGCTGAGAGTATTTATGGGACATAATTTTATATATTACCAGTATGAATTAGTTTTTCAGCTTTCGCATTTTGTGGCCATTTTACCACCTATGGGATACAATAACCACTATTTGACTTACTAATCCCTGTGCATTTAAATATGAACCATATTTCATTTGTTTTGCATTCATAGATCATTGGAGTGCGCCACCTAATCAAACAAGGCAGAGGTATTGCTAGTCCATTTGTTGAGGTTGAGGTCTTGGGTGCAGACTACATTCCTATGCATTTTAGCTTTTATAGACCATTTGTTTTGCATTTGTAGATAATTGGAGTGCGCCACCTAATCAAACAAGGCAGAGGTATTGCTAGTCCATTTGTTGAGGTAGAGGTCTTGGGTGCAGACTACATGCCTATGCATTTTAGTACTTTTATAGACCATTTGTTTTGCATTTGTAGATAATTGGAGTGCGCCACCTAATCAAACAAGGTAGAGGTATTGCTAGTCCATTTGTTGAGGTTGAGGTCTTGGTGCAGACTACATACCTATGCATTTTAGTGCTTTTATAGACCATTTGTTCTGTGTTTGTAGATAATTGGAGTGCGCCACCTAATCAAACAAGGCAGAGGTATTGCTAGTCCATTTGTTGAGGTTGAGGTCTTGGGTGCAGACTACATACCTATTCATTTTAGCTTTTATAGACCATTTGTTTTGCATTTGTAGATAATTGGAGTGCGCCACCTAATCAAACAAGGCAGAGGTATTGCTAGTCCATTTGTTGAGGTTGAGGTCTTGGGTGCAGACTACATACCTATGCATTTTAGCTTTTATAGACCATTTGTTTTGCATTTGTAGATAATTGGAGTGCGCCACCTAATCAAACAAGGCAGAGGTATTGCTAGTCCATTTGTTGAGGTTGAGGTCTTGGGTGCAGACTACATACCTATGCATTTTAGCTTTTATAGACCATTTGTTTTGCATTTGTAGATAATTGGAGTGCGCCATCTAATCAAACAAGGCAGAGGTATTGCTAGTCCATTTGTTGAGGTTGAGGTCTTGGATGCAGACTACATTCCTATGCATTTTAGCTTTTATAGACCATTTGTTTTGCATTTGTAGATAATTGGAGTGCGCCACCTAATCAAACAAGGCAGAGGTATTGCTAGTCCATTTGTTGAGGTTGAGGTCTTGGGTGCAGACTATGATTGTAATAACAAGTACAAGACAGGAACTAGAGGTTTGTTATTATTGTTTTCATTTATTTATTTATTTCCACTTTCTTCTTACAGCAATGGGACATCCCCAGGCCCTTAGCCAGGATTTGCCAAGGGGGGTTCAGTTTTCAAAAATTTCCAAGGGGGTTCACATTTGACAATTTTGGCCCAAATATGGCTAAAATCACTTGAGAAGTGCTCAAAATGGTGAAAAACTGCATGATTTTGAAAGAATTTTTGGCCAGGGGGGAACCCTGCGAACCCCCTGGCTACAGGCCTGAATCCCAGTGCTTTATTTGATCACATTAGATATATTGCAACAATACAGTGGCCAATATATTTCCCAAAATTGAGAGAAATATGCAGCATGAAATATAGGGACAAGCATTAGGATTTAGATTTTCTATATTGATAGAGCAAGAGTGATGGAGGCCCTAATAACCTCCTTAATAGCACTCAACCGCAGTCTGATGTTGAAAAATAATCAAAAACTTAACTTTGTCTTTCAGTTGACAATGGATTCAACCCTGTATGGAACGAGACCTGTGAATTTGACATTTTGAATCCTCCTCTTGCTTTAATAAGGTACAGTACTTGTTTTGATTCTCCCCTTTCCAATGGGTTAATATTACTTCAATAAAAGAGAGCTTCACCTTCACTCTTTTATTAAGTGATAATTCAATGATCTTGCCTTAAAGGCCCCATGTAAAGTTTAAACCACTTTGGCTTAATATATTGTAGTCTTACCCAATGTTATGAAAGTGTGATATGTGAAACTTTTTTTTTAATTTCAAAAAGTGATTTTTGAAAGACTTTTTGTTCCAAAATTTGTGAATTTATTTAAAACCAACTTTTAGAGGTCACTCATATCTTCTAACTAGCCACAATTCATACCAATGCATAGCATTCATCCTCCCATGTTTTTTGCCGAAACAATTATGAAAATTGGTTCATAAACAAGCGAAAAATGAATTTATCAGTGCATGAAAATGGTTCTGAGAAAAATGCATTTCAAAATTTTAGTTCTCATAGAAACCAATGGTACAATGATATCTAAAACATAATTTATTCTTCCTTTTAACCTGGTTAGACAATCAACATTGTTTTTTATATGAAAGTCTAGCATATTTAAAAAAGATTGACATCGAAAAAAAAATTTCAATTTTTTTCAAAGAGTTTTGGTTACCTTAGTGACATCACTAATGTTTCAAAATATTTTTGATATGCTAAAACATTGAAGTGGCCCATTAAATATGGCATTTTATTATTGAAATAGTGTGTCCTTTGTTCAGTCTTTGCATTGGTGTTAAAAAGATAATCTTTTTTGAAATGCATTAAGAAATATTTGATGATTAAGAAATTTCAACTTCTTTTGAAAAATGGCGGGAAATTTGAATATTTGAGAAATGAAATGCTCACAACTTTTTTTTCAAAAAATGTTTTTTGTTCAAAAATCTCTAAAATCACTTTTTAAGTCCTGACAAATAGTAAATGAATGATAAAAAAAAATATTTTCAAACTTTAGACGGGGACTTAAACCAATCAGGATACTGGAAATATGGTCGTTAAAATTCAAACACCAATCTGAACATTATGCTTTCATGAGTACATGTACCTCCCATTAATTTCGTAATGAAACTCTCATTAAACGCCATGACAGCTACTTATGTTTTGAATGTGACTTAAATATGGAAAAGAATGAATTAGAGAGGAATATAGAGAAATATATTACACTAATAAACTAGAATTAGACAAATGAATTCATGAAATCAAGAAAATAAATAAACAAATTAATTTAACAAAGATCATAGAATCTTACTTAAATATCTTATCTAATTAATTTTAATTTAATAAATTTTTATCACTTTTCTTTCTAATTTAAAAAGATTGAATAAATGTTTTTAGATTCTCAGTCCAAGACGAAGATATGTTTGGTGATCCCAACTTCCTCGGCCAGGCGACGTACCCCCTAACATCCCTGCGGACTGGGTATCGTTCAATTGCTCTCAAGAATGGTCACAGCGAAGAGCTGGAATTAGCATCCTTGCTTGTACATTTGGAAATGAGGAATCCAAAGGTATGGATTTTGTTTGTTGTTATGCTTTGGTGTTTCAATTTGTGTCTCTAAGTCTCTTTAAGCAGTCTGCCGACGAGTTATCTCGCAAGATCAGACATTCCCTGGGGTCTGCCGACGAGTTATCTCGCAAGATCAGACATTTCCTGGCGTCTGCCGATGAGATAACTCGCACTTTAGGTACTTGGAGTTATGCTAAAGTTCATTTAGAAACAAAAAATATGCGTTGTGTTGATTATACATACCCAACACTTGATGACCAGATCAAAAATATATTGTTTTGTAGCCTAAAATTTAAAATTTAATGGCTACTATGGTCAAATTGTCCATTTGCTCAGACCAGGGCAGGAAATACTGGGATTTAGTTCAGACGCCGAAAATTTTGCATTGTTTTATGTAGCAAAACCTGAGTCATAAGAACACCGCAGGGGCAAGCTAAAAGTGTTTGATCAGGACGTATTCAGACTTCAAGGTTTTTAATGTATGAGTTAGTGGGAGATAATACGATTTGGGCAGAGAGATGTTTGAATTAGAGAGGTGTTCAGATATACAAGTTTCACTGTATTATGATATTTTCACCTCTATTTTGGGGAACAGTGAGTCATGATATTGCAAATGTTAAATTGTAATTAATTTTAATCATATCACATGTATTAAGGAGAGTGATGCAAATGTCAACATTTTGGTGTTTTGTGGAACTGCATACAAACTGGAAAAAAACAATATTATATGACTGTTCCATTGTGTAATAAATTTGCATCCAGCCCTTTTTTAAGTTTTATGCGGGACTATGTATTTGAACCAAACATTGGATCATTTTACTAAATTTTAACATACTCTTCATTAAAAGACATGAGTCTCATCAACAGACACTCAGGCAGAGACACAAGATACAACCAGAGTTAACATTTTTGTTTTAATCCAGGAAAGTGAAGATTTCGACATATATGCAGACGTCCAAGAGCTACGTGACGAGTCACGCGAGCTGGCCTACCAGATATCAGAGAGGGAGCGACTTGGGGACAGAACAACAGCGGAACAGCTTAAACGGCAGTTGAACGAAAAAGAGCAAATATTATTAGATAAAAATGAAGAAAGAAGGCGAAGGTATAATGCTTAGAATAAGATTTTAAAACATATTTTAAGTAAAATGATTTAAAGAGGTCCTTACAATGCATATTAAGTAAGTAAATTACCTGGTTTAAAATAATTGTTTGCTATGGTGATTCTTTTATTTTATAAATTATTGACAAAGCTTTGCCTATCAATTTTTGCTTATTTATTGTTGTTTTCTACATTCATATGCTTATATGATTACTTAATGCATATTTATTTGTATTGTATTTTCTTCGCTTGATTCTAAATGTTTTTCCCCTTTTTTAGCTGAATTTGAGATATTTCTTTTGAAGAAGAATCAATATGGTGTTAATAGCATGAATTAATTGAACAAGTTATAATTTTTATGGGAAAGATTTTTCATGAGTCTGATACGAGGGGTGATCATTCTAATAATATTTCTCTACTATTTTTTAACAACATGTTAAATATTCGAATTAATTTTTCACAGAATTTTCAATATATACTTGTCTTACTAATGCAGCATAATAAATATTAGTATGATAGAAATATTTAATTAGAAACATTTGCCATATTAACCAAAGATCAAGGACCTTAGGCAATCTGTGAGGATGACCTTAACAAGTCATGTCTTATTATAACAAGCTATCAAATAAGCTTCTGTGATACATGTAATACCAACTTATACAAAAATTGAAAATTCAATGAATATGTGAATGCTCCCATTTTATGAATGTGAAAACCTCTTTTATATGGTACATTGGTAGCATGATCGTTCAATGTTGTATATGGCTATGTATTTCAGGAACCAAGGACGTCATGTTGTCGGTACGGGTGCTGAGGCTGTTGGTTGGGCTCGGGGGAATGTCATGAATGGAAAACGATAACTGCCTTTCTCCATGTTGTATCTAAAATTTAATAATCATAAACGTTGGTGTCACTGAAATTAATTATGATGTCACTGAAATTCAGTGAATTGATGTCAGCTAAACCTTGATGTCATTTGAGTTCAGTGAAGGCGTGAATTTGTATTTTAAGATTTGATTTTGAGAAAGTCATTTCAAGGATTTCATGTGTGAATTTTTTTGAGTGAATGTGTAAAATGTTTTAGTCTGTTGAGCTCATCATGGAGATATGACTCATATATATAAAGACATGACTATATGAAAACGTGACTATATAAAAACGTGACTATATAAAAACATGACTTTACATGTACATATCACTTCACATGTAGATATGACTCAAACAGTGTCACAAATTTGTAGTTGTAAATAAGTCTGATCGCAGAGGATCGAGCCAAACAATTTTTCAACTTGTTGTATATAGACTTACCATTGTTGAGCAACAGTGTTTGCATGGAGATAATCAACTTGTATTTGGAATGAGCAAAAGTGTCTTCCTTGCAGTAGGGACCCGCCATCTTGGAATTGTAATTTTTGTCACTTATCTGAAGGCAACTTGTGACTCAAAAGTAGTCACAGTTGAATCGTTTCCTGTTTAACTGCAGGCATATACCACCAATCATAAAGATGCTTAGTAGTTAATCACTATTGACATTTTTTCTTGATCAAAAATGTCTGTCTGTTTATACCATTTCATTTTTCTGTAAAATTAAAATAATGTGTCTTTTTCTTGTATTTCTATACAATTATATGGTATCGATTACATGTCTTTATACTTTATTCTTCTGTTTCATTTAATTATTACAAAATTGATGTGGATTGATCAAAATCGTATATTCTGTTTGACAAATAGGGATGAGGTCAGTATTTTAATCCATACCCCATTATCTATAGTCCAGCTACAAGTCCTTGTGACCCCCCCCCTCTACAACAAGGTCTAGTAACGCGTACTGTTTTGTCATTGATATGAATTCATTACTAGATACTGTGAGAGGTGTTTAGTCAAGTAGAGGGGAGGGGGAGGGGGGCTCATATAAGCTTGTCGCGGGACAACCCATTACCCACAAAGTTATGAATTGCTACATTTTTAAGAGGGGTATGTATCTCCATATTTTCGAGGGTTAATCTGGATTGAATAAACCACATATTTGGACAGCTTTGAAATACTCACCTCGTCTCTAACTAATGGACAATAGATGTAAATCGCATGTTTGTGTTATCTGGTTAGAGTTACATGGCTGGTGTATTTGTGTTGCCACTAAAGCATTTTGATGAAAAAACGTGTAAAGAAGAATTTTTCAGGTTTACACAAAATTCTCGCAAAGTTGCATAGTAACTCGTCTCCGTATACTTCTTTTCATAATTTGAAATAAAATCCAAAATTGTGCCAAATTGTATGTAATTTTAGACAAAAGTTGATTAAAAAATAGGCACTTTTCTCGTGTTAGTTTAAAATTTGATATGCAGACGAAATTTTTGATGCACAACCAAATATAATGCACGGTAAAATATAGGCGCTAACTATTATTTTTTGTTGTTATATATATCCACATTATCTTAATTTTAAGTCTACATAATTTATGTTACATTATGATAAATTTGAGGTAACTTGCAATTGTCATAAGTATAAATAGCAAAATATGATAATTATAAGTATCTTATATATATCATACTTTTTGCAGTAGAACACACATATTAAAAGAATGAGGAGCTGATTCCCGAAAATACCATATTTGTACCATATGTTCAATTCTGTACACGAATGTGCATCATTGATTTTTGAATGTGTTTTGATGAATTCTTGAATGGATGTGCATTTTTGAATCTGTAGTCCTATATTATTGAATGTTCACTTTGTTAAAATCTGGATTCTTGAATGTTATATGTTTTTGAATTTTTTGATTCTTGGATGTACACTGTTGAATTCTAGATTCTTGAACATGCATTCTTAAATTTTAAACTCTTGAATGTACAGTACAATGTTGATTTCTAGCCTCCTGAATGTTCATTTTTGATTTCTAGACTTCTGAATGTTCATTGTTAAATTCTAAACCCTTGAATGTACATTGTTGAATTGTAGACTATTGAATGTGCATTGTTAAATTCTAGGTTTCCAATATTGATCAGTGGTCTTCCATCCATATTGGATGAAGAAAATGATTATTTGACATTGGATGAAAGTGACATCTAGTGGGAGAAACATATTGAAATCAGCACCACCTTTTGAACAGAAAGAGACCAATTCAGTGTAGTATACAGTATATTTAATGGACAAGACCTGATCATTTTTGACCTTGACTCTCATCAGTCTGCAATTGTGGAGTTTTTAAAATATGTCATTCTGGTGACAGAAGCAAATCCAGTGAAAAATTGTTCATGCAGCTTTAGCAGGCCTATAGCCAGAGTGGTCAAAGATTATTTCAAAACCCATGCAGTTTTTCACCATTTTGAGCACTTTTTAGTTAACTTAGGGATAAGATCCGCACATTAGAACCCCCTGGAGTTTTTTAAAAAACTGAGCCCCCTCCATGGCAAAAGCTGGCCACAGGCATAGCGAAGAGGCGATGAATAACTGGTAGAAATATTTACTTTATACAAGTGAACAGCATCAACTAAAGAATCAAGTATCAAAGATGATTGGGTCTTGGTTTGAAATGTAAAATAGAGTGGATCAGAGAGACATAAGCAAGAAATAAAGTTAACAAACATGAAGACAATACTCTAAATTGCATAAAATATGAGCAGACTGCACTTGTTCATGAGCAAATGACATCTGTGCATGAGCAGTCTGCACTTGTGTATGAGCAGAAAGCACTTGTTCATGAGCAAATTGCGCTTGTGTATGAGCAGACTGGACTTGTACATGAGCAGACTGCACTTTAACATAAGCAGGCCATTAGCAAATTACATCTCTGCATGAGCAGACTGCACTTGCACATGAGCCTTCTGTACTTGCACATGAGCAGACTGCACTTGCACATGAGCAGACTGCACTTGCACATGAGCAGACTGCACTTGTCCATAAGCAAATGACATCTGTGTATGAGCAGACTGCATTTGTGCATGAGCCCTCTGTACTTGTGCATGAGCAGAAAGCCCTTGTACATGAGTAGACTGCACTTGCATATTAAAATGCTGAATGTTGTTAAATCAAATCAACATTGAACACTAAATTCTTTGCTTGCCAAAACCTTTGTCACAAACAAAAAGATCCCCTGAGATTTATCAAAAGTAAACATGTAGGCAATTATTGTGTAATGCATTATTGTACCCACCGTTTTATTGTTACCACCATGTTTACATCGATCAACACCATTTTAGTTGATCTATTGGCATAGTTGTCAAATGAATATCAATGCAAATAGCCATGTTTGTCTCCAAACATGAACAACTACCATGTACACATTAGTATATACAGTAGAACCTGTGTAAGTGGAACACCCTAGGGACCGAAAAAGGTGTTCCACTTGGAGGTGTTCCACTTACAGAGGTTCACTAAGATGGAGTAGATAGACAACGGGACTTTAAAAACACTGTTCCACTTGTGAGGTGTTCCACTTACAGAGGTGTTCCACTCAGCAGGTTCTACTGTACAGGGCTGGCATGAAACGGAATCGGAATGAAATTTTGGAAATTACCTTCGGAATTTGTAACTTTGGACATTGATATTATCGTCTCGATTTACGAGAAAGTTAATTTTGAAATAAATTCAAAAAATTGTTCACTTTAGAGTTGTTTATCTGAAAAACTTGATATACAGTTATAATTAACGGTTATTTACGTAGACTTACAACTACTGGTCCTTTAAATTATTAAAATGAATGCTCAGTGAAATAGCTCTGAAAGTGTTATGAAGGTATATTCATATTAAAAGAGAAATTTTCTGTATATGTACGTGTACTAATATAATTCATATGAGGACTGTTCAAAAAGTAGATTGACTCAAATACCTTGTATGATATATAGTAATACAATTAGTATTGAGTTGACAATTTCTATAGTATACAATTACAATTCAGATGTTTTCAACTTGAATGTTTTTTTATATATATCCAAGAGCATTTTATTATTTAATTACTTGAATTCAAAGTAAGTATTTGTTAATGGACAAACACGAGTTTATCTAGAATAAAAATATCAATCAAAAATTAAAATATCTTTGTTTGGATTTTCATTTATAGAAGGCGCATAAATGAATTGAATATCAATACATTTTGGCCTTTGTGGAATTTGGTTAATTAGTATTAAAGGAAAAACACAATCGTACAGAAAAAAACTAACCCCCTATCACACCAAGCTATATCTCAACCGTTCTTTCTAGTCATTCAAAAAAGTCGTAAAACGGGCTAGCTGTGGTCGGGAAATATGTCTAAAATAATTAGCTATTTTGTTCATAAACGTCTTCGATACGTCCATCTCATTCGCAGTTCGCTCAGGTCGCACAATGTCGGTGAGTATACGTACTGCAATATTGATATCTGCGATTACACAATTCGTGAACGCGTCCCTAGTAGGGTCGAATTACGTCAATTGCGTTCTTAGTCTACAGGTCTAGTAGGTCATCTCGTCACCATCGAATTTTGAAATGATTCAAATCACCCTATATTTTCCTCACTCGTTCACACTTAAACCCGTTTGCAGTTTGTCCTACCTCGTTCTCAATACGTTGTCAGACAATTCTTAAAATCGCGGATTCGGTAGTATTGAATCTCTAATAAAGATGGCGCGAAAGTTTTTCCTTATAAGGTCAAAATATTTCCCATGATGCAGTTCGCGGGGGAACAAAATTTTTCTACCTTGTTTTTCCCCGTTGGTTTAACATGGGGATTTTCATACCCATTTTTCAAGCGATATTTTCGATCGAATCTCCATGCGATCGGAGAAAACAAACTATCAGAAACAATTAGTCTTTTAATAATCTTTATATAACATATATTTTTTTTCATTTTATTGGCTCCTAACGGGGTGAAAACAATGATTGAAAATGGGAGTATATTCCGGAAGAGAAGAAGTCACGTGACTAGTCGCCATATTGGAAAAAGCAATTCCATTCGACTTTCAACACGTTCATGCCAATATTACCGCACTACAAACTGTAACATCGATGCAACAACTGAATAAAAGTACTCATCTTCATATTACATTATAGAGTTACGTTGAAAACCCACAAACAACTGAGCATTTGACCAAAGAAGACACGTCGCTATTATCTAGGTCAAGTTTAGTGGTTCGAAAGCAAATCTTACATACTCGTTTCCGAATTTTGTTGTTAATTGTATAATCTTTTATTGATTAAATCTGGTATACTGACTATTAATTCAATGACAAAGAAGAAGAATTCCGATGGTGTCATTTTTTTATTTAGCTTGCGGGTGTAAAAACAAAATTGCGTAATTAATTTGATTTAGAACTTTCGGGTCTCACAAATAGCTACACGAAATGCATCGTTGAAAAATATTGACCAATCAAATTTTGTCCTTTTTGAGTACATATATGCACCATATATGCGAACGTTCTGATTCAAAGAGCGAACAGCGAAATGGAGAATTCAACTCGTTTTAAAACGTCCCTACTAGGACAACAGTTCCGTTCGTAGTGGTCCAGCTCGTTTTAAGTACGTTGTCACCAGTTCTAATTGCAGAACGTGATCGACGACAATCAGAAAATTTAAGCTTGCTCAAAATTCTCGAGGACCCAACCATTCGAGTTCGTTCGTTCGTTTGTAAATAGACTATTTGTTGTTAGGGAGTCAGTAGAGTAATCTGCTAAACTGACGCCACATTGAAAGTCAAATAGTCAGATTTGAACTGTTGAGAACTTTTAGATCATTTTGAAAAAAAGGAAATTGGTCAATCCCAAGTCAGATTTGAACTTCTGATAACTTGTAGATGATTTTGAAAAAATGGTTACTTTGAAGCAAGTTGAAAAAATACCTTTTTTGAACTTTTTGACCTTGAGAATGTCATTGAAGGTCAAATCTTTTTTGACCTTGAGAATGTCATTGAAGGCCACTGAAGGTCAATTCTATAGTCACATTGAACTGTTGAGAACTTATAGATGATTTTTAAAAAAAATGGTCACTTTGAAGCAAGTTGGAAAAATACCTTTTGACCTTTTTTGACCTTAGGAAGGTCATTGAAGGTCAAATCTAAAGTCAGATTTGAACCATAACATAAAAACGTTGAATTAGCTTTTTACTTTACATTTGAACTGAGATAAACTGACTATTGACAACTCATTCTTCTGCAAGGATTTTGTTGAAAGCCAGATCTGATCTAATACAAAGTTACTGAAAACGGTACAGACGTTCCACACTTCTTTTGGACCAATAAAGGGCTTCTAATTAATGGAAGATTTACCAAAACGAATACCCTCTGTATCAAAAGTCTTTTCCTATTTAGGAAAACCTCAAATAACTTTTGTAAATGGCAAGTAAACGTGATGAGACTTTTCTTACATAATTTAAGGCATATATTATACACCTTCTGTGTAAATTTGGAGACAGTTGATTAATTTTTTCTCAAAATATCACATTTAGAACATAGCTTATACCTAAAACACCGATGTGACTTTTTCCAATTTTTGACGTCAAACCTACCTCGGATCGCCAAACTGACCAAAATCACTTTAAATCAGGTTGCTCTGTAAAAGTACGCAGACAAAGGTCTTTATATATAAAATGCTAATTATTACTCTGGATGTCCCCATACATTTTATCAACAGCCCTAGACCATGTTATACTACACTTAACCCTTTCCTGCCCAAAAATATTTGAAGAATTCAGATATAGGTCATCACAATAAGCACTGCTATCATTAATATGTCAATGTTCGATGCATTATGATTCAGAATTATTGCAATTAAATGAAAATATGATAGATTCGTTTGAATTAAATACAAAAATTACATCAAGAGTATTTAGAAGATAAACCTGTGAGAAAATCAAATTGACACATTAGTCACAAAATACTAATTGTTATACGACAACATTGTTATACGACACAGGTGTAAGGACTTTTGCATTGTTGCAGCTTTCTCATATGACTAACAAAGATACAGCCATCTTTACCCCATGCAAGATATTGCCATCTTTCATCCTAAAAAGTCACACGTGCAAGATGAGATTTACTTGTGACATCACTGGTCTATAAACATCAACAACATGGCAACGGACACGCCGAGTCATTATTATAGAGTCTATAACATATTCTGATTGCTCATAATTAGCTTTGTATATACCAATTATAAATACCTTTGTCCGCTTAGTTTTACAGAGCAGCCAGACTTTGGTCAGTTTGGCAATCTTGAGTAAGTTTGACGTCACAAACTTGGAAAAAGTCACATCGGTCTTTTTGATGTAATATTTTGTGTTAAAATTAATCAATTGTCTTAAAATTTCCGGATAGTGTATATTATGTGCCTTAAAGTATGTGTGAAAAGTTTCATTAAGTTTACTTGCCATTTACAAAAGTTATTTGAGGTTTTCCTTAATGAAATAAAATATCTTTACGAACCTTATTGGAACAAAATAGCGTATACAACATGTTTTTCGACCTCTCAATATTATAGTTATACAAAGGTTGATTGGTTTGATTTGGTTGATTTTAAAAAAGTATTCAAAAAATTAAAACAATATCCCCCCAAAATAGATAAAAATCAAGATAAACCCTTTATTTCATTAACAAGATACTTTTTTAAAATCAACCAAAATTTCCTTTGTACAATTACAATATTGAGAGACCTAAACATGTTGTGTTTATGTCGTTTTGTTCCAATGAGGTTCGGAAAGATGTTTCATTTCACTCTGGAAACATGATACCAAGAACAAAACAAGTGTTTATAGATGAAAGTATATATATATATATTTCGGATTATATTGTTACCATTCAAAAGATGACCATTAAATTGACGATGTGTTAAATTTTTAGATTTTTTATGACTGGTTTAAGAGAAACGTGTGTTCAAAAAGTTCTCCATATCGATACCACTCCTTTACACTCAAACCTGTTTATAAACGCCGAGCTGAAGTACAAGGACGACGGAAGGTCACAGAAACAGATTAAAAAGACTACATTGCAGGTAAGAATTTAGTTAAAAAATAAAGATTGTATTTCACTAATTCTGTTCTTAACCTGTCGAAAGTAAACAATGCCCATATTGCCAAGTGTTTGACGTGGACAAATGAGATTGCGTTGGCGTTGGTAAATGATAATTATTGCATATCTAATTATTTTTAGATTGTAAAAATGCTCTCGTTTGTGACAATTTATTCAAATTTGTATTTCTTTTCCATTTTAATAACGGCGCCTTCATAACTGCAATGCCATTGTAGGACATCATTATCTTATGGTATACGCGGTTATTATTATAAATTACAGTGAACACTTTTGACATATAGCTGAGAAGAAGTATAAAATATTATGTGGTCTCCCTCGTCATCTCCAACACAAATTTAAAAATAGTTTAAAAATAGTTTGGATACTGTATATAATTCGGTTCCTTGAACACTGGGGTATCACTGATATTTGGTTACTTTAGTATATGTGTTCATTATAACAGCAAAACAAACATTTCATGGAGAGTCTTCTTTCCGATCACATTCTTGAGTACTACTGTTCACTGTACTTCCAGGCTGTAGATCTTTAGTTTTCTTCAGTATCATGAGATGCACTCTAAAATACAAAATAGAATTTGATGAATCAGAAATGAATATGCGTGCGCAGATCATTCACTGAACGAAACGCGACTACCCGGCGAACAATTCGGGTACTGACTTTTCCAATGATAAAACTACATGGTAAAACAACATGGTAAAAACTAAAAACTGATTACAAAATTACTTACGATAACCAAATAGGTAGTAAGCTAGCACCCAAAAATGTATTAGTTCGTGAACAAATTGAAATTACTTGTTTCTTATGTATTTTTATGTGATACTTCAGAAAATGTTTGTCTGACGCGCCATATCCGGGGCGAAAGTTGTCAAATTGGCGTTTTCGACCCTAAAATGGAAAATTACAGGGGGTACTTTATCATCACTGAATAAATCATTCTGTTAGTCTTCAATCATCATAATAATTTTATGGGAAGTTGATTGGATCATGCTGAGGTAGTATGTAAAATTTCAATGCTCTGTCACTCATGGTTGTCATGGAAACCACAATTTTCGTTCAAAATATCCTTAATTTTGCAAAACCTGAACATGTACATCATGTAGAATATGGATTATTTTTTGAATCCATACATATCAGCACATTTTAGCACACTCAAAATAACCAGTACAGTTCAAACATTTGTTTAAATATAAAGGATATTGCAATTTACATGATTGGTCAGTGTCAAAGAACATACAATTACATGAGTGATCAAAAGTGGGCGTCGCCCCCATAATAGTAGATGATTGCTATACTCTATAAAAACAGAGTTTAACTTGACTTTTGAGATACATTTACACTAGACTTATTTGATTATATTTTATATCAAGCATTTCTAGTAAATAATGTACATCTTAGTGTTATAGTTATTGCATGGGGGGGGGTACAGAGGGGGGCTAGTAAAAGAATTGGGAGGAGGCATGGCGATCTGTTTACACCAACGCATGCTAATATTTGCATTTTGCTAGAAATATCTGATTTGAATATCAGGAAATGATACGGTGATCACCACAATTTATTATTTTAGGATAAAAAACACTCATCTGTATTTATAAAAAAATCAGTATGAAGCATGCACTTTGTTTTCATGAACTAGTAAAAATCCAATATTGCAGATGATAGTCGAAAAAAACGTTTCGTTACACTGTTCCAGCTAATGAAATTGAAGATTCTCCGGTCTCAAGACAAGGAAATGGACTTGATTTAGGGGAGTTTTATCTGAGTAATCATGGAATAAAAACGTTATTCAATGATTTCTCGTGAAATACAGAAAATATTCTTCCCTTGAACGTCTGTATTTCACTCTGCTAGCGCATCGTGAAATATGACCTTCTCGGGAAGAATATTTTCTGTATTTCACTCGAATCATTGAATAACTTATAATACCCATGTCCTGCTGGAATGTCAGGGTTTACAATATGGGCCATATGCACGATAAGTGCTTTGTAGTAAGCTCTTGACAAGGTGGAAGAAGACTGATGTCAGTTCCTTCATAGTCTTTGATTGTTTTAGTATGGGGTCTAAACTTGGGGTAAAACTGGTTTTGCTGGTGTAAGACATTGTGGCTTAAGATAAATGTTTTTTATATTAATCAGTCTTCTTTTGTTTGTCCAGCATGGCAGCACTACACTTTGCTGTATTCTGTGCTTATCCTAACACATTGATTGAAGGAATAAATAAATGAAATGAAAGATATGTAATCTTAAAAATGCACATGAGAGATGGATTGAAAATGTGTTTATTCCTGATCCTTGTGACAATATTACTCTCTGGGCCCAGATGGGCCCTAAGGAAATATACTAAATTTCATTTCGTCAACACTACCCTTGGTAATACGAGTAATATGTGACATCAAGAGAGCTGTAGTAATGGCAGACCATAAGTTGAATATTCGAAAAATTTTGGGGAGTTTTCATGTTTGAATTGTTATATATACCTCAGAGCAGGCGTGATATTGACAATGACCCCTTAGGGCTAGGTACAAAAGCTTTCGACCCCTCACTCCCTTGCCTAGCCATGTGGAGTATATTTGTCAATATAACACCTGCTCTTCAGTCTATATTTCTTAAACAATAGAAGTATAGATGACAGTGATCTTCCAAGCATAAGCAAGTGGGTGCAGCACCCACCTTTGAAAATATGTTTGCACCCACCTGAAAATCCATATGCACCCACATGAAAGTGAGAAAATCATGAAAAATTGGCATATTTTGACCAATTTTGGTCTGAATTGTGAAAATGAAAATTTTGTACCAACCTGAGAAGAAAACCTGGGGAGATCACTGGATGATCTTAAAACTCAAGTTGACCTCTGTTTGTAGAGAATGAACCATATACTGTTGTTGGGGCGATTCCCACTTTTGATCACTTATGTAATTGTTTTGTCTTGGACACTAACCTATCATGTTTATTGTAATATCCTATATATTGAGATGAATATGAAGAAGACCTAGAAGATGTACATGTTCCTTAGTAAATCCAGAACGAAGTATTATGAGATTTATACTTGAAGCTGCCCCCTTCCAGTTTCTATTACTAGCCCAACCCCCCCCCCCCCCCTCTCTCTCAACCTGCCTCTCATGCAATAACTATAAAACTCAGGTGTCACTGGTCAGTATCGAGCGATGGTATATGCCATATAAGCCTGGTTTAGTTCAAATATCAAAGTATTACATCATAAAGTAGCTTAAGTCATTGAAAACTATAAATATCTTCTCAACTGACACCAGTGAGATGTACATTATTCACCTGAAATGGTTGATATTAAGTATATAATCAAAGAAGTATAAATGATAAATATATATATATCTCGAAAATTCTACTTAAACCCTGTATTTATAGAGAATGGTAATCATCTACTATTATGAAGGTGATGCTGCCTACTTTTGATCACCTATGTAATGGTATGGTCTTTGGCACCAATCATGTAAAATGTAGTACCTACATATTGAAATGAAAATGAAGAAGACCCAGAAGATGTAACCTTTGAAAATCCAGAACTATATAAATGAGAATTATACTAAGGCTGATTAGCTCTGCCCCATCCAAATTCTGTTACTACCACCACCCCCCCGCTCCCCATGCAACAACTTTTACACTTAGATGTACTAGTACATTATATTTACCAGTAATGCATGATATTAAGTATAATGTATCTCAAAAGTCAAGTTTTTTCAGAGAATGGTATTCATTTACTAATATGGGGGGACGCCCACGTTTGATCACTTATGTAGGTCTTTGACACTTACCAATTATATAAGTTGCAATATCCTTTATGCTTAAACAAATGCTTGAACTTCCCTGGCAATTTTGGTTGCGCTAAAATATTCTTATATCTGTTGATTAGAAAAAAAAATCCACATTCTATATTATGTACCTGTACAGGTTTTGCCAAAATTAAGGATTTTTCAATGAAAATTGTGGTTTCCATGGCAACCATGAGTGACAGGTGATTGAAACTTAACATACTACCCCAGCATGATCTAATCAACTCCCCATAAAATTATTATGATGATTGAAGACCAACTGAATGATTTATTCTATGATGATAAAGTACCCCCTGTAATTTTCCATTTTAGGGTCGAAAACGCCAATTTGACAACTTTCGCCCCAGATACGGCGCGTCAGACAAACATTTTCTGAAGTATCACATAAAAATACATAAGAAACAAGTAATTTCAATTTGTTCACGAACTAATACATTTTTGGGTGCTAGCTTACTACCTAAAAGTTAGAAAACCGAAACATTATCTCTCAAATTACTGCGAACGAAACAGGCTTCCAATTTTGTAAGTTATTGAATGATTTGAAGTGCAAAAGGGTATATTCTGCTCGAGAAACTCTGTATTGGCACGAGGCGAAGTCTCGAGAGCACAATATATCCTGTATTGCACTATCATACGTACTTTCATCGTGTGATCTTAGGCCAATACTACTAAAGAGAAAATCGCTAGGAAATATTCTGTGTTGGTACTGAGATTGTCCTCCGTACCAATATTCTCTGTATTGCTTATACAGATTGGTAGATTTGATACCAATATTACCAATGATTCAATACCAATATTTTCTGAATTGAAGATACAGTTGGTACAGCATAACAACTGACCAATCAGAGAGCTTTATTTTACAGATCAAGGATAAACATCAGGCTCGTAGCCAGGATTTGCCAGGGGGTTCACTTTTAGGGAAATTTCAGGGGAAGTTCACTTTTGACAATTTGGATCTAAAATGGCCAAAATCACCTAGAAAGTGTTCAGAATGATGAAAAACTGCATGAATTAGAAATCGTTTTTGGCCGGGGGATGGTGCATGTTCAGTTAAATATAATAAAACATATCATGCTTGCTAACACATCTCGCTTACATTATGAGTACTAAAGCTATCATGTTGAGCCCTGCCATCACCAAAAATACGATACCATCAAATGTAGTGAGTGTTGCCTTGTAGATAAGATTATACACAGAGTGACCAATTGTACTCGACACCATTCCTGCACTTGCTATAGTGGAAAATACTGCACCTAAAATTATAGATAATGCCAATAATGCTTGAAAGAACAATAGGTACCATTACAATTACCAACTTTAATTGCTATTTTTAAATTTCTTTAAATGTTCTTCGAGGTTTTTTTACATACAAGTAGATGTAAACACAATTTGCAAATTACAGTTCATCAAGCATGTTACCTAATTCACTTTTATGAACAATCTTTGAAATCTGTGCACGCACCATTGTGTTGACCATCCCACCACCTATATTCACAACAGGGATAAGGAAGACCATGAGCTGAGATACACACAGTGCAATGTAAATGAAGGTCACTGTCGAAATAAAGCAACTTATTGCAATAAGTACAGAATCTGAGACACACTTTGACAATGTCTTCACTAAAATAATGTTCGAGAGAGACATCCCAACCTTTTTGGCAGCCGTGTAGTAGCCAAATAAGACTGAGTTGAAGCATATAGGTGATTTCAACACTTTTAGTGTAAAAACATCAGTTCCATACATCGAGGTCACGTGTAAAAATATCACCAGTAGGAGAATAAGAAGTTTCCAATGTCTTTTATCGGAGGTTTTCACGCGAAACGGTTGAATGCTTTTTACCAAGTGATCGCATGTAATTATCTTTACAGATTGTTTCTGGACTGTCTCCGGAACACAGAATGCAACATAAATAATAGTCACAACATTGAGACCAAATACAAGCACGTAAGGGTATAGAAACCCATAATATTTGACAAAATATCCCATTCCAAAGCCTCCAAGGGAGGTCACAACGGCCGACGATGCTTCCATGGTGACCATTCTAAATGAACGATTCTCCTTGGTCGTGACGTCAGCTAAATATGCGTAAGACGTTCCAATAAGTAGGCTAAAACCCCCAGTGAATCCCTCCAACGCATAGCCAATGAACAGGTATTCCAAATCTGCATGTAAATAAATGACGACTGCAAAATTCAAATGTCGTAGTGTTGTAAACAGCAATGGAAACATCAAGGCAGGCCAGCGTCCGACTTTATCGCTCAAGGTGCCGATGAAAATAGACGTGAAGAGACCGGGTACATTTCTTACAAGATGTAAATATAGATCAAAAATGGCGACTTCATTTTGTATAGCCTGTTCTATAGCTGTATTGTTATCTGACAGATTACCAGTGATACTTTCACAAATACCAGTTTCATTCTTTCCCAAATAATCAAAATTATGTTTTTCGCCGATTTTCTGATAGTAGTACTGGTTGTTCACAAAAGTCAGAGAGGTAGATATAGAGTAAAGAATCAGAACTGGCTCTATTATAACAAGACGTTTCGTATCCTGCATCCAACTGCACCATCCTCGGGGATTGTTATCATCATCTGAGTCTTTTCCCAGCAATACACTCTTTTCGTCCATAATAGTATTGTTCTCTCCGTTTTATGTTATATGACATCCTATTTTAGTTCAAGGGTACATCGTTACTAAGTATTGTACTGTCTTATATGTGTGTGTGATAAAGAACAATCACAACTGAGATTATGTCGGTAAGTTCAACCTTTTAGATAAGGCCCGGACTATGGGCATTAGGGATCTGTGTACAAGCAGGCATACCACACTTAGTGATACATATGTACATTGTTCAGTATCCACTTACCAATCACAATCAAGGTGAAGTCCATCGCAAGAGTCTGTGATAAGAACACTTCGTGGCACGCATAGCCACCAATTTACGTCAACCTTAGTTATCCTAGTATCTTTGAAAAATGGTCATTTAATGTTTAAAACCATTTCATGCCTGATTAAACAAGAAATTCTTGTTATTATTTTCACCATTTTTTGACCCCTGCCAATGACAGACACAATACAGCGATTGAGCCGAGAGTATTTTGACCAGTCATGATAAAACAGAAACAGATACAGGACATTACAACTCGTTTGTTAGAGGTCCTAGGGATTTCATACCGTGGACGATAGGACGAGGATTAATCATTTACTAGGTAGAGCCGTTATCAAACAGGGGGCGGAAACGCGTGGAGTATTTTTGTTTGAAAAGCAGGTAGCTAGTTTTGTAGAGTTATCATTAATATGTAACTAAGGTCAACTATTGTTTAATTACCCCTAACTTTACATCTACACAACCTTGACCCTGGAACTACAAAGCAGACTAATATTTAAATACGCAAAGTCCCACTTTTGTGAAATGAAGTCGAATGAATTCAAAGGGAAGTATTAAAAAAGGGGACGACTTTGAATCGGACTAATACTTGAATAAGTAGTAGTCCAAAAGTAGATAGAGTTTTATGAACCTTCGAAACTATTATACACGGGCTTCTTATTTTGGATATCTCGTTTGACAAAATGCTTTAAACATTTGCTTATTTTATTTTAGATCCTCAAAGCACTAATCTGATCAATTAATTGAGTGTGGAATTAGCTTCCACTTGCATTTTTGTGAAGCTCTGATGGTAACTATCATGAAATCCCTTAAAATATACAGGGATTGGCAAAAAATCATCAGTATTCTTTGCAAAAGCTTTATTTGGATTTCGATAAAATTTTCGCAGTCGCAGGTAATGTAATCTTGATTCACAAGGTCTGAATTCTCATCTAATTATATATAGGCCATGTCTGAAATCACTATATAACTGATACTTCAAATTATACCCAAACTTTGCATTCACATCATACGGACTTTCAACCCTCTTAATTCAAATACCGCTAACATTAAAGCTATGCCATGCTGAGATCCCTTTTTGACAAAACGGTCCAAGGTCAATGAAAACGTATCTTTCAGAAACTCACCGCTGATCCGACATTGTCAGTTTTGTCATCATTTCGGTCGTTAGGTACCGTATCCATGTTGAAATGGTCCGATGTCTTCGTAGGGAACAGTACAAATTGATTGCTATATACCCCCATGATCGCTTTTCATTGGGTCCAGCTCATCTTAGTCCTAAAGAACATAAAAATAATGTCCGTATGTCTAGTGTGAAGATTTATTCAAGGTGTGCCCTAAAATGATCTGCTGTTGTATAGCAGAAAGACCGAAATAATGTTAAAAAAATTTAGGCATCTTAGGACGTCAGAATCAGATCTATAGGGGCGACAAAAGCACAAGCAACATGTACAAATGGCCTACCAATCTATTCCTTACAATCTCAAATGTAATATCTCCCAAAAGATTCACGATATGTTTTAAATTGATAAAGTTATTATAGATTCGAAGTGCAGAAATGGGTGAAAAATGTTTTAATTCTCCCAAATAATAAGATATATTCTAAAATTGAAACAATTTTTTGGTTGGCCTGCTCGCTATATCCGATTCCCTCTTTAAGGAGCGGCATGCTAACATTTTCATATTGGTTTCGTTAAATTTTTTAGAAAGCTTATTTGATATGGATATATATCTGTACTCAATGTGAAGATTTTCCAAAATATGTTCTAAATGTTTGTTTGACTTTACCATACAATTATATTACATCAATTATATTACTACACTATAAACATTAGCCTTGCCTTAAGACTTAAGAACCTCGCCCGACTCTGTGTACTTCTGAGGCCTCAGCTGTACTTCATCTTCCCAACACAAAAAGGTGATGCACCGTGTTCTCGAAATGTCGTATTCCTAAACATTGTCAATCTGCCGTCGAGTAAACTTGCAAGTCCTCTGAAGGAGAGTGCTTACACCCTTGTCCTCTCCCTCGAGTCTCCGTTGAGTAAACTTATATTCTAGGTGTCTTTTGATGAGTTAACTAGACGAAAACATTTTTGTTACGGCCCAATATTTTTTAAATATGAATGGAACAGTGGTATTGCAATTTATATTTAAATGAGTTGGTCATACAATATACTAGGACTAGGTTAAACGGTCAGCCACCAGTCTGCTGCAGACAGTTGAATTCGCAAATGCTACCTCAGATATACAGTACAAATTGATTGCTATATACCCCCATGATCGCTTTTCATTGGGTCCAGCTCATCTTAGTCCTAAAGAACATAAAAATAATGTCCGTATGTCTAGTGTGAAGATTTATTCAAGGTGTGCCCTAAAATGATCTGCTGTTGTATAGCAGAAAGACCGAAATAATGTTAAAAAAATTTAGGCATCTTAGGACGTCAGAATCAGATCTATAGGGGCGACAAAAGCACAAGCAACATGTACAAATGGCCTACCAATCTATTCCTTACAATCTCAAATGTAATATCTCCCAAAAGATTCACGATATGTTGTAAATTGATAAAGTTATTATAGATTCGAAGTGCAGAAATGGGTGAAAAATGTTTTAATTCTCCCAAATTATAAGATATATTCTAAAATTGAAACAATTTTTTGGTTGGCCTGCTCGCTATATCCGATTCCCTCTTTAAGGAGCGGCATGCTAACATTTTCATATTGGTTTCGTTAAATTTTTTAGAAAGCTTATTTGATATGGATATATATCTGTACTCAATGTGAAGATTTTCCAAAATATGTTCTAAATGTTTGTTTGACTTTACCATACAATTATATTACATCAATTATATTACTACACTATAAACATTAGCCTTGCCTTAAGACTTAAGAACCTCGCCCGACTCTGTGTACTTCTGAGGCCTCAGCTGTACTTCATCTTCCCAACACAAAAAGGTGATGCACCGTGTTCTCGAAATGTCGTATTACTAAACATTGTCAATCTGCCGTCGAGTAAACTTGCAAGTCCTCTGAAGGAGAGTGCTTACACCCTTGTCCTCTCCCTCGAGTCTCCGTTGAGTAAACTTATATTCTAGGTGTCTTTTGATGAGTTAACTAGACGAAAACATTTTTGTTACGGCCCAATATTTTTTAAATATGAATGGAACAGTGGTATTGCAATTTATATTTAAATGAGTTGGTCATACAATATACTAGGACTAGGTTAAACGGTCAGCCACCAGTCTGCTGCAGACAGTTGAATTCGCAAATGCTACCTCAGATATACAGTACAAATTGATTGCTATATACCCCCATGATCGCTTTTCATTGGGTCCAGCTCATCTTAGTCCTAAAGAACATAAAAATAATGTCCGTATGTCTAGTGTGAAGATTTATTCAAGGTGTGCCCTAAAATGATCTGCTGTTGTATAGCAGAAAGACCGAAATAATGTTAAAAAAATTTAGGCATCTTAGGACGTCAGAATCAGATCTATAGGGGCGACAAAAGCACAAGCAACATGTACAAATGGCCTACCAATCTATTCCTTACAATCTCAAATGTAATATCTCCCAAAAGATTCACGATATGTTGTAAATTGATAAAGTTATTATAGATTCGAAGTGCAGAAATGGGTGAAAAATGTTTTAATTCTCCCAAATTATAAGATATATTCTAAAATTGAAACAATTTTTTGGTTGGCCTGCTCGCTATATCCGATTCCCTCTTTAAGGAGCGGCATGCTAACATTTTCATATTGGTTTCGTTAAATTTTTTAGAAAGCTTATTTGATATGGATATATATCTGTACTCAATGTGAAGATTTTCCAAAATATGTTCTAAATGTTTGTTTGACTTTACCATACAATTATATTACATCAATTATATTACTACACTATAAACATTAGCCTTGCCTTAAGACTTAAGAACCTCGCCCGACTCTGTGTACTTCTGAGGCCTCAGCTGTACTTCATCTTCCCAACACAAAAAGGTGATGCACCGTGTTCTCGAAATGTCGTATTCCTAAACATTGTCAATCTGCCGTCGAGTAAACTTGCAAGTCCTCTGAAGGAGTGTGCTTACACCCTTGTCCTCTCCCTCGAGTCTCCGTTGAGTAAACTTATATTCTAGGTGTCTTTTGATGAGTTAACTAGACCGAAAACATTTTTGTTACGGCCCAATATTTTTTAAATATGAATGGAACAGTGGTATTGCAATTTATATTTAAATGAGTTGGTCATACAATATACTAGGACTAGGTTAAACGGTCAGCCGCCAGTCTGCTGCAGACAGTTGAATTCGCAAATGCTACCTCAGATATATACCAGATGCAAATATTATGAATACGACGCTGAAGAGTTGAGCATATGTTACAAAATAATGCTTCGGTGACTATTTTTTTATTAGTTCAACAATCAAATCATGATATCATAAACACTAATAGGGCTCCATATCGTTGAAAGCAACACATTTATGTTTGAGTTATAAAGTAAAATATATTATCTATTAAATTGTGAATTGGGCTAAATGATCTATTAAATCTGAATGGATGCAATATCGAACTATGCCTCTATTGTATCGCATCACCCATTAACAGCTAATACCAACATTTGCGAATCAAACAACAAATTACATGTATGGACGACTGGGTTAATTTTCAACCATAAACTACACTCCCCTCCATAAGTTTGGCTCCATCATTGAACTACGTTTTACAGCCTCTTTGTGTTTGAATTTTTATTTACATTACCTGAGAAGAAAACACTTATAATATTGATGGGAATGTAAGTTGACTTCATTTCCTATGCCTCCAAAATTACCCAATTACCCTAGTGGGTGTAAGTCTTATCACAAGCTAAAATATTTATAAAATGGCATATTGTTAGTTACATTGAGTTACATTAAGTTGATTCTAGTAATTGTCTCGTCTGAGTCCTAACAACTCTGAACAATAACGTGTCATCAACTCTTGTAAGCCCTTGTAGTGGCGAAAATACACAACGTGGTGGTGACATTTCACATAGACAACAAATTGCAAACGACTTTGAGACAACACTACGTCTCAACACTGTCTATGTTTGTTTGACGTCAATATTGTCACATCCAATTTATGTATATACATGTATGTGTATTTAATCCAAACCAAGTTCTAATTTAATCTAATCCTTGACTCTGTACTGGTGTAAAGGCTAGCAATTTGGATTTCTGATGCCAAGGTCCTGGGTTCAATCCCAGCATGTGGCAAGCAGAGCTAGCTTATGTGAACTGGTACACCAGAGAGGTGACAACTAGAGAGTAACTAACTCGATAAAAGGCCTGAGCTAGGCTGGCTAGTACTGCCTATGGTCCTAGCCAGGATAAAGATACCAGTTCCTGTCAGTCATTTCGAGACGTGTTTCTACCTTAAGATATCAAGTTACATTATCCTACCTTGCGTATATGCCTTATGGTGCCTTTGTGCGAAAATTGTAACTCAAATGAAATGACAAGCTTTGTATAAAAAACTTCCTACCTCATACCCACCTAGTCATTGAAGGTTCAATTTTAAAAATTATTAAATCTCAAAATAGCTCAAATTATTATCTTTTTTTTTTATCAATTCCGGCTTTATTTTATGACTAGACAGATGACAGATCCATACATAAAGGTATATGGTTGCATTTTAATGTGTAATGACCCGAGGGCGCCCCGAGAGAATAAATAACTATCGACCGCGAGCATACAGTGTAGGTCCAACATGCCAGATAAAGAAATTGAAGCCGAAATGAAATGAAATAGATATCAGTTGTGTGAGTGTGTCAAGTTAGATAAAGTACATGTGTATAACATGAAAATGGTAATAAATTTTTTACAGACACATCTAATATAAATAATGTTATAATTCATAGGATTATTACTATTCGTAAATATCAATAATCATTTTCTCACATTTAACTACTAAGCAAATTCATTATCAGTCATTAATTAAAGCAGCCATCGTTTACCGAATGCGATCATTTTGTTTGAATCAAATGAGCGTGTGTATAATGATGTATCAAATTTCTAAATGAATAGACCAGACGGGTTTACTTTTCGTATCGCAAACTCTGCCCATTGTTTCATTCAAATGCCTCAACTAGAAACACCATAAAATGGTACTTATCAAAAGGTTTGTTTGAGTTTAAGTGACTTGAAATGCAAAGCCCCAAAGGGTATAAATACAGATTCATTTTAATCGAAAATTGTCTCGATTGAACTTTTCGAGATCTGGGAACTGGTGCTGAAAAGGTTTGAAAATGCGCTTGATGATAAGCCCAGCGTTAGTTCTATTTTCTCTCAGCCTGTTTAGTAAGTATTACACATTTAACAAATTTATGCTTATATTATTAGCTAATTGTGATCAGTTTACACTTTAATTTGTTGTTCACTTTTTCGTATATTTTGCTAGTCCTACTTTGGTAGGCGCGTTTCAAGAAACATTGTTGGCAGCATTTACCACTTCCCGAATAATTTTTCTATTCATAGAATCATAGGGTTATCATTTGCTCGATATTGTTCGATTTTTGTACTTATTTTTCATTTTCACCTTCCAGTTACGAGTGGGAATAGCGACAGATATGGACCACCGATTTCAAGAGGTCAGTTGTTTTATTCACAATAGATTTCAGATCGTCCCCTTTCATACAATTTCAAACTCAATATTGAACAACATAAATCATCAGCATGGCTTTGTTTAACTCATAGCATTTATGATATCTCTATTAATTCTTAATGAAATGTAACAGGTTGGGGATCAGCGTAATTGGTGAAATTGTGCTTCTTGATAGTTGGAATATATGGATTTACAGATGTTTCAAGTAAATTAACTAGAGTTAATGTATTACCACTGGGATTAATATTCACAGATACATTTTTAATGTAATATAAACAATAGTTCGACTCTTGCGAGCTTCCTACATGTATTGACGTTTGCAGTATATCTTGTGTACATCATTTATAGGGTGTCCAGTCGACAAATGTTGCAAACACGGGTTTAAATGGTATTGGTCAACTGGAGGAAGATATTATAGATGGAAATCTATGTTTTCCGAAGTAGAAGAAAGTAAACAGTGTGATTATGGTAAAGTGTTTGACGTGAGGAAATGCTACTGCGTTAGGGTAGAAGCAGGTAAATGAGAAACACAATTTACATTTCCAAAGTACATGTATTTGTAAATTGTAAATATGTCTCCCATGCGAAAATGTCTCGAACAGTAGTACATGTAGTTAGTAGCTCGTAAACTGTGCATGGTTTTAATAACCAATACCATGTCTTGGCACCATTAGACTACGGTTTGTGCGTGGAGATTAGAATATCTAGTGCTAATTTGGTGGTGAAATCTAGTTAACGATGTTTTTTATTTCATTTTCAGGGTGTCCTTATGGCAAGTGTTGTAAATACGGGAAATGGTATTGGCCAGTCGGTGGAAGGCACTATCAATGCAAAGTTTTACCCGACGGCCATATAGAAAGTAAACAATGCCCATATGGTGAAGTGTTTGACTTGAAGAAATGTGGCTGTGTTAAAGCTGGTAAATAAAAAAACGAGGTTCACAAATTTCCAAGCTATTATATTTGCAAAATTTGCAAAATTAGAGATGTGTATCAGTTTCATTTTGAGACAATGCTGAAAAAATTGTTTATTTTATTATTTTTTATAAAAAACTGCAATTCGTGATCTCATAAACTATACTTGTATACCTCAGTATTTATACTTCATTTATATTCAAATAATGGGTTCGTGTAAATTGTTAATATTCTTTTTAGTAAACGTAATGCCTTCTCATGTCCTCATTATTAGGTATACGAATAGATTGTATTGATTGTGTTTAAATGAATATTCAATTCATGTAAAATATTTGTGTTTAAATAGCTACAGGTTGCAAATGGTCACCATTTGGTGATTGGGAATACATAGATCAGTGCTCTAAACCATGCGGTGGGGGATATAGAAGAAAACGAGGAACACGCACTAAACAAATCAGCCATGAGCCTAATGACAAATGCGAAGGAGATGAGCATAAAATAATCAGTGTGCCATGCAACATAGATCCTTGCGGTACGTCAATTACACTTACATATTTCTAGAAATTAAAATCTATTCAATAAAAGATTTTTTAAGATATTTTTATCGTCATTGCACTTGACCAATCACGAATTTATCACGATCAAACATACTTTCAACTCTCTCTATTCCGTCCAAGTGCTTAGTATACAATTGCTGAGTTTACATTACCTTATAGAGATATTGTGTGAGCCTCCTTTGCCATATGCACCAGCCAATGGATATAGGCTTGGGCACAGTGATACAGAACCGTATCATCCGGGAGAGGTTATCACATATAAATGTGACAAATGTTACAAGATTAAAGGGGGCGATGATGATATTAAGTGTAAACCTAATGGTCAATGGGATGGTCCCGTTCCGACTTGTGAAAGTAGGCTTTTCAGACATAATATGCATTTTATCGTAGAATTTACTTGATAGTCTATTCAGAAATTAATTATGAACAATTCAATAAATCATTTTATTTAAGCTAAGTTCACACCAACGGCGCTTTGATAGCGCTCTAAAACGCCCCCAAAGCGCCGTTGGTGTGAACTTCGCTTTATCAGACTTATATTGTAATATGCCTTTATCTTGGTTATTTTTAGAAATAAGATGTCAAACGGTTCAAGCCCCTTATAACGGTTACATAGTATACGCTGACAGGAATTGTGATGGCAGAACTAAATTTGCCTGTAACGAGGGATATAAAATTGTTGGATATGCTGAGATTAAATGTTTGGAGAATGGTCAATACAATTACAATCCACCAAAATGTGTCCTAGGTACAATTTAACATTATTTACGAGATAAAGTTCATTTTTCTAAATGATGCAGTGATAAGTGGCATCTTCCTTAAATACTCATTAAGATGCACTTGGATCATTTTTCACATTCCACATTAAAAATAATTATAATGTAACTTAGCATTACGCATAAATATTGATATATGAAGTTCTTGTAAGCTGTTTTTCATAAGGTAACATTTCATTATTTCAACATTTAACTTTTCTGATTTGACATTTAACTTAAGAATTCGCCTTCTTACATACTAGCATTGTTAACCATAGGAACTGCATCTTTACAAACGTATTGCGCCAGCTTACACTTCGCTTTTAATTCATACGTTTATAAATATGCACATTATACTTAAGACATTCTAAAGTATTAGAATATCAAAAACGGAACCAATTTCAAGGAACGACATCCAATTAACGATAAAACGCGGAGGCACAAACCTGTTATAATTAATACCTTTTTGTGATGCAGTCTCGTTAATGTTGTGTCTTGTTTACTTTTCAGAGTGTCCTACCGGAAAATGTTGCAAAAATGGAAAATGGTATTGGCCAATTGGCGGAAGGGGATACCAATGCAAAGTTTTACCTAATGGACCTGTCGAAAGTAAACAATGCCCATATTGCCAAGTGTTTGATGTGCAGAAATGTGATTGCGTTGACGTTGGTAAATGATAATTATTGCATATCTAGTTATTTTTAGATTGTGAAAATGCTCTCGTTTGTGACAACTTTTTGAAAGGAGGAAGGAAATTAGCGCCACAGATTTTGGACAGTCATATGTTGGATTTTGGCCATTTTTGAGGATTTAAACAATTGCATATGTTAGGCCAATGCATTACCTCCAGGAAAATCACTTCTAGAGATGATAAAATAATTTCGACTTTGAGACAGGGTAGATGCAAACGACCCACCCACATGTTTTTTCTGAAATGTTTTCCTAATTTTCTACCCCTTCCATCCCTGCTTTTTAAATTTTTCTTGCATCTATATGTTGCGTTTTGACACATGGTTAACCACTTTAAATGAATAAGTGATTCCTTCAGGGGTTTTAAAGATACCCATTATGGGTGACCAAACTTGGCTGAAAGCAATGATTTTTCCCTACGGGAAAATAACATGGGAAATATTGTTTTCCACTTTATCTAAAATATGCACCTGTTTAAATCCCCAGGAAATGGCCAAAATCAAACATATGACTGTCCAAAATCTGTTTCGCTAATTTCCTTATCTCATCATCATCATTATCAACATCATTATCTTATGGAATACGCGGTCATTATTAAAAATTACAGTGAACACTTTTCATATAGCTGATCATGAGAAGTTTCACAATACATAATTTACTCCAGTTTTTCATTCTAAATTATTAGGATATCTCAAAATCAATTACTTAAAAGAAAGAAATTGAGCAATATTCTAAGATAGTTTTTTAAAACTAAAATCACGCATTTCTAAATTTTAAATATTTCAATAAACCAATTTACTTATTAATTATTTCAAAATATAACTTTATTCCATTAATATTATTGTAGAAATTCAATGTAAAGCGGTTCAAGCTCCTCATAATGGTTACATAGTATATGCTGACAGGAATTGTGATGGCAGAACTAAGTTTGCTTGTAACGAGGGCTATAAACCTGTTGGATATGCTGAGATTAAATGTTTGGAGAATGGACAATATAATTACAATCCACCAAAATGTGTCCTAGGTACAATTTAACATTATTTACGAAATAAAGTACATTTTTCTAAATGATGCAGTGATAAGTGCCATCTTCCTTAAATACTCATTAAGATGCCCTTGGATCATTTTTCACATTCCACATTAAAAATAATTATAATGTAACTTAGCATTACGCATAAATATTGATATATGAATTTCTTGTAAAATGTTTTTCATATGGTAACATTTCATTATTTCAACATTTTACTTTTCTGATTTGACATTTAACTTAAGAATTCGCCTTCTTACATACTAGCATTGTTAACCATAGGAACTCCACTTTTACAAACGTATTGCGTAAGCTTACACTTCGCTTTTAATTCATACGTTTATGAATATGCACATTATATTTAAGACATTCTAAATTATTAGAATATCAAAAACAGAACCAATTTCAAGGAACGACATCCAATTAACGATAAAACGCGGAGGCACAAACCTGTTATAATTAATACTTTTTTGTGACGTAGTCTTGTTAATGTTGTGTCTTGTTTACTTTTCAGAGTGTCCTCCCGGAAAATGTTGCAAAAATGGGAAATGGTATTGGCCAATTGGCGGAAGGGGATACCAATGCAAAGTTTTACCTAATGGACCTGTCGAAAGTAAACAATGCCCATATTGCCAAGTGTTTGATGTTGACAAATGTGACTGCGTTGATGTTGGTAAATGATCAATAATTATTTTAAGATTGTAAATGTGCTCTCGTCTGTGAACATTTATTTAAATTTGTATTTCGTTTCCATTTCGATAACGGAACCTGTTATATTTTCGGAACTGTAATGCCATTGTAAGACATCACTATCCATTGGTATACACGGATATTATAATTGCAGTAAACACTTTTTAGAAATAGCTAAGTTTTGCAATACATAATATACAAGGATTTCATTCTAAATTATTTGGATAGCTCAAAATCATTTACTTAAATGAAAGAATTTCAGCAGTATTTTAAGATTTTTTTAAACTATAGTCATACCGTTCTTTTCTAAATTTTATTCAAAATTTACTCATTAATTATAAAAGAATATACGTTTATCAAATTATTGTAGGAATAAAATGTCCATTATTGCAGAGATACAATGTCAAGCGGTTCAAGCCCCTGATAATGGTTACATAGTATACACTGACAGGGGTTGTGGCGGCAGAACTAAGTTTAATTGTAACGAGGGATATAAACTTGTTGGATATGCTGAGATTAAATGTTTGGAGAATGGACAATACAATTACAATCCACCAAAATGTGTCCTAGGTACAATTTAACATTATTTACGAAATAAAGAACATTTTTCTAAATGATCTAGTGATAAGTGGCATCTTTCTTAAATACTCATGAAGATGCCCTTGGATCATTTTTCACTTTCCACATTAAAAATACATGTAATTATAATGTATCTTAGCATTACGCATAGATATTGATATATGAAGTTCTTGTTAAATGTTTTTCATATGGTAACATTTCATTATTTCAACATTTTACTTTTCTGATTCGACATTTAACTTAAGAATTCGCCTTCTTACATACTAGCATTGTTAACCATAGGAACTGCATCTTTACAAACGTCGCGTATTGCGCCAGCTTACACTTCGCTTTTAATTCATACGTTTATAAATATGCATATTATATTTTAGACATTCTAAATTATTAGAATATCAAAAATAGAACGAATTTCAAAGAACGACATCCAATTAATGATAAAACGCGGAGGCACAAAACTGTTATAATCAGTACCATTTTGTGACGTAGTCTTGTTAATGTTGTGTCTTGTTTATTTTTCAGAGTGTCCTTCCGGAAAATGTTGCAAAAATGGGAAATGGTATTGGCCAATTGGCGGAAGGGGATATCAATGCAAGGTTTTACCTAATGGACCTGTCGAAAGTAAAGAATGCCCATATTGCCAAGTGTTTGATCTGGAGAAATGTGATTGCGTTGACGTTGGTACATGATAATTGTTGCATATCTAGTTATTTTTAGATTGTGAAAATGCTCTCGTTTGTGACAATTTTTTCAAATTTTTATTTCTTTTCCATCTTAATGCCATTGTAGGACATCATTATCATATGGAATACGCGGTCATTATTATGAATTACGGTGAACACTTTTCATATAGCTGAGAGGTTTCACAATATATAATTTACTCCAGTTTTCATTCTTAATTATTAGGATATCTCAAAATCAATTACTTAAATGAAAGAATTGGAGTAAAATTCTAAGATAGTTTTTTTAAAACTAAAATCACGCATTTCTAAATTTTACATATTTCAATAAACCAATTTAATTATTAATTATTTCAAAATATAACTATATTCCATTAATATTATTGTAGAAATACAATGTAAAGCGGTTCAAGCCCCTGATAACGGTTACATAGTATACGCTGACAGGAATTGTGATGGCAGAACTAAGTTTGCTTGTAACGGGGGATATAAACGTGTTGGATATGCTGAGGTTAAATGCTTGGAGAATGGTCAATATGATTACGATCCACCAAAATGTGTCCCTGGTACAAAATAGCATTATCTAAACTATGAAGTACATTTTACCAAATGACAGATGTTGACATAATCATGAAGATCTCATGAAATTATTTTTGTTTAGCAACATTTCATTATTAATCATTTGATTGTGTGATTTGACATTGATATTGAGTTTAATAGTTTACATATTCCTTGCAAAGGTGATGCGTCAGTTTAGTCTTCACGTTTACCATATTATATCTTACACAGACATTATTTTATTTTCAATTATTGGAATATGAAAAGACAACGTTAAATCAAAGAAAGACACACTTTATTTTATTTTCAATTATTGGAATATGAAAAGACAACGTTAAATCAAAGAAAGACACACTTTTGCTATATAGCTTACCATACATAAACGTTATTTATATTCTATTACTGTAATATCAAAAGACAACAAATGTTAAAGATACGACACCCAGCAAATGATAAAAGACTGACACCAAACCGTTAACATAATCAGGACCAGTTTGGTGATGTAGTCTCGTTAATGTCGTGTTTTGTTTACTTTCAGAGTGTCCCCCTGGTAAATGTTGCAAAAATGGAAAATGGTATTGGCCAATTGGCGGAAGATACTATAAATGCAAAGTTTTACCTAATGGAAATGTTGAAAGTAAACAATGCCCATATTGCAAAGTGTTTGACGTGGATAAATGTGACTGCATTGACGCTGGTAAATGAAAAATTGACCTCAGCGAACACCTTCGACAAATTGCCGGGCAATTTTGCTATATAGTTGCTTGGACAGAACAAGGCATTCTTCCACCTCTGTTTTCCTAATAACCCTTTAAATTCTCAATCATTTTTCATCAAGCTCTCACTGGGGAAATCTTTAAAGGATTCCTAACATACAAAATTCCTTGTTAAGCTCACCATCAATTTTCATAATATCTGAGACTAACATAATTTTATGTTAGTCTCAGATTATATACAGCAAAGATACCATGAATGTTGCGTCTTTTGTCTGAAAATGATAAATGATCTTAGTTTTCTTTATTGAATAAGTATCTCTTCATTCCTGTTAATGTATTATGATCATGTTTTTTCCATGAGGCTTTTCACAATAAGACAGAAACAGTTTCATTTGTTACCTTATCTACACATAGTGTCAGTGCATTGACTTTATTTAAAATGCACATTGAATTTAGACCCAATAATTTAGGCGTATGCCTACCTTGGATACCTGGGAACAATATTCATTGTCATTCTGCTGTTAGACGCATGTCCCATGTTTTACTTGGACGCCAATTTGAGCATCATTTAAAATAAATTGAACCAAATATGTCCCACTTGTGATATTTGATACTAGCTTAATGGATTACTTCTTGAATTCTGACCCATAATGGCATCTATTTCTGTGCAGATATATTTCATGACCTACACAAATACTCGTATATTAAGACATGAAATTGAAATATTTAGGGTCGGAGGTAAGGAGCAGAATAGATTGCACAGCATTCTTAAATTGATTAAACATAATTTTACAAAATTTTATTATTTCATTTTAATAAATAAACTAAGTAAATTGATAAAACACACATGTGTAAATAGAATTCATGCACACAAGTCAGTATATAAGCTAGCACTTAAAATATAACTATTTGAATTCAATTATTCAAAACAGAAAAATCATCCCTTAACACAAGTTGATCATTATTTTTCAAAAAGCTGTAATTATAATGAAAATTTATAATGAGTGCAGGAAAAGGTTTTGTATATTAGGAATGCTTTAAAGATTTTCCAGTAGAAACTTCATGAAAATTTTTTTAACTTGAAAAAGGTTATTAGGAAAACAGAGGTGGATGACTTGTGTTGTAAAGGACACTCTCGTGTTTACAAGTTTTTCTTGCTTAATTATTGAGACACCTCAAAATATCGATTATGTAAATGAAAGATCTCATTAGTTTTTGTTAACTAAATTCACACATTTAATTCTAAATTTTAAACTATTCAATAAACAAATTTACTTGCTTTGATCAGTATTATCATCATTTTATTATTGTAGAGATACAGTGCTCATCGGTCCAAGCCCCTCAAAATGGATATGTTTCTAACTCTGACAGAAATTGTGGCGGGAGAACTAAGTTTAATTGTAACGGGGGATATAAACTTGCTGGATATGCTGAGATTAAGTGTTTGGAGAATGGCCAATACAATTACAATCCGCCAAAATGTGTTCCCGGTACAGTGCTTTAGTATAGAATAACATTTTTATGATATGAAGTACATTTTACTAATGTTGTATTCAACTTGAATAAGCTTTTAGATACGCTTTGATCATTTGATCATGTGGATTTGTTCAAATTTGTGAATGGTGCTCGGGCGATTGCGGCATTATGCAGCTTCTAATATAACAATATTTTGAAGAGAGTAAAAAATTATTCCGAAATGCCGCATTAGACGGCCATTTTGAATTTAGGAGGCCCTAATCAGAAAAACGATACAATAATTGCATTTTACCCTTCATTGTCTTTCATTTGAATATAATGAAATTTCTTCAGAAAGATCTTGAAATCTATGAAAATTCCTGTTTTCCCGACTCCCCATACACAACCCTTGGGGTCAGACTGAAAACACAACATATATGTCAAATAGATAGATGTTGTGAATATGATACCAACATTTCAAACAATAATGTATATTACTTTGATTTAAATTGACAGACAGACGGACGGACTGGCTGACTGACGGACGGAAGGCTTCACTATATCCCAACCGAACTTCGAATTCGTTTGAATAATAACCTTTATATATGAAACAGATAAAGTGTATATAGCTAAGGATATTCTTCGATGTAATTTGTAGAAATTTCTATCGATGTTATTTGTAGATTGTAGAGGGGGATGGGGACCATGGGGTGAATGGCATTGTGACTCTTGTAAGAGGACTGGATACGGACGCAATAAACGATGCAGTAAGACATGTACTAAGATAAGGGTGTGCCGACCATGCGGCTATCGTGGCTATAGCCGTGATGATGATGATGATGACGATCGCAGAAAGAGAAACACGAATGACGATGTCGAACTCGTCCGAAGAGACGGAGGAGGAGGGCCGTCATGCGACGGAGATTCCAAAGCTTATAAGACAGTATCATGCTACTGTTAATTTTTGGTCAACTTGAATCAGACGACAGTAAGTATTGTACTCTTGGCTTCCTTTAACAATAGCTTAGTCTTGAATAACAGTGACAAATAAATATATAAACACAATTCCATTAAAATTATGTTGGAAACTTATTGCAAAATATATCTAAAAAGCTAGTTTGGCTTCTTACTTGTATTTATTACTTGTATTTATTGTAGACAGTATAACACTCTACTATACCTTGCATTTGGTGTTGATGAGCAACCCATTTGACTTATCAGGAATGATTATGTTATTTGTTTTTATGTGTCTGTTCCTTATTAATGGTTTATTGGATGACTGTATATTAATAAAGGTACTTTCAAAAATATACTAAACAATACAATTAGACAATCGGAGTACCCCATGCATTTCTATGGGTTGGGTATAGTAGAGTGATAATAAATAGCTAAATTACTAGGTCATAGCCTACGTTGGTTTGTGTAACAGATTTTATAGGATAAAATGGATGCATAAAAAGTTATAAGTACACAAACAAAAGGATATGTTCAGTTGACTGCCATATAACTTGAAACATACGTATCTAGCAACATTCAGGCCTCCTAGACTTCAACCAACCCAAACATCAATTCTGACGTCGCGAACTACGTTCCTTGCATTCGAACCACGATTCTCACATCGCGAATGCAAAATCTTTAGTCTCGCACCACGATTTCCTCGCTCTTAAACATATTCTTTCACTCGCGCACAGAGGACTGTTCGCTAAAGATTTTACATTCGCGATGTGAGAATCGTGGTTCGAGTGCCAGGAACGCAAATTTTCAAATGATATTTTCTGGAACGAATAGAGTTTTTACAAGGAGGCAATCTTTCATGAGAGATGAACTTCATTAACAACATTTTGTTGGATGATGATATAGTTATTCATCAACCTTCCGATGGTTTATCATTTTTAATGATTCATATTTCTTGAAGTGTTTTGGTGTCTTTATGTTTTAGAACTCCACTCGACGATGACAAACCAGGCCGATATAATGAGTTATCTACAAATTAACCACATTAATTTACTGTTATTTCAAAGAATATTTATTTAATGAATATATTCAGAAGCAGACTTATTATTAAAAATTGTATCTGTTTAATTTATTATTGCACCTCTAGTACATTACAACATCAACAAATTGTACTATTACCAGAAGTGTACATCATTCATTAAGGTATTGAAAATCCTTAAATTTTGTAAATCAAAAAAATGGTTTCACATATATCACAAGTACTCACAACCACATTTTTATAAGTCCAATATTCCTATAATGGTCTGTTTCATAGGAAATCTATCTTTAAACTTTCCTAATTGTTACCCTCCCCCATGCCATAGTTACAGAAGAGAACAGAACAAATTATTGAAGAAACATTATAACATATTAAATTTAGGTAATGATCACTTAATAAACAAACGTTCGTTAGAATGTAATAGTCATTGAATTAATGGTCCCTTAACAAACAGGTAAATGTTTATCAAAGTGCAAGCTTGTCACACAATAATTAACTAATTATTGCATTACAATTGCAAGTTATTTTTATTTGGGTATGCTATAGTCTAACGTGAATCCAATTCATACGTGCACCTAATCGAGTCAAATATTTAGTACTTATTTTATCTGATGATCAGTTATGTGAGTCAAGTTAGATAAAGTCCATAACATGAAAATGGTAATAAAATTATTTTACAGACACATCTTTGGACGCAATTTAATGAACAGCTTCAAAAACAATCATACAGCCTCGTTTACAGAATAATGAAGGGTAAGGAAGAACATATAATCCATGACTAATGATAATTTGGGTTTCAATATATACACTAGAAGATCACATTTTATTTACAAGCCACTACGTATTCTTAAATTGAAAACGTTTGACATGTACGCAGGGTAATATATAATGTTAAAATATAATTATGTGAGTTCCTGGGTTTATTGTTATTCGTGTATCAATACTCATTTTCTCGCATTAAAATACTAAACAAATTCATTATCAGTCATCAACGAATGCGATCTTTGTGTTTGGATTTAATGGAAAAGCATATAATGATATATTAAATTTCTAAGTGAATAGATCAGACAACATTACTTTTCGTATTGCAAACTCTCCCCACTGTTTCTTTCAAATGTTTTAACTAGAAAATACCATGAAGTATACGTATTAAAAGGTTTGTTTGAGTTTACGTGACTTGAAAAGCCCAAAAAGGGTATAAATACCAGTTCAATTCAATAGAAAATTGTCTCGTTGACTTTCGAAGATCTGAGAAGTGCGGCTGAAAAGGTTTGAAAATGCGCTTGATGATAAGCCCAGCGTTACTTCTATTTTTTCTCAGCCTGTTCAGTAAGTATAGTATTATATATATATATTTTTTATGTTTTTGTCGTGGTTACATCAGATACGTTATGCTTTCCTCTTGTGAACAGCATTTTGATTTTTTGTTCACCTTTTTGTATCTATCACTGGTGATCGCTTGGTAACCAACGTAATCGAGTGGATCACCAGTGTCCATGCTAGGCCTACGTTTGGAGCGACATTTTCAGAAACATCATGATCATATACATAGCATTTACCACTTTCCTCATAGAATCTTCTTGATTTGATACTTATTTTCACTTTCCAGTTACAAGTGGAAATTGCGACAGACATAGACCACCGTTTTCAAGAGGTCTGTATTTTCTATTCCCAATAGTGTTATCGTCCCCTTATATCGTCCCCTCACAATCATACTGTGTATGCACTTAAAAATTGAATCATGTCAGCAACTAAAAAAAATATCAAATACTAAAATGCAGATAGAACAATAAGAGACTAGATTGTGAAACAATTGGCTATCAAGAGTTGTTGAAACTGTGGTCATTGATAATTCAAATACACATTTCACGGATTTGGCTACACTTCGAGATGATAATTCCTCAGCAAGTTTGGAATTCTTCGCTTTTCCTTGTACTAACTGTCGGCGATTCCAGTGAGAAAATGGAACTTCAAACCTTACATCCAGTTGTCAGAATAAAACATTTTTTGTAATAGCATATTAGTATCGACCCTAAATAAGTCTAAATAAGTATCAATTATCGAACCTTTGACCTTATGGCTTAAAATTATTCTACGATGTAATTGGTATCAACTTCTATCACTCCAATTTGCAGAATGTACAGATGAATGGGGCCCATTGGTTGAGGAGTACTGTACCAAATGTAGAGTGATTGGATCTGGGGGCAATCATGGATGCTTTAGGAAATGTACATTTATAAGGGTATGCCAACCATGCAACGATAGTGGTTATCATGCCGGGAAGAGAAACACTGGCAATCTCGAACTTATCCGAAAAGTCGTCGAAGGAGGGCCGTCGTGCGACCAAGGTGCCATAGATTGGAAAGAGAAGAAGGAAACGTGTCAGTGTTAATATTTGGTTACCTTAATGCCGAGAACAGTAAGTATTCCTTCTTTTATTCAGAAGTCAGTCTGGAATAATATTTGCAATAAAACATGAAGTAATATAAACATAGAGGACCATGGCTTAACATGCCATTCCTTCGTGATGTGATTCGAAACTAATCGTAAGATATATCTAAATGTGGTTCCTTACCTGTATTTATGACAAGTAGACAATATAGCAAAACTACGAACTCATAATCTGCGTTTGTTTTTGTGATTGGATTAATTGGATAGTATGCATACATGCAAAGTTTTAAATACACATACACAAACAATGTAACTACATTACATCTTGAATTATACACATCTTGCAACATTATTGTTGATTGATAATGGTTCTGAATAATTGAGCAATTTACCTTTTCTGATATTTTACTGAATTACATTTTGGAATAATATTTTCCTGAATGAAAATAGTTTTTTTTATTTTACAATTAAGAGAACCTCATCAAATCTTTCTGGCGTTTCCATGTATGGTAAACATCGAGCTATAGATGTAAAAATGTATAAACGTCTGATTTGGGAGAAAACAAATGTGTTGGGCCTATCTGTATGAGGTTATAGTGTACATGACTTCAGCAAACACAACCGTTTTTGATATACATGTTGGCCTACATCTTATTTTATTAAATTAAGCATTTTTGAAAGGTGTAAATTAGTTAATTTAGATCCACTAGCGTTGAACTGCAGTTGACAACATGTTTTTTTAATTTATATTTTTTAACAATTCATATTTCTTCAAAGTTTTTGATTATTGATAGTGTCTTTATGTTTTAGAATTCCATTCGATGATGACACACCAGGCCGATATAATGAGTTATTTACAAATTAACCATACTTTACTATTATTTCACGCAATGTTGATTTAATAAATATATTCAGCAACAAACTTAAAATTCATTATTCATTTGTTTAATTATAACTTGGAATCAAGCACTCGGATACTTTGTGCAAATTGATCGCGATGTGGGAATTCTGTGCAAGAGTAGAGAGAGAAACTTGTGGTTCCCGACTAAAGAATGTTCGCGTTGTAGGAACCGTGGTTCAAGTGATTCGCGAGGCCAGATCTGATGTAAGCAATAGTGGATGTCGAGGAGGAAGCATGTGTTTGGTACTGTTTCCGTAAAACAATCATGCGTTACGTTCAATAATGCATTATTCATTCAGATATTCCAAGTGTGTCTTGGAAGTCAATTACATCAGAGTTTTTTAGTGTATTTAAAGTGTATCCATGAAAGACACAGCCATTGGAGCACGTTTTATAATATCATTGTGAACTGAGCAGTTGTATAAGAGTGACATCAGAACGGTGCATTATTGTCTCATAAAGAACTGGACATTTTCATTTTTAACAAGGAAAACTAGTGTACTACTGAAATTACAATTGAAAATTATGTATCATAATTTACTTGATTAAAAGTATTCATGTAGGTTGACATTGAAAATGAATATTAACAATACTTTGCAGATGTTGAATAATAGTATAAAGGTCGATTTCGAACCTGCATAATAATAGGACTTATTTGATCATGGTCTTGGAAATTAATATTTACTGGCAAAATGTTCTGTGTGTATATATCAAATGTAAATCAAAATTATTCAGCAACATTACCCTTACTAAAAACTAATTACTGTTTTGTTGGCAGCCAACGAAATATGAAAAGTAATGAAACTTGAGATGAGACGCCATCTGTTGTAGAAAGTAGGCTTTATGGTTCGCCTACCTTTTCATGGACTCCCATACGAATGCTTCGCTGGAGGCATGTACTGTTACGCGGTAAACACGATACAAAAATATGTCACATTCCGCAACGAATATGGTATATTCACTTGTGGTGTATGACATATTCACCTGTGGTATATGGCATACACACTAACCAATGAGAACGTGATACGGAAGTACGCAATTGTCAATTGCATAGATTGAACGAACAAGTAATACGTTATAAAGTATTATAACGATTACTGAATCAACAGTACTGTGTATCGAATATATTAACTTAGCAGAAGTATCAGTCACCAATCTCGCGTAATAGACTTACTCAATCAATCCAAGATTCATATACTAGTACTCGACGCACTAACTATAATGGTAATCAAGCATAGTTTTACATTTAGAGTCGATTCTCGCAATCAATCAAATCCAGGCTTTCTGTATCACGTTTTCACCTGCGGTATATGTCATATTCACCTGCGGTATATGGCATATTCCGCAAGTGAATTTGACATATTTCACAGGTGAGTATCGGGTTTTCACTGAAATCAATGTATTCACTATTCATATCGCATACTCACCTACGGAATATGCCATATACCACAGGTGAGTATGGCATATTCACCCGTATCACAAATACCAGCTCGCAACCATGAATGTATGCCATATACCGCGTAACAAGATGTAAACATACGCATATATAAACCCGCACTGATTCAACTATTAGTATAGTCTGTCTCTCAAAAATCATTTTGCACCATACTTCCATCTTTCTGTAGGCCTTATCTCTATGGTGTCATGTCAAAGTCTACCAAGTCATTATCTATTTCTGCATGCATTTTGGCAATTGGTCAATGGAAAGATGGCATTGTGTAGCCCATGTGTTAACGAGAAGATACATGAACTGCACTTTCATCTTTTCATTAACATTAGTATTCGAAGAAAAGATGTCGCCTGTGAGATCGATGTGACAAGAACCAGCTGAAGTATGGATTTTATACAAGTTGATATGAAGAAGACATGGCGGTATAAATATAATTGCACAACTCGAAGAGCAAAATAGCAAGTTGTTTAATAACTAATTAACCATTTAATTAACACTTTGAAATAAGAAATTATTCCACAGCTTTGCAGAATTGAATCTAATGACTATTATTCTTGGATGCGCGCATGGAATTTGACATTTAGAGTGGCTACATCAAAATCCAAGATTACTTATGAAAAGACAAATAATCAGGTCTCGAAATGGATTCCATCCAAAAGCTTTAAGCTTTTTTCAATTCAATTCAGCTTTATTTTCTTATATATAGTATTATTTACAAGGATTTACATGACAGTAAAAATATGTTGTTTGAATAGTAGGTATAGTACTATGATAATCAGCTGATCTAATGATGAACACTAACTAAGACTAACTAGTACACATTCAAAAGAGGGCATCACAATAAAGGGGACATGCCATTAAGAGGCCATTCTCTGACTTAGTCATTTTTTCAAAAGTGTGCAAATAAAAAAATTCATGAAAAGTTTTTAAAATATTCTGAATAGCAAGTTGAATATATATATTTAATGATGGCACAAGCAAAAGTCTGAAAATTAACATGAAATGAAGGGTTTTGACAGATGCAAAATTTGTGATGAAGAAATAGAGGTTTTTGAAGTAACAACACAATTATCTCGAAGTTATCCGTTATGAGAGGCTGAGGACTAAACTTGACATAATTTTCAATCTCAGATTATCAGTAGTATCTAACTTAAGCCGGACATCCACTCAAAATGTATATGGAGCCCATAAGATTCATTTTTCTCAATTGAAGTCACTATTGCTGTTTTTAGCTTCAGAGGATAGGAGGTACATGAACATGCTAAGTTTACCTAGATCGCAAGCCTTACCACAAATATAAAGTATATAGGAATAGAGTTGATATGTGTGAAAACCTTAAACTTCCCATTTTATTGGGGATGGAACTTGTGGACCATGTGTATTTCTAACTTCCTCACATGTGCATGGATCTAAAATTGTGGCAGCCATCTTGGATTTATCATATTATGTGGACATGGTTTTGGTTGTGCTGAATTTGTTTCAAAATAACATTTCTTGTATACCTTCGATAAGTGAGATAGGCATTTGAAATTAAATACAGATAGTATACTTGACATTTAATGCAGTAAACAGTAATACAATTCATTCTTACATAATAAGTGAGTCCAGACAAAAAGTTGTTATTGTGTTCGTTTAACTGGGCATAAATTACACTCATTGGCCTTGGTTTTCTTAATTGGCTTGGATAAAATGTTGTTCTGTTTATTCAGAAAAGGAGTATAGTTCAATATACAAGTTCACATTTGTTCCATCCTCTTGTAGAAATGAATCTCATATTATTTCATCTCAAATATAGAACACAAAAATATATTTTAAAAAAGTTTCTATTAATTGCAAAAGTTAGCTTCTACTGTCATGACTGAGTTTGGGTTCCGCTTCTAAGGAAAAAATATCCATCTGGAAATATTGTATTGACCATTGCTATACACTCCATATTTAATCCTCCCAGTAAATAACATTGATATACAGTATACTTAGAGGTTATGTCACTATGACTTGAAATATGCCTGAGTTCTCCGGCCGACCTTGGGAGGCTCTATATTTGGGCAAGAACGAAGGCATATTTCACGTCATAGTGACATAACTGATGTATTACATGCCTTTGTTCCCATGGTTACTTTGTATCAATGACGTGACGTCATGATATTATCATGGTTATTAAAGAAATCTAATATCAAAACGAGGTAAGCGGGCTATATCGGGGTAATCGGGCAATATCGGTGGATATAGCTCGCTAACTTTCCCATTGACTTCCATACAAATGCTTCGCTAGGTATGTAATACAAGTATATATGACATTGAGGATCTGGGATTAGGGTTCTTTAAACCCTCATATTTAATATTTTTGGAGTGGTAATTAAATTATGTACCTATTTTTTTATTCTTTATCCCATAGTTGAACTCTTTTCCGCTCTGTTAGGTAACATGAAAACATATTTCAATATTTTGCAAATGCGTGGAAAAAGTGATATCTGTGGAATACGGAAAATATTTCACAGATATCACCTTTTGGCAGGGATTTGAAAACTACCACCAATATGATGTGTTTTGTTACATAGTGATTTCATGACATCACGGGGATGAATGAATGAATGGATGTTGTTTTGATATGCTTTGTTTAGTTTTAGAGGTGAACTATCGGAAAAATAGAACATCCTATGAATTTTCGTGATATTGTGTTAATCCAACTCATTGATATCAATATCTGCGCTAATTCGCTATGCTAACTTGGCAAGATATTGATATCAACTAGGAGATAAAGATAAAATCATTTAAAATCATATGATATCCTATACATATCCTTTACTGTGCCACAACTTTCGCATATGTTATATATTTTGGCACAGGTCATCATTTATTTTCCTTGAATTCATGCTTTTGTTCCTCGTTTTAGAAATGAGAGAAAATCTTTGATTTTCCTTGTATTTAAGTTGCTTAAATGTTGCCCTGTGATGTTGATAAAAGTCAATAGTAATCCATTACAGTCACAGTTGAAATGTACCCATTGCTAGCCCAGAACCTACCAAAATAGCATTTGCATTTTGTCAATATTGCCCTATGTGCTTTTCCATGAAAATAATTTTAATCGTTTCTTTTCTTCAGTATATGATATATTACATTTTATATATAAATTGGTTAATGTTTATATACTATTTACTTAGACAACAATAAATAAAGATTTTTTTGTAAAAAACACCAAAAATGGTATATGATCTTTAAATGAGTGTTGTGTGAACATCAAAGGTCAAAATTCGCTGAAATTGTATTTTTATAAAGCACAAATGATTTTTCTTCAATATGATATGTATTATTATCAGATATCTTTGGGGGCTAAAAAGGGCGCTTAATGACACCCGTCCTTTAAGTGTTGCTTGATATACTCAAAACACCTAACTACAACTGACTTCCAACATGGCAACATGTTCACAGTTGAGTCAATACAATGATTCATTGAAAATATCAAAATTAAATCTTGAATTCATAAAAGACAATCAAAAGTAGTTCTAGTAAACATACAAACAAAGTATTAGGCATCTGTATATTTGGAAATTATATACTTTTTAAAATCATTCCTAAGTTTGCATGATATTCCAGAGTGTCTGGGCTTGGCCCATAATTAAACAATTGTTTTGGACAATTTCTAGGTCTCTTTATGTAATAAACAAATACTGCTGTGTTGAGAGGATAACGATATCATGGCTCTTTAGTAAATTAAGTTTTGCCATTGTTTGCCATTTCCATCGACTGTTTATGAAAGTAGAACATAATCCGTAACATTTTTGTAATTGTGTCAATCTTTATTCCGTCATTAAATCATTCATTATTGACATTGAAGTACTCCAAGATACATTTCAGTTTACATCCATTGGTAGTTTGGCTGCGATATTGTTCTCACATATTTGAATATAACCTAACCTAACCGGGAGACATGGGGTCCTAGGATGTATGGTCCCCTGAACCTGAACGGTATATTCAGGGAGAATGTTGAGGGCAATATGGCGTTTTGCCAAGACTAAAAACGGAATCAATGGAATTATAGTTTCAAAATTATTTATAGCCCAAAGCATTAATCTCTGGTCATTTTTTGAACATTTTCAAAGTCACAAGAATTGTTACCGTGGAGGAACCAGTGTCCGAATTTTTTCGCTCTTTCTACTTTTGCATCGTTACCAATGACCCAATTGTTATTTAATACAAGTGGCCGAGTCTCTGTTGAATCATTATGAGATCGTGAGTACCAAAGTCCGTCTTCAATTATGTTAAAGTCCAGTAATTTGTATTTTAAGTTTTGTTGTGACATAATTGCCTCATGTAAATATGTCTGATCATTTTCACCATCTGGTAACTTTTTGTCGTCTTTAACATTTGAATATGTCTCCAAAAACCCATTTAGTTTGTCTATTACTTTTGTGAAAACAATTTGTGTAGCTTTTGCTGGTTTTAATAAAAGAAAGCCTCCTGCTATCTGGTGATACTTGGAGATTTGTGCTCCAACTATGTCATATTTTAATAGAGACTGGAGCAATGGAAAAGGAGAAGAAAACCATATAGCGTCAACCTCAAATAATAGGATTGTGACATTATTTTCGAGAATAGAAAGAACCAATAAAGCCCGGGTTAACATGTATCGTATATACCCTGCTTCCCTGTACTCGACCTTTGTAGTAGAAAGTGAGTGTAGGACGGAGGTGACGTTTGGCCAATCATGCTGCAGTTTCCCCAATGTTGTTTCATCCGTGGCAACAATAAGCACTTGTTCATGAACATGCATATTGACAGTGTTACATAACCAACTGTAAGTCATTTCTAGATATGCTTCATTCACCATCGTCACAGCGACAATGCCCTCTTTAGTTTTATTACCAATCATTTTCGCCCGATCGATAAACATAGCTGATTTATTTTGTTGCATTTCCTTATTTACGATTGACTGAAGGGCAGTCTTCCTTGTTGTGGTATAAGCACGCTTTCTAATATTGTTATCGACGAAATCAAGTGCTTTTTGTTTTTGCAACAGGAAATTAGACATCAACACACTGACAGCTAGTCCCATCACTACGAGGCACAACTTTTGTTTGGTGCTCATCTCGATGTCAGGAAAATCTAAAACAGAAACAGTTAAAAAAGAAGCTGAAATAACTAAATAATCAAACACATGGATACAAATACGACTCATTTAATGACATGGACAAAAATGAATCGTTTACTTTTTATGTCCCCACCACATAGTGTGGGGCCATATTGTCGGCCTAGGCGCGTCCGACTGTCTGTCCGTCCGTACGTCCGTCCGTACGTCCGGGAGTTTTCTCCAAAACCGCTACAGATATCACTTTCAAATTTTCAGGGATAACTTATGAGTGTCTATAGATGTGGATAAAAAAAATTTAACTCGAAACCTACTTCCTGTCGGCCATTTTGAAGTCAAACGCTAAAATCCTTGTCTGCAAACTTTAAGAAAAACTGCTTCATAGTTGCTTTTAAAACTTTAACATCTTGTTCAGCTCACTTCATTCTAGATCTGAATAGGTTTTGGACCTGTTAGCTCAGTCGTGTCAGCCATTTTGAATGTCTTAAGAAAAGTTAGCGCGCGATAATACCTTGTATCATATTGAATGGTGTTTTTGAGTTTTCATACTTAAACTATTTAGCAGCTTTATAAATAATTTCAGATGTACTTTGTTGTAAAAGCCTACTTTATTGTTAACAGTAGTTATATGTGATAATTTTGTAAAAAGAAATCAGCAAAAACTCATAAGGACTTTTTTATTGTCGGCCATTTTGGATTTTTTCCGTCCTTAAATCTTGTCTGTGAAATCTTGTCTGCGCGTTTTCAGGTGAACAGTTTGGTGGATCAATTTCAAATTTTCAGGGATAATTCTTAGTATAAAAATCTAGATCTTATTAGTTTTTTGGCATTCTGGGTAAATGTCAAGGCAGCAATTTTGGATTTTCCGTCCTAAAATCTTGTCTGTTAAGTCTTGTCTACTCGTTTTCAGGTGAACTGTTTGGTAGATCAATTTCAAATTTTCAGGGATGATTCTTAGTATGAAAATCTAGAACTGATTAGTTTTTTGGCATTCTGGGTAAATGTCAAGGCAGCCATTTTGGATTTTCTGTCCTGAATCTTGTTCGGCTGTAAAGTCCTGTCTACGCATTTCCAGGTGAACCGTTCTGTAGATCAATTTCAGATTTTCAGGGATGATTCTTAGTATAAAAATCTAGATCTCATTAGTTTTTTTGGCATTCTGGATAAATGTCAAGGCAGCCATTTTGGATTTTCCCTCTTAAAATCGTGCCTGTAAAGTCTTGTCTATGCATTTTTAGGTGAACCGTTTGATAGATCAATTTCAAATTTTCAGGGATGATTCCTTGTATGAAAATCTACATCTGATTAGTTTTTTTTGCATTCTGCTTAAATGTTAAGGCAGCCATTCTGGATTTTCCATCCTGAAATCTTGTCTGTAAAGTCTTGTTTACATGTTTTCTGGTTAACTGTGTGACAGATCAATTTCAAATTTTCAGGGGTGGTTCTTAGTATAAAAATCTAGAACTGACTAAATTTTTGGCATTCTGGGTAAATTTTAAGGTGGCCATTATGGATTTTTCATCCTCAAATTGTATTCGTAAAGTCTTGTCTACTCATTTTCAGGATAACCATTTGACAGGATCACCCATTGGTGGGGACATTTTGTACACATTTGTGTTCTTGTTGGATATTGCAAAAGAAATTAAAACAGAGAAGTTTTTAAAGGTTTTAAATGAGTATTTAAAATCTATTATGTTTGTGCATTATTTTACTTATCTATGAAAGAAAATGCTAAACTGACTTTTCTCTATCAATATATTTCTTTTTTCATTTGTATTTTTAATGTTTTGACTAGCTATCAAATATACAATTTTTCTCGTAGAATTTTAAATTTTATATTTAAAAATTCAATTTTTATAATGCAGCTTAATGGAAAAAATTAATTAATACTAATTATTTTCAAATATAGCGGCGCAACTTTCGTGATATTGACTGGAATCATCGAAGTTTTAATTTAAATAAAACTACTTTCCCATCTACTCAAAATATAAAAAGTGATAAATATTAAGTTGCACCTTTCTATTTTTATTGGCTTTTCAAATATTACTGTCTTATCAAAATTATATTTTTATTCCATGATACTTCTACATCCCGGTGAATAACACTCGGGAATAATTTTGATATTGAAAAAATCGTATTGTCCCGCCATATTCCGCTCACGAAATTCGTATTCACCTCCCAATCCCGCTCACGAAAATGGTATTTACCTCCTAAGAATTTTTGCGAAAAGCTTACGTTCAGTTGGATCTACATAGCGTGCTAAAATAATGTGCTTATGTGAGAAACGATATTTTCCAAACGCAATTAAAAAAGTACAGATTGTAAGCCTTTTGAACTTAGGCAAACTTTAATACATCATCATGCCCTGAAACGGACAGTCAACGTCATAGTAATTAATCTGAGCAATGTACAATCATGACAGACACGTATGCGTCGTATTTGATGTTGACGTGTGAATGTTTACAACAAAATTTTTATTATTTCAAAATGTCATAAAGTTAAGTCACATTTTGTAGACCAAATAATAGTCTGGTTTTGTTTGATACAAAAATAAGAAATAGATTTTGAATTAATGATTTCATGAAGAGAGTCATGAATAGCATGGGATGAAAAGCTTATTTACCGATCGGGATTAAATATAGGTTTATTCCAAAGGCACGGATGGTTAGGGGAAATATCATATTGTCACCAATGATACTGAATCCCTCCAAGCAAGTAAACTTTATATACACAGGGATACTATTACTTAAAAATCCCTCCTTGAAATCGTTTTCACCTCGTAGTCACTGTATTGGAATCGTATTCACCCGGTCATCCCCGTATTGGAATACAGTAATATTCACCCGGTGATTCCTTTACTCCTTCTTTTTCAAATAGTTTATTAAGAATTGTTTTTAAATGTATTTTTTCCGCGTTGGAATTATTTTTCTTAGGTTTTTATTTTCTTATATTTTTTGTTTTTTCAAAAACAATTCGTAAAAACGACTGCAAACTCATATAATAGTAATGAGTTTTATAATATTGATATTAATCTTCATCGTTATTTATTCAAATTTCATGAAAATATACATTTTAACATAATAATTTTGAGTACATCTCGAATCAATTCTCAACGAAGCGTTCTCGAAATAAGTATTCGAAATGTTTGAGTTCGGGATGATAAAAGTACGTTAAGATATACCGCTCCTTAACAAATTCCTTTGGGAACAAGATATAGAATCAAAAGCATATTCTTCTTATTTACTCCCTGACACATGCCAACGAATGTTACATTAGTAAATATCTCCGTTTTAAATAATTTTGTACACGTTGTTCTCTCCAGTGCCATTTTTTATAATTGAAAAGCAAAATTGAACATTTTGCATTTCTAAATTTCTAAATCATACATCGTTCGGATTTTCACTTTAAGGTTTCATGCAATTTCATTGCTTTGTTTTTGCCTAGACTAATATCATACTCAAATCCGATACCATAATTATAAATTAAAATGAAACATTAAACTCACCAGGTTATATGATAAACCGTTTCGAGAATTGATGATTTGAGTTAACTGTGGATATTTATATAAATGTAAGTCGGCATGTATTCGACAGTTAATGTACACGCATGATGTATGCATCAACGTGTGACTTAAATATCAATTAGTGACTATCATATTTGGCTTTCAAAAATTAATTTGGAAGTTACAGTGGTAGGAGATTAACGAAAACGTCAATCACATCCAAATATCCGAACGACGTCAAGTATTAACAATACACTTTTCGTGCATCTCGAACAAGGCAAGGTTTTGTGATCAAGCAATGTGTATCCCGAAAGAAAAAATTAACAAATATCAACATTTTTCATTGAGTGGGAGATTACATTCGAAATCACAACTTTCAAAATATTTGTTTTAACCAGGAATTGTAAGAGCTTGAAACATGTTGTTAGTTTTTCAAACCGCATATCCTCATTTACGTTCTTTGACAAGGATGAATCCGTTTGAAAACATTGATTTTCTTGATTATTTTTCAACTACCCTTGAAATATAAGTATGTAGGATATCACAGTGTAAATTGACACGCATTTGTTTGCTCCATATCATGAAAAAATAAATGCAGTACCATCTTTCAATACTCGAAAACAGCAAGTTCATTCTGATTGTAAACAAGAAAAAAAACATTTATGGTTGGTTCATAATGACAAATAACATACATCTTTTGAAGTAGGGTGTACAGGAACATCATAGTGGAAATTCGGAAATTTAGGCCATATCCCCAAGATTGCTTCACCGATATGTAACAGAGCATCAAAATTATTATTTATACGTTTGCTGATAGGTTTATTGAAAATAATCAACGAGAAGGTTACTTCAGTTGTGGCACCATTCTTAGTAAATGTTGATGAACATACGAATATCGAATGTTGACTAAGTTACTTGACTTGAACGAATATATTTTTTACCCTAGAAAAAAAATGTAACAATGCATTTGCTGGCTCAAATTGTTTGTATTCATTTTTCATTAATACAGTTAAGGTCAAATAGAAAACAATAGTATGACACATTATATGATACGTGCAAAAAACAGGGAGGATGTGGAGATAAAATTATATTTTTTTACATTTTATTTGCAGCAAACAGTTTATATAACTAGACAGATATATATTTTAGACAAGTCTTTCAGAATAAGCGCACAATGTGGAATACGTAGCGTTTACTCCTCTATTGATGCGCTTAGTATCACTTGTTGTATCCGATGCACGAAGCCCCGAACAGTGATTATGGTGTGCTTTTAAAATTGAACATGGGTTAAAGACAGTTTTGTTGAGTCTGTTAGCAACTACGTGCAAAAATAAGTTTTCAACTCCTAGTCTATTAATCGGGTATGTCAAAAATTTCAAACTCCATTCGTCGAAAGGTTTTTCCATGAAGAAAATATGGACATCATGAGAACCCTGATAGGCTTGTTTGCAGAAGTTTTCATTTGACGAACAATTGGGCAATAACGACGAGTGTCTCG